GGATTTGTGAGGTAATTCTCAAGCTCATATCCTGTGTTTTGTCATTAATCTTTTCTTTAAAATATTTATACTAAGCCCAACAGCGTGACCATGACAATCCAAACAGAACACAATGTAGTAGGATATTCCTTATCAACCGTCCTTTGGGCTTATTCTCTTATTCAGAAAAAGATCAGCATTGTTAGTGTTATCCTTTCACATTGGCTCATCCATTTTCTCATTAGTCATTGCTGTTAGTGGTGAGATTACAACCATGTCTGCTCATTCCAGAACTTGCCATCAAGCCTGTTTATCATTCTGTATTTCTTTCATATCTAAATTTGGTGGACAGCATTTCCTGTGTCCTCTGATAAAGTTCTTCTCTCACCTATTATTGAATCGTGGATGGAGTTTTCATACCTCCAAACGCTGCTTTCAAACTGTCACCAGGAGTACTTTAGTCAACAATGCTAATTTTTCTAACACTAAACGTTTATGAGGGACATAGTTAGCATAGCTGCTGTTCCAATTATCAATATTAGCATGAATGTTTTAGAGTATGAAAAATATTAGAAATTAGAAAATAATGAAAAATTAATGACCAGCATTATAGGACACGCTGACCTTTTTTCAGTATCAATAATTTTTTTCCTGACAGCAATATGTCAACATTTTCACATCTTATTCTTTACTGTGTTGAAAAAGTAACTTATTTTCTCAAAATGAAAATTTCTCAAAAGTTTGACTTAAAATCTCAAAATAATGGCATCCTGAAACAATTACTTTTTAATGTAGCAGCTCTTTAACACAACATTTCAAGTCAAATATCTCAGAAAATAAGTTGTTAATTTGAGATACTAAGTCAAGAAAATATATGTACATATACTTCCTCATATTAAAAATATATGTGCTACATTTCAACTGTGCAATTTTTTATCATTTAGATATATGCCAATATATGCACATATATGTCAATATATTGAAATGTATTCACATGTAAAATATATGTAATAGTATATTTCTTATATTTATATGGAGTATAGACTTGGCATATTTTTGAAAATATATAGAAATATAGTTGTAACGAGGCAGAATAACTCAGACGCTCACGGATAAAGAAAGAAAGTGAGGCTTTAATGTTAGAATCGCAATCCAAAAACGTGGTCAGAGAACAGGCAAAGGTCAAATCCAGAAATGACAAAGAGCCCAAGGGGCAAAGGCAAAAAAGGCAAAAGTCAAAATATCAAAATACAGTCAGAACCAGAAAAATCACATAAACAGACGAAGAACGCTCAGTAGCTCTTAGGACAAGAAGCAATACATCGCAACAAACTAACCTACAAGCCCGGCTTTATACTAACACCTATTATATGATAACAGGTGTAACAAGTTAATATTCCGGAGACAGGGACAGGGGATTCTGGGAAATGGAGTCCTTACAGACCTCTGAGCCTGAGGGATGCATGACAATAGTTTCTTTGTATATGAGACTATTCTCAGATATTGTAAGGAAATAAGTCCTTTTTGAGATACTAAGTCATAATATTGAGAAATTGTTATATCGAGATACAAATCTAAGTTTTTCAGTACTGCTACCAGAAATAGAGAAAAAGAAAAAAAAATCACTGGCGTTGTCCTTCTCAATGGACTTGCATACTTACATGCTTTGAACTGTGCAAGCAAATTTTGGAGAGGTCAGTGTCTATTGTTAAAGTTTGCTTGTTCATTGATTCTTGACTTAGTATTATGTTTAAAAACTTTTAAAAAATACAAGGAAATCTCGTCAAAATGTTTCTCATTTTGCACAAACACTACAAGCTGTTATTTATTTCCAGCACAGAATTACGCAAGCACTGCAGCTTTACTCCAGCTCATCTCCTTTGAGAATTACTTTATCTAAAACAGATTCAGTACACTTTCAGAACATTCACATTACATAATTCAGCTCAAAAGTTCACATATGCAAGAGAACAAGAGAGATCTGTTCCAAAGCAAGGCACTGGTTTCTATTTTGGCATCACCCTTATAAACGCTGTTTACTGAAATCATAAAACACCCATGTCAACACTCTTACAATAACTTTAAATCATCTGTGTTTCTTATTGTGCCATGAATAGACCCTAACACAGTATAATATACCATGTGTATCATAAGCAGATATATACTACCAATTAAAAGTTTCATTAAACTTTTTTCATTACCAATTAAACTGTTTTCATTAATATAAAACCAAGATACATGTATAAAATGATCTTAATATGATGCTACAACTCTACAACTTCAGATTTCAACTAATTTGTAGGAATCTGTGGAAAAATAAGAAATATAAGTTGTGTTCAGAATGATAAACAGATTTGTAGATGATTCTATAATGACTGAGAAAGCTGTATAACATTGAGAATGAAGTCAATACAATAAAACAGTCATAATAAAAAAAAACAACAATTAAATAAACACCCAGGATGCCTCATATTTGAAAAGTGATGATCAAATGTGTCCCAAAATTACTATAAATAGATAATTATGGTATATTAGTTATCATTTAATAACTTCTTGATGTCTCCAAAAACCTAAAATGTTAACTAAAACATTTAACTTATAGTACAGTTATTACAGAATAAAAGAACAGCAATTATTACTATTACAAATGATTTCAGAATTTTTGAACAATAGTGTACATTTATTTGCATTAAGTCTAAATTTGTGGTTTCTAGCATATCTGAAGACTCTTTTTCTCCTCACCACTCCTGTGTTAGCTAAACCTTCCTGCAGGTCCTTTACTGTGATATGGGGGTTTTGCTTTGCCTTTAGCCTAGTATACAAGCAGTTCTATCTGAACCTGTTCTTGGTCTTGCCTTGGATTTGCCTTGACTTCCACAGTTCCCCTTAACTGCCATTTCTTAATGAAATCGTGGACAGTGGAAATTGTAAGCTGGAAGCACTTTGGTATCTTTTTATAACTTTTCCCTGATTTGTAGGCATCAGATTCATTTTCAGAGTCAGCTACTTACAGGAGTGCAGACGAGAGGTTTGTTCAAATTCTTCCCAAAATTAATATTTTATGGTGTTTTTTCTGTTTTTTAAGATCATCATATATAAGGGAACTGTGCATTATCATTTGCAGAAAAACATTTTAAATTGTTGCAGAGGTTGTATTTCTTTTCGCTTAAAAAATCAATATTATATACATTTTAGTCAGGAGTGCACAGACTTTTGCCTACGACTCTTCTGGCCTTTTGGTTGAATAAAGTCATTGCCAATGTCCTATAAAGCTTATCCAGCCTAGAAAAGAATGCATTTGTGGACGGAGCATGAACAGGCCAATTTCACCTAGGCTCTTAAAAAACAAGGAGTTCTTTGGAGCGATGCCACAGAAGAACAGCTTCTGATTCCCTACAGAACCTTTGGTAAAACTTTACTTGAACCTTGCTAACTAACATCGATATAAACTTTATGTCAATTACTTTAAAGAGTGTTATTATTTTTAAGAGTGTTGGTAAAAAATGTGCTGAAGTTATGAAGTTGTGAAAATGAGCTTTGAATAGTGCAATAAACCCGTTCTTCTGACTCCTGTTGGTCTCAGTAGCTCCAACATGGACCCGTAAACTTCACACACACACACACACACACACACACACACACACACACACACACACACACGCGTGCTTCCAAACAAAACCATTCAGTCACTTCTCTCAGGATCCCTTTATAAAGTTCAGACCCAGTCATCTATCACATGCTGTTTAACTCAGGCCAGACAGTCATGCAACTTATTATTTCTCTTTTTTTCCACTTGAATAAAATGTACTGATTATCTTTTTCTGAGCCCATAGAGAGTGTCAGAAGCACCTAGGTTGCCAGTTCCAGGTCTGCTGCTGCCGTCTCTACTGTTACGGAGTGCAGAGATGGCTGCTTGGGCTGACTGAAAAGGCCCAGATGTTCCACAGACCATTACAGTGAGAATCAGGAATGCCGTGCTGGAGCAATGCTGTTACATCAAACGCTTCTCTACTGGAGCCGAGCCTGCAACTGGGACCACTGCCGGGAAAGATATGACTGCTCCTTCCGAACCACCTCTGTGACTCAAGTCCGCTCGCTGGAAGATGGGTGAGGCCGGGCAGATGACTTGGCTGGGGCTGCCTTTGAGTCAGTTGACCAATCCAAATCTCTGGAATCTGACCCTGTGGTTTCTGGTCTCGTGGACTTTGGATCTATATTTTGTGATGTTCACTGAACTGCTGAATGTCACCATGTCCTATTTGCACGTTTACCCGCTTTGGAAGGCTCGTCGGTTGTTTCTCTAAAACGTTGGATTTTTATTTGAATTTCAGTTTCTGCTAAAACCTGCATCTTTTCTGGAAGTTCAGAGAAGGTGCTGCATTTGATTGTTGGGAGAATCACTCAATTCTCGATTCACTCTGGTTCGTCTATCATTTGAGTGAGGTGTAGTTTTTTTTGGCATGTAATCAAGCTAATATTAGGTTTGTAGGAAATTGGTTGCCTTTTCCAACTAAAACATAGTATTATTAGCTACAAAAACATAGTCATGGTATTTTAAACTAGATTGAATTAAACTGAATGGGATTTGCCAGTGCTCTGTATCGCTAGCCTAAGGGGGCAATGGTTCCAATGAAAGAGCACATTTGGGGCGGGGCATGAATAGGTCAATTAAATGTTATTGCCCTGGGATATAGAGGTTTACTACAGTTTTAAAACAACAAAATGGCAACTCTGTTATTCTGCAAAAAAAAGGTTAATTAAAATTTTCTAGAGCTACAGCAACAACAAAACATGAAAAGCAGTGATGACTAACACATAACATTACAATGATTTGATTTCCATCAGCATGTTAACAATTTCTAAACCTCTCCTTGAGAAAGTGCAGTATTTACAATTACCATACACTACCAGCTTCAGCTGGAATGCTTAAGTGAAAAATTTAATTTTAAGTCAGAATCTGATACCGCCTGCTCTCTCTCTCTCTCTGTCCAGTTATGGAGGCGGGAGCAGGTTGAGGGATGGCTTTTGGGGCTTAGGATACTGATATAAGAGCAACTCCGGACATGTTTCCTCATTGTAAACCACACAGCTGGATTAATCCAGGGCTCGGATATCACTGAGCAGAGGAACTCACGCTCACCACACTAAATCAGGTATTTGACTGTAGCTTTTCAGAGGTCAAAATACATTTAGCCTGTCGTTCTGTCAACTTCTTGTCAAATCACACGTGCATTGAGGTCATTGCGAGCATATGTAGGTGTAAATTAGATTAAATAGAGATATCTTCATGATAAATCTGATCAATCTGTTGTCATCATAGTGCATGCACTGCCACTAGGCAATGCACCCAGATTTAAGCACTAATGATAAAATATGATACTGGTACATTGCACTGCAGTGAAATCCAGATCTCTGATCACAAATCCCTAAACTCCAACTCCTCCTCACTTTGTTTTGTCAGAGGAAACCCAGCATGAAGGCTGTTTTCTTTCTTGAAATGTCTGGAACATATGTTAATACTGGGCAGTCGGACTGAACTCTCAGGCTTACAAGCCTAGCTGGGTCCATTCATACCAGTATAGTGTCTGAGTTAACTGCATATCAAAGGATTACACAACTGCAATGACATCATTGTTGTTTTGCTGAGGAAGATGAGGATGAGGAGGGCTCTGGCTGTGTTGTGGCTGGTCTCACTATGTGCCGCTCAGAGGAAGAAGTGGACTCAGGAGACATTGGAGCTCAGAGGTAATGCTTTTCATTATGCCATTAACAGTTCGGCGCAGCTGTTGTGGACAGTGTGCAGAAATGACATAATTCTGGAGTGTTTTCTTTTTTTGTGCTCTGCATCACTGCTGTAAAAAGGTTTTTGCTAAAATATCAGTTTTCTGAGGTCCCTTTGACTGTTTTGTTCTTAGCTGAAGACCAAAATAGCAATATTCCTAGCTTACTAATCAATATCACATCAATAGCTTTATTTTCATTGCCAGATCAGTTATACACAAAGTAAAGGCACACTCATGTACCAGTTGTCATATTGGGGTGGAAATGGGTCCATATTGAAAATATAATCAGGTGTAATGTTGTACATTGTGTTTATACAAAATATCATTACATTTTTCTTGTACCCCCCCTTTATGAACACTTATATTTGTGAGGGTTTCTGTACCAAAAAATCAGGTATAATTTATATATATATATATATATATATATATATATATATATATATATATACATTAACTTCAACATCACAAAAACGTTGTACCGCCACAGTGTAAAGGGTGTCATGTTGTTCCAATAATACAAATATATGTGGTTTTGTCTTAACCTAAAATAATAATCAATAAAAACTGTTAATCATAAAAAAAACCTCAAAAAGACTTACTTTCTGTCACAAAGTCATTTTTTCTTTGCTAGTCCTTGAACCCCAGTTTGTGACTGAGAATAAGCTTGGCATAATTGGTTGAATGGTCAATAACTAGGCAACTAAGATCTGTTCAATCCTTTCAGATAAAACAAATGGCAAAAGCTGCTCGAACATGACCCAAGTGCTGGACAACTGGAAATATGCTATTGTGCACCAGGTGAAGGATCTGTTAGTCAACGACCATGCTTCAGTCTTACCAGAATATGTGAGGTAAGTGAACAGCTGTACAAAACCCATATTTATAATTTGTAAAGGAGAAAAAGCACTGAGATGCCTAGTTGATTAGTAAGTTGTAAATGTTTCATTAAAGAAGACAGAAAAGCTGTGTTTTTCTATGAGTCAGCTGCTAATTGTGTTTATCCGGTGAAATCAGTGTTGATGTTCTACAGGTTTTTGTGGTTCAATGAAGTCATTTTGGAAGATTGTTTTACCATGGGCAGTAACTTGTGACCGGTTTGGGCCCTTAAATTTGAGCCATGCTCCATGCAGAAAAATACTTGGAAAGTGTGTTTATGTTCTGTTAAAATCATAATAAACTATGAATTATGAGCATATACTACCTAACATGCATGTATATGTGTTATATATAGCTAGCCATGTTGTATTCACACAAGCAGTATTTATTTAGGCTAATGTTGGCATTTTTTGTCCCTGACTACACAAAGATTGTGCCGTGACTCAACTCGGGCAAGAGCTGCTTACATCAGACCTGGCAGACTTAACTGTAAAAACTCTCACTTCTTGGATTTCACTTCTCTCACTGTTGATGTGTGCAGGATTAAGCCTCTGTCTGATGCGGTGGGGGATCTTTACAAGCAATTTAACACATTGAAGGAGAACCTGGCAAAGCTTACCAATGAATTTGACAAGGTGGAGGGCTTCGTGGATGAGCTTCAGGCAGGAAAAGTGCCTAGAACTTCAATGTGGATGCCCCCTCGGCGGCCAGTTATGAGAGCCACAACTAAGACGCCTGTGAAGGCGTCTGTGAGAGCTTCCAACACAGGCCAGTGGATTCGGAGGGCAAGAGCCAGAAGAGGCCCTGGTACTTAGTGGACAAAGGCATTTCAAAGGAGTTTTGAGCTATCAAATGAAAATCTAATGGGAATATGAATCATTATTGGAATACTTCACCCAAAATGCCAATAATGCATCAATGCTACTAGATCAGGGTTGTATACTCTTACCTGCAAAGGGCCAGTGTGGCTGCAGGTTTTCATTCCAGTTGAAATTAATCAATTGGTCCCAGTCTGCAAACAATTGATCATGTGCACTCCTGCTTTATTGGAATGAATCTTGCAGACAAGATTGGACACCCCTGTTCTGGATGGTCAGTATCATATGTAGCTTTAGTATTTTTGGGTGATGTATTTTTTAATGTTAAAATGCAGGGAGGTCAATAAAGCTTTGCTTACAGTATCTTTTTAGAGAAAATTATCTACCAAATCAGCAGGGCTGACAACACTTGCTTATATAAAATTATATGACGGGCACTTTTTGCAATATTTACAATGAGATTTATATGAATTGAGGTCTATGCATCAAATAAGACTGTTTATTGGAGAACACATTTAGATTCTTTGTAAGTAGTGACTCTAATATAATGGGTTCATTTATGTCTTTTAAGTGTTTTGAGGTCATGATAAAGGTATAATTATATGGACGAGATAAGTCATTTATGTATTAAAATGACTTATTGCATAGTTTAACAGGCACTCTGTGGTCTCACTGCTTTGGAGGGGATATTTCCACATTCAGATGCACTAAATAAATAAACTTAAGACTGAATTGAATGTAAATGGTTATGAGAGAATATCCAGAGCATGTAAAGTAGACTTGATTAATCTTACTATAATGGCAATGTTATATGCACAGCCATGAGACTATAAAGTACATTTTTAACAGAATAGCTGCATTGTTAACTTTCTGTATTTGGACACATTCTCTTAACCCAAGGTTATGTAGGATTTTCAATGGGAAATGACCAATAATAGCATAATTTACTCCAGGTGTTGGGTTTATTTATTGTCAGGCCCTATTTATAGAGCCACATGAGTGAACGTGCAACATTTTTAGACAATAAGACACAGATGTTTGTGCACTTTTAATGAAGGATGGGAGGACTAGCTGTAGGAGACTGGGATTAGACAATCGAACATCATTTATCAAGTTTTGCTATTTTATTCCAGCAGCCAGAGGATTTGCTGCTAAGTGGTGTCATAAACAACACCCATCCAGCGATCCAGATGAATAAAAAAAGTCACAAAGTTGGTTGCTCCTCCTTTAAAACATCCTCCTCTATCACAGCCCTTTCCATTGGCCTAGAGGCAGAAAGTTCATTGACTTCATCATGTGTACATTAGGCATCTGTGCAGCTTATGTAATGCAGTTCCTACTGTTGCCCAGTGGTATATTTGCCAAAAAGTCAGATGACTGTTAATCAGTACCCTGCCTGTGGACTTCTCACAGTGTTCTCAAAGCAAAAGGCCCATGTTTGAATGTGTTTTGGTGTTTCACCCATTTAGGGGGATACAGCAGTTGAGAGGGTTGTTAAATAAAGGCACTGAGGCTTCAAACAGGCATCAAAAATTCAATATTTCTGGTAAGTTTTTGCACTTGTCTGTGCTGCAGGACTGTCCAGATCAGGGACATGTCTAGATACTGTTGACCATCAAGGACTGTCTAATAAAAATTGTCTTCACTAGCACATCTGCAAATTAAACAACTGGCTTATACTTCTGGCAGACATGGCATAAAGATCCAAAGCACTTTGACATGGATCAGCTATAGTGTCTACCAAAATTTGTATCCAGTCCAGCTAAGACTGTGATTTGGTAAGCAGGAATTTGAGCACTATAACATGCGATGAACAGGCTTTGTAAAATTAATCTTCAATGTATGCCTGGTATCCATGATGTGGATTCTCTTTTACATATTTTTTAATATACCAGCAAGAGATTGTAGCTTTTAATTGTTCTTCTGCCACAAAGTCCAGTGCAGCCTGTAGGGTCAGAAAATAGATGCTGTTATGCTCATTCTTGCTATTTAAGGGAAATTCTATCTATTTTTTTATTTCTATTATTCATTCAGATTGATTTGATGTGAAATGATTATTTCCAGAGAATCTTACCAACTATTTCTTCACAGTGGTGGTGACAGGAACCAGGGGCCGCAATGTCTACTATGCCCATGGCCGTTTTATTTTCGTTCCAAAATAACCACACAAGTTTTCTTGAGTTTTATATGTAATGATCATGGTAAAATATAGGTGAAGTTGGGGGAACAAGTTTTTTTTAGTACGTGTTTGCTTTACAACACCATCCATGTACCTCCGCACTGTAAAAAAAAAAACCGGAGTCTGTAAGTTTCTCTACAAAGAACCATTTCACATGAAACCGCTCTGAATGACTTTGTTCACATTGCAACAACGAAATTATGCAAAATCTTTTGAAAAATCGGTAGAATTCCCCTTTATGCAAAGATTTTGAAAAGATGGTGGAATTCCCCTTTAAGACAGGCAAACCTGCCGGATAAAGGAGAAGTAGTCTGGTTAATAATCAAGGTTTACCAAGGTTAAAAACACTTTACCTTTGCGAGCTGTGCGGCTACACCTTTCCCTCTGAAGGACTCTGGGACCACCGTGGACAGTAGCTGAACGTGCCGGTCAGTCCTGTAAGAGTACTTCAGCACCGCGCTGTCCTCTGGACCTGCTGAGGATTAAGACGGAGTGAAAAGAGAAACACGGCCATTTTACTTCACAGCATACCCGTCCCCAAGATATGCGAGGACAGGGCATTAACTGGCGGAAAGCTCTCTGCTCCGCTCTCCTCACCTCCGCCGCCCAACCGGACAACGAAGCAGCGCTGCTGTCTGTCGTGAATGACGCGATGAGCTTCAGTACTTAAACCACAAAATGGAGACTCGCTCAGTTTCACTGCTGTGAGTCTCTGAGCTCGTCTAAGGTTACAGAGGCAGTTTCGAGACAGCATTATGTGCACAGCGCCACAGTTCTGCCGTAAGAGTCCGTTTCTATTACCCTCCGAGACTACGAGAGGTCTTCCTCTCTGTTCAGGTGGGAGGTCAGTGTAGTGGACCCTGTAAATTCAGCAGAGTAACAGCAGGGGGCGCACTAACTCCACAAACTCTCTTGTCTGTTTACTTGTTTTGTTACGTACCTGTTTTATTATTGAATTATTTTAATTATATTCGTACAAGCTAAATAAATTAAAAAATACACAGTGATAATGATAAATAATAATTAATATAAATAGCTATATAAATATAAATAAGAAATGCTAAACAAAAATATAAATAATAAAGAGTAATTATTAACCCATACAAAAAAGTCAATTGTATTTATCAAATACATTAAAAAAAAAGAATAAAAGTGGCCAGAATTATTTTTATTTAAATTTGTTTTAGCGTTTGGAATACATTTTATAATGAAACAGTGTATTTGAATCGTATCTCACATATTAAAAAAAATACATGCCCATGTATTTATTCTCCATGTGGGTAATCATTTACAATTATATAAATAACACTTAAAGTGCCAAGATATAACAAAAGAGGTATGTGTTACCACTGATTTTTATATATATATCGTCCCATCGCGATGCGGACGTGAACGATTCTGAATCGATTCACAAATGTCAAAAATGCATACATACATACATCTTCTAAACCGCTTATCCTTCTGGGTCGCGGTGGGGTGCTGGAGCCTATCCCAGCTGTCATTGGGCGGAAGGCAGGATACACCCTGGACAGGTCGCCAGTCTATCGCAGGGCATGTCAAAAATAGATTTTCTAAATATTTAATTTATAATGTAATGTTGACGGAACGCAAAAGGCAGAACTTGGAAGTGGGTAAGCACAGCGCCCAGACAGTCTGTGGCGGCACATAACAAAAACACAACTGGATGAGTGAGAAATCCGACCGGCTCCCTCTGCATTAAAAGCCAGGTTAGATCAGGAGTCACAATACAAATGATAAGAGCCATTTTGACCTTTCAACAAAAATCAAACCAGCTTGGGAGCCGCAACATTTAATGTCCAGTATGTCTCAGTATGTGTTGATGTCCTAGTATAGGCTAAACAGTATAAACGAGAGCGCAGATTTACTTCGCTCTGCTTTAAGCTTCAGCTATAGCCGCTTTCCTCCCATCTCCGCCAGAAAACTTTCCCTCAGAAGTAGATCAGTTACAAGTCTCTCAACGTTCGACTGTTTTACGAGGCTTAAGTCGCTTCTTATTCTCCAGCTTCATGTTCGAATTTACCCATTCCACCTTAAAATCTGACTGAGGCGCCGAATGTAAATGCGGCACCATTTAAGGTGGAACGGGAGAATTCGAAAGAGAAGCTGACTTCAGCTTCGCCACTTTTTTTAGTGTTTGAAAGTCTCGTTGCAGATTTAACGTACCAGGAAACCAACTGCGCTGCTTATAAATGCGAATAACGCATCGCTGCTATGTGACCTGCAGTTTGTACGCCGGTTCTCAGTCATTGCGAAACAGGGCTTTCGCGCTATGTTTCATAGAATAGCTGTAACATGTGCTGCGTGGACATCCATTACCACTGGATCTTATTTCACCGTAACTGCGCATTTTATCGCAGATGAGTGGCAGCAGCTTCTCGTGCTCCAAACGAGAGCACTGAATGAGAGCCTTCTAGTTCACTTGCCACATCACTTCCATTTGTTTTATTAAAAAAAAGATATTGGAAGTAAATTCATTATGGATCATTACAAATACTTTGCTTTAAAAGTACCAAGTCACTTTAAATAACAATAACACCGAGTCACTTAGTCACTTTAAAATGTATATTGTCTCTACATTCTGTATATATCGTGTGTATATTTTGTGTATATTTAATATATTTCAGTTGGTTTTTCTTGTATTTTTATTTTTACTTATTTATTTTCTGTAGAGTGATTATCTGAGCCTCACCACAATGTCCTGACATGTTGTGCAAGTGACAAATAAACTTGAACTCGAAACTTCAGCTCACACAGTGAGAAAATATAGATGCTATATAGAAAAAAAAGATGCATCGAGATGCATCGATAATCTTTTATAATCGCATCGCAGCCCTCTGAATCGTAATCGAATCGAATCGTGAGGTGCCTAGAGATTCCCACCCCTAATATATATATATATACAGATATTTATTGTGTTCAAGTATTATATGATTTATTGAAACTAACTCTATCAAGCTCTTGTCATCTGACTGCAACTGAAACAGCAGAAGAACTTTGACCCAAACTATAAGACAGTCGTATTTATAACACATTTGACCATTTTATTGAAGCACACTTACACCCACCAAATAAATTAATAAGTAATGTAATTATTTCTAAATAATGAATTAATTAATTGAAAGTAAGTAAACACTTTAATAAGTGAACATTACTGTCAGAAGATCAAAATGAACACAAAGTTTTTTGCACCCATCATATTAAAACTGTGAAATAAATCAGCAAAATATTGTATGCATGCTTCCTGCAATCTCGAGATTTATGGCTGCTATAATTCCTGCAAAACACCAGATTTCACTCTGCTCTCTGTTTTTAAATAATGCTCCAAATCTTCTATTTTTTTTGGCACAGTCTGAAAGAAGCCAAGATGCTTCATCTACCCATCACTGGATCAAACTAGCTCACTACCTATCTTAAATAAACAACTCTCTCTCTCCCCCTCTCTCTCTCTATACCCTTATAATAATTTTTACACTATTACATCATTTCATTCTTTTAAATAAGTATTTTAACTGTACTATAAACTTTATTTGCCCTCAACGTGTGAATTACATGTGAACATTTGCTAATGGGCTAATGTAAAAACATTAGTGCAGTGTTTAGTGGCACTAGCACCTCATGATATTGAATTTTTTGTTTGTGTTCACTCCCTCACTCTGACTGGTCCTCGCCCGTATCTCGTGGAATTTTGGGTAATAGGCCGCTGCTGAGTCCGCATTCGTGCAGTGAGGGTTCATAGAGGGCGCTAGCGAGCCCCCCTTTGAAAGGCATAATGAGAAATGGGACATCTTACCGTCTCCAACCCTGATCCTGGAGAGCTACCTTCCTGCACAGGTTAGTGCCAAACTGTATCCAGTTAGCAGCTCTGCCCCTTACTGAACTCTAATACATCTGATCCAGCCAATCAGGGACTTGGGAAGAGGTTGACTAGCTGGAGCAGATGTGGCAAATCGTGGTTGGCACTAAGCTCTGCAGGACCAGGATTGGAGACCACTGTCTTACAGCCTTGTTGTCCTTGCATGCAAGCGCAGTTGTGGCCTTTTGCAGTGTCTCTGACAGTTTCCACTAATACAAGGCCAGGCTCGTATCTCTTTGAATGGGGAGAGACCGATAAATCCGAAACTAAAACCCACATCAGTTTCAAACACATATTTGAAATCAGTGATCAAATCTGACAAAAACAGCATAAATAGTAATTTGTACCATTTGACTCAAATAGCTAGCACACAAAAAATGTGATTTTAGCATGTTTTGTTTACTGCGCATGTGCAAATCTCCGCAAGTGGTTTGGCTCATTAACAGACGAGACTGTGTAAACAGACACCATGTTAAGTTTTACAAGCTTTACAGTGTGTTTCCCACAGTGCCCGCTCTCCTTTTTTATAACATCAGTACATGAGTAGTTTCTGACCACTGCAAAGTAGCAGTGGACAGACCAATACTGAAGTATCAATATTTCCAGTCCTAATGATTTCTTGTTAGAACTGATCCTCGCATGAAAGCATCAGTGGCAGTTTTTTAACAGTAAGTTAATTAGAATATTTTCTTTTATGAAATTGTGTGAAAAAGTGCAATAAAGAGGCTGCTGCAAATAGCTGTGAGGGTCAGCCACTTTTACTTCCGCCTTCTTCCTCTTTTAAAGGTCCTCACTCTGGTCCGCCCCTCCGATGCTGCTCAGGTTCCACCGAGTTCTATGGTTGTTACGGTGTTGTGAACGACTTCGCGACTGGCCAATCAGCGAACAGTTCGTATGAGCCACTAGCCAATCGTAGCGCAGGAGGCGGGGTTTATGGAATACAGGGATAGAGAATTAATGAAGATTTTTACTTTATGAATGTTGTTTTAAACTTGTAGGATAAAAATAACGCCAAAGCTCAGACTGGCCCCATTTTCACACTCATTTCAGTGTGAAGGCCCCTGCAGTCCAGGTGGTGGCGCTAATTTTGGTTCTCCAACCACAGCAAAGTGGAGAAGAAGACCTCCTCCTGCTCAGCAGTCCCGTCTGTGCTGCTGACACAGTGATGTTGTCCGTTAAGAAACAGAAGCTGCTCCATTAAAAGTAGGGACCTGTTCAGTATCTTCACTTTATTAACATTGTTTTATTAACCGTTAGAGAAATAGTTGGAGAGATGTTTTTTTATTTTTGTTTTTTTTTTTTAAATGCTTGCGACGAAAATTAGCCAACAGAGAACAAGCCTTCGTCCAGACAGGAGCAACATTAGCTAGCTTTCAGCTCCTAGGCCCGTGTTTTTATTTCGTTATATTGTTTATATTATGGAGTTGTAATATAACTCTGTAATTATAGAGTAGAGCAATTTGTTAATGCCGTGTTTAGTATTTACGCAATGTGCTCTCAAAGACGTGCTTAATGTATATATATCTATTGTAGTTATGTTATCTAGTGGAGATTTAAAGTGCGATTTTGTGCCTGTTTGGTCCCAAAGTCTCAGCCTGTGTGCTCTTCTGTCCCTTAGTGAGCTAATCGAGTTCTTCATTTTCATGTTACACTGTACAGAGAATTTGTGCGCACATGAAACTGACCAATATTCTGTAGTCTATATGAAAACGTGCAAGAAGAGATCATGGATGTGCAGCTATGAACATCATATGTGCACATTTGGTGGTACAAGAATAGCAGGAGGATCCTATGTAATAAAGCAGTTTTTGGCTTTTACTAAAGAAGCGCAGCAGTGGCCAGAACGCAGGTTCCCAGTCCTGGTCCTGAAGCGCCCCCTCCAAAGTCCAGCACATTTTCATGTGTTTCCATGGTCTAACATGTTCACTTTAAATCAAGAAGAACTAAGTAGTTAAATTGGCTTATTATTATGCTTATGTGCAGTGTTTTGGGGCTGGCACAGGCCAAAGCTTTTAACACTGTCCTTTCTAGGCTTATTTATTCTTTTTTTCAGCTGCACTGTGTAAGATGTTTCTGTTAAAATTGAAAACTAGCTTTACTGAGTGAGGAGAAAAAAACACATTAAAATATGGTGTGCCCTATGTTTTGACTGAGTTCTCTTTAAATACTCTTTCAGTGTGCTCGCACTCATAAGATTCATCTGCTCGGGGAAGGGGTCCAAAGCACAACCAACATTTCAAAACGTTCTACAAAATTTACATAGTCCAGTTTCAAATGTTTTACCTACTCCCTTTTTATTTAAACGTCATAGAGCAGCATGGCTTAATGCTAATGTATAGTGTGAACTTGTTAGCTATTATAGAGTAATTAAAAAGTTACTACCAGTAAGAACTGAATAAAACGTATTTGTATATAGTTCTTCAGACACAGATTGAGGTATTTGGGGACTCCCTTTTTTTTTTTCTTACCATGAATTGGATAACTTTCACCCATTTCCGTAAAGGCCCACAGCAGAAATGTTCAAAACTGTACAGTTCCGTGATCCCCTACAACAATGAAGTAGATTCACAATTGATGTTTTATTATTAATTTTTAAATGTATCTGAAACTAACTGAGGGCGGCACGGTGGCGCAGTGGGTAGCACTGTCGCCTCACAACAAGGGCCTGGGATCAATTCCTGGGCCGGGTGACCGGCCTATGTGGGGTTTGCGTGTTCTCCCTGTGTCTGCATGGGTTTCCTTCAGGTTCTCCATTTTTCTCCCACAGTCCAAAGACATGCAGTCAATTGGACACGCTAGACTGCAACTAGGTGTGAATGTGTGAGTGACTGTGTGTGTGAATGTGTATGTCTGTCTGTCTGCCATGCGATGGACTGGCGACCTGTCAAGGGTGTTTCCTGTCTTCCGCCCAGTGACAGCTGGGATAGGCTCCAGCTCCCCCCCCCCGTGACCCAAAGGGATAAGCGGTTTAGATGATGTATGTGTGTGTGTGTGTGTGTGTGTGTGTGTGAGAAACTATCTGAGCATTGTCTATACAAGGCACAGTCCCCAATCATCTTATCATACTGTTGTTGTTGCCACTGAGTTTTGAATATATCTTTTCTATCTTTCTTTCTCCTCCAGAGATGAATGACGTCCTGCTGCAAGCCATCTTCTGCTCCTAGCGTCCACCTTCCTGCACAGGTTAAATCTCCAGAAACACACCAAGAGTTGCCACCATGAACACCCTGCTGGAACCTGGAGAGATTAAATGTGAGGATATAGCGTCCACAGGTAGCTCCAGTCCTCAGCAGACACCTTCTGTTCCTCCCTACCTTGACACTTTTGTCAGAGAAACACAGAAAAATACAGTCAAAGAGAGAACTCACCACTGTTTGGAGTGTGGTAAGAGTTTTACTCTACAGAATCATCTCCAAAGACACCAGCGCGTTCACACCGGAGAGAAGCCGTTTGACTGTCCCGAATGCGGAAGGAGCTTCAGAGATAAAGGCAATCTGAAGATACACCAGCGCATTCACACAGGAGAGAAGCCCTATTCCTGCTCGGAGTGTGGACGGACCTTTAGAGAGAAGGGTACCCTCAAAAAACACCAGCGCATTCACACTGGAGAGAAACCGTATTACTGCTCAGATTGTGGGAAGAGCTTTAATCAGCTCAGTAGTCTCCAAACTCACCAGCGCATTCACACGGGAGAGAAGCCATATGACTGCCCGGAGTGCGGCAAGAGTTTTAACGTACTGAGTCATCTCAAAACGCATCAGAACATTCACACAGGAGAGAAACCGTTTTGCTGTTTAGACTGCGGGAAGAGTTTTAATCGACAGAGTCATCTCCAGCTACACCAACGCATTCACACAGGAGAGAAACCGTATTACTGCTCTGAGTGTGGCAAGAGCTTCAGGCATTCAAACACGTTCAAGACACACAAATGCATTAACAGGGACTCAGAAACTCCTGACACAAGTTTGTCGGATCAAAATGCCGATATTTATTATCAGGTTGTTTTAGTTTGATATGAATAATGCTGTTTGAATTTTTGCAATTTAAACAGCTTTGCTAATAGAATCAGTTAAAAGCTGATCCCACAGATTTGTCAAAATGTCTGCATAATGTTATAATTCATGGTGGTTTGATGTGGAATGCACCGCACAGTCAGAACTGTCCACAGTGGTGGTGATAGGAACCAGATGTCTGAAGCATTTAAAGCCTGGAAAAGCTACTTCACAGACAGCTGTTATAGTAAGAGGTTACAAATATGCTGCCTGATGCCTGAGACATTTTAGTTTTGAGAAGGTTTGGGCCTAAAATGTATTTTTATGAGCCATTAATGGAGGACAGGTACATGCAGAGTACTCGAAAAAATTTAACATATTCACCAATATTTTAACATTATGCACAGAACATATAAACTGTGTAGGTCCACTGTTTGTTTCGTAAAATAAATACAATGGTTATAATTTGCTGTGTAGACATGCGACCCCTGGTTCCTATCACCACCAGTATAAAGAAATTGAAGTCTACAATGCACCATTTCATTTCAGACCGCTCTGAATGAGTTTGTTTACTTCTCAACAATTGAATTAAGCAGAAATATTAAAGAAATCTATACAAGTACTGTAATAAAAAGGCTGTCTTTTTGTTCTGTGGTTTGTATACCTCCATCATTGTGTAATTATTATGTATGTATTGATTATGTGATTAGGAACTGTACAACGTATTTTCCATGAATCGTTATCAAGACATCGGTCTTGGCAATGCTGACTTTGCATGTTCCATTCAACTATTTGAACGTAGTCTGGGAGTTTCTTATTCCTATGATTGACAGCAGGGAGCAGTAGAGAGAAGCTGTTCCCTCTAACCAACACTAGTCCTTTTTTGTCATGTTAATTATTTAAGGCATCATAAAATGCTCTAAATAAATAAGTCTGAGAAGGACAATTTGGTATCATGGACTCTTTTTGTAAGCAAACATTTTATCTAATATATTGAATATTATTGTACTTTTTTATGCTGTGTTATGTTGGGTGATGCTTGAGTGGGTTCAGAGAGTGGGGTGTGCTACAAGTTAACTGCACATGTTTCTCTAGGTAAGTTCCAGTGCTTGTTTTATTGATGTGATCAGAAACCAAACATGAACAGATACAGTAATTATTGTTTTGGGAAAATGAAGAAAATACCAACTATTGATTTTTAAAGTGACTCCATTTGCCCCTTGGTTGATCTCCAGTAGTCACTAATAATTAGCAGCCTCAAAAACAGAATGCCTTTTCAGTCTGCTGGCTGCAAAGCCAGACAACAACACTAGCATAAACAAAATTAACCTTCAACAAGATCCTAGTGCTTATATACCAGACGTGAACCACACCACTATCAGAATATTTACAAAATAATAATTAATACTGTTACATGTCTCGCTGTGGATGAGCATGGATCCTTTCAGCTTGTAGAAGAAGAAGCCATAGACATACATATATTCCACATACATCTGTGGAAGGTGCTTGCATTGGAAAGCCCCAATTCCCAAAGGTGCTAAGGTAAGTTTACACCTTTTATTTTATAAAAGCTTCGGGGGTGGTGTTCAGTGCTGTCCTGGTGACAAGACAGGTCTCTGTCTTCATCACATGTAGGCAGAAGCAAAACTTCACAATAAGTGTGCTATCAGGGAAGATAGTGAGGATCACCCCATGGCATTTTAAATCCATTAAAATAATCCCTCTAAACTTAGAATATTAAGTTTTGATCTTATTCCAGATGCATGCAGGAAAGAAACAGAAAGTTAACCAAAGAGAGACTTTGGGATTTATAAATTGAAAACAATTATTCTTCCTGGACATCTTGATTTTAGCCCATAAAGCGTGCCATGGATAATTTTTCTCAGTGTTATATTTAATGTACCCTGGATGAATGTTTCATCTGGGTTCGACCAGAGGAGGATGGGTTCCTCCCTTGAGCCCTGGTTCCTCTCGAGGTTTCTTCCTCTTTCTCCAAGGGAGTTTTTCCTTGCCACCGTCACCTCTGGCTTGTTCATGGGGGGCTTGGACCCGGATTCAGTTACTTACGTCTAACATGGACTCCTTTTTTATTTTCTCTTATTTTCTTTTTTTTTCTTCTTTTGATCCTTCCATAAACTGCTTTTCTGTAAAGCTCCTTTGAAACAACACTAGTTGTAAAAAGTGCTATACAAATAAATGTTATTGTTGTTGTAATGTTTATTATTTTAGTTGTAATTTTTAGAATGTAATTTCATGTTTAGCTAACTGAATGTTACACATATGTACAAATTTACGACTAGTTTATGTATGAATGGGTTTTAAGCTTATGACAGTACAAAATGAATCCCAAACCATTTGTATCATTCAAAATGAAAATCATTTGATAAACTGTGATAAACTGATTATATATCAATGAAAATGATTAATAATTGCCGTTAAGGATACACAGCAGAAATGAAAATATTGGGTTCTTCTACTTTGAGATAGATTTAATAGGTAGCGGTGCTAGTACTGTTTTCTTTCTCCTCCAGAGGGCAGTATAATTTAGTACAGCGCTGTTCGCAACTTGCATCATTCTAAAATTAAAATTACATGTTTTTGCTTTGGTGGATCTTTTGGTTTACTCTGATTTAACTTGATGTGTCCAGAGTTCATGCATCTTTTCTGGGGTTTTTTTGAGGCAAGTTTTGGCCAAATGTACCACCTAGCTCTGTTTGCAGTAGTCTGTTGGCAGTTTTATTCTCTAGGTGAAAGCAGCTGTAATTCACAAATATAACATATTTAACTTTACTGTACATTTCTGTACAATCTTTTTTCTGTACAGAATCACATTTAACAAATTCAGTCAACAAATTGGCCTTAGAAAGCCTCAGGATTATAAGAGTATGAGCCAATGTAAACTGAATAGCCATATTTGCTAACCTGCTATTTTACTTTTTAATCTAAATTCACAGGATATCTTAGTTTGAAAAAGATAATCTGACATGATTTACCCTGTCCACTGAGTCAGTGTACTTAACTTAGGATATCAGCACATAATTGTGTTAAAAATCAGCATGGACAGATGTTTAGATTTGGCCAATAATTCAAACCAATATTTTATATCTTTATTATACTTTGGAAGAGCAGAATGTTTAGATGACATTGGACTACATTTTTATTTATATTCCTTTATAAAAATAATTCCCCTGTAATTATAATCCACTTAGATTTTGATGTATCGACATCAGCAGATACATGTGAAAAATATCGGCATCTGCCCACAGTTCCCATTTCAGTCCTTACCTACCAAACCTCCAAACCATTCTGACAAATACAGTTTGTTCTCATGTAGGCTGCATCTCAAGTAATACTGTTTTCCCTCACTGTACATGCTCCATAGCTGCAGTGCTCCTCACTCCGGCCGCCATTACAGCAAAGAAGAAGTTGGGGAAGATGGACCTTGCGTAGATAGCTGCTTTGGAGATGGAGTGCGCCATGATGATTTCATTCTTCTTGCTGCTCAAAGTTTTCAGAAGCTCACCGGCCATCTCCTCCGGTGAAACGCCATGAGGTTTCTGTCTGGTGAGGACTGCATTTTCAAAGAGACGACTCATGAGCATCCAGGGGTCACACAAAGCTGAAGTAGGAAGTTAGCTGCATGAGTTGATGGTGAGGTGGACGTACCTGACAAGATGGAATTTGTTGTGGGGGTTTGTTTGGCTGAGGGAGCAGCTTTTATAAAAGTGTGACTGAGAGTGCTAACAGATATGCCGTACTCTTGTACTTCAGCTCTCAGACAGTCGAAGAAGGCCTGCACTGCATGTTTAGAGGCAGCATCTGAAACGGAAGAACATCTATGTGACTGGCAGCGGCTATTGTTTTTTCAGGACTCAGAGGATGATTGTAGATTTAGCTCTGTTTTATCAGTTGAAGTCATATACATAAGCTTTAACACAAAGACAAAAGTGATAGCACTCTTTGTTCCTCTAAATATTTGCATTGGTGTTACATTTGCTTTATTGTTAAGGTACACTTTATGTTCAAAAGTCCTATTCTAATTACAAAATTTAGCTACTTTAAGGTGCACCTGCTACTGACATAGGCATACAACTGTGCCCACACAGCTTGTATAATTCTCCATAGAAAAGCACTGGCAGTGGAATGGGCCACACAAGTCATCAGGCCCAATGCTAGTAGGGTATAAAGACCCCCAACGTTGGGCTGTGGAGCAGTGGAGCTGCATTCTCCGGAGTGATGGAGCTCCAGTGACTTTAGGATGGGTTGGAATGGCGTTTGTGATCCAGAAACAATCATCCAACATCAGTACAAATCCAGAGGACAATTAAGTCCTCACAGCAATCTAATCTTCTCAGAAGGTTGTTACTGTAGCAAAAGGACACAAACTTCAAATTAATACCCTTAATTTCAGAAGAAATGTGGGATGAGCAGCTACCAGCACTAAAGGTTTGCAGACAGCTGCTCATAACACATTTCTTCTGAAATTAAGGTTATTAATTGGGAGTTTGTGCCCCCTTTTGCTGCAGTAACATAAGAATTTGATTGCATTCAGCTTAGTTTTAGGCTTAGGCTTAATCTATTTCTGGTAACTATGACCTAGAGTTTTATGCAAAAAAGAAAAAGGCTTTGGACTCATTCAGTGTCTGCCAACATGTAAATAGAGCTATCTCTCAGTGTCTATTAGCTAAACTCACAGGTGGTGCGGAAAGGCACAGTCAGTTTTCCCTGAATGCTGTTGACCAGGATGATGTGGCCAGATCTTCTGGTGATCATAGAGGGTAGAACACCTGCAATTGTAAGGTGTACATTAAAAAGCGTTTTAGAAACGTGTAGCGAAATGACAGGATTGATTTGTGGTTTGCTTGTGGGGCTTCATATTGTACCTTTGGCCAATGTGATTGGTCCAAAGTAGTTGGCATCCATAACCAGCTTGTCCATCTCCAGAGACAGTGTCTGTACCGGCGCCTTCACTTTCATGCTGCTGTTGAAGATGAGCACATCCACACAGCCATAACAGTCCAGCACGTCTGAGACCACATCTGGCATTGACTTCATGTCGCTAAAGTCCAGCTCTACTAACTTGGGTGGGAACGTCTGGAAATATTTCGTTGAACAGATATTGAAATGAATAAGCTTGGAACAAAACTGCAGTGTTGACAAAGACATTCATCCCTCAATGCAGTGTGTGTGGGTGCCAGTCTTGGTCATGTTCATAGGCTTAAATAAACTACAGATCAGTATACAACTACACAGCTTGAACAGTGATGCTCCATTACAGGCATTATAAGATATTATAAAGAGTTTGGGGAAACCTCTATGAAAAAGATCTATAGGAATCTTAATACTACAGGAATTTCAACAAGAGTCCTGCAGTGGTGCTAAATTCAGAGAATTACTGTAGTTTACTCCAGGGTAGTGCAGAAGTGTAGTAAGATTGCCACTTTCCTTCCCCACTGGACAGAAACATGACTACAAAATCTGTCATGCAAATGACATCACTATCTAATGTCCTGCGAAGCAGCAGAAATGCACTAAGACGTGGGATTTGTAGTTTAACTGTATTTCCATCTCCAGTCATATTTCGCAGATAAATGTTCTGCTACGTTGTATTCATAGCTACTGTGCTTGTATGGTCATACAATGACTGTTTCACGAAAGTTTCAGCTTTGAAGTGTTTTTAATCTGTTATCAGAAATGTCCCTAAGGCTTAAGATAGTAATAAGATAAATTCATGCAAAATCATCATTTAGAGGGTACTTTCTATTGGGAGGTGGCTCCAAATCCTAACCCCTAAATTTCTTGTGAAAACCAAACCAAGTTTTTTTTTTTTCATTCAAAAGCATGCAATGACAACATACAATTCCATGCACATGTTGATTTCCAATTAGATATATCCTTTCATACACCTTGTGATCTATATCTCTCCATCTTTTTTATTCTTTAAAAAATCTTTTTTTTTCCCCTTCTTTTTGACATTCTGTAAAAGTAAACAAATAACTATATACATTAAAACCTGAGGAGATGCCTTGGGGTAAAAAAAGGGGGTTAGGTAAGAAGAAAAGGGGGGGGGGCATACAAGTTTTTAATCTTTTGATTTCTTTTAAGGAGATATTGAATGATTTGGATTTATCAAGTCTTTGCATTTTATCAAGACAAAAAAACTTCATTTAAAAAATTGTGTCTCATTTCGAGTCACTGCTGAAACAAAGTTTTAGTCAATAGGTGGAACCTTATTTTAGCTACACCCCTGAATTTTAGAGCAGGAAGTGAGACTGCATCCCTGTCCCTCATGGCCACATGGTGAGCAGTTAAATCCCATTATTTTGAATTAAATGTGTCCCAAAGTCTGAAAATCAGTGTGTAACAATAAGAATTGTTGCTAAGAAACGCATATTTTCTGCAATTATGTTTCAATGAAAAATGATTTTCTATGATTTTTGTAATTTAAAGTGTGTACAACTGTTCAAAGCTGTGATTGATATCATGTTATGGCTAGTGTTCTTGAGTTCTGCTCAAAATTAGCTAAAATTCTCACTACCAGCAGTAACGTTTCGATAGTGTTATGATTGTTTTAGTAGTTACAAAGTTGAATATTTTTAAATTAAAATATAGAGTCACTCAAAGCAAAAGGATTCTAGTCTAAAGTCCAAGTCAGTCCAAAACCCAAACTGTGTTTTCAACTCTGACTTCAGTACGTGTATGTGCATGTTTGTTTTGTGTTGTGTTTGATTGTGCAGTGGGGTTCCTTTGAGTTGTCAGCATCAATGTATTTACTATAATATTGTCTTTTACTTACTAAAGTTGGATCTGATTCATTGGCCAGCTGCTCTGCAAGAGCCTCAAGCTTTTCCCAGTTCTTCCCACAAAGAATCAGCCGCGCTCCCCTCTTGTGGAAGACTTTTGCACACTCTAAAAAGGCCAAGAACAGTAAATGCTACAACAATAATCCATCTGTAATATAGTTGTAGAGAAAATAACAATCTGAAGGAACAATAACTCGGAACAATAGCATACCCTTCCCCAGAGCCGACGCTGAATCTGTTATTAGCACTACTTTGTTTCGCAGTGCGGTTTTGTTCAGCAGCTGGAGGATCAGACTGTACAGATAGAATACCCCTGCTGTGACCACCACCACAGCAGGCACCAGCCAAACCGTGGTCATGCCTGCCTTCTGAAAGAGATTACACAATAACATCTGTACTCTGATACAGCACATCAGTGCTTTTTTAGTGTTTACTGCTTTAAATGCAACAGTTTCTTACCACACTGTCCATGTCCGCAGTGTTAGATCTGTTTAATCATCAGTTCGCAGGAAAAATATTTAGCTGAACTACGTCAGTCTGGAAGAAAATGTCATAAAAAAAGAATAAAGAGAGCAGGAATGTATAAACTCAATTCATAAAAAGTTGGGTAGCAGGTACAATGCAAATAAAAACAGAAAGCAGTAATTTATAAATCTACTTTGGCCTGTATTTGAATTAGTACAAAGACAAGATATTAAAGCAATAAGCCACGAGAAGCTCTGCGTTACTGCGATTTTATCACCGGGAAGGGTGATCTTAAAACTGTGAGTGTTAACTGAATATCAAATATTAACACAATTGTGTGCAATAGTTTCATTTAGTATAAGAAAAAAAAAATCTCACGACTTTGAGCGGCTCATTGTTTTTATAAAATAGCAGCTAACAAAAATATGTTAAAATACACAAAGTTTTAGAAAATTATTCAAGTTTTTATTAATAATAGTCAACTTAAACTAGTATTCCGCCAAGAAATATAGTACCTTTAGAGTATGCTATGGTTGCCAAGCAACCACTGACTGCTGAATGAGAAGAAGAACATTCGGTCTCACTGTACACTCACTGTATACTGCATCATTTCATAAATCTTTTACATTTTTGTTGTTTAACAGTGAACATATCTTACTGTTTAATGCAAAAACATTCACTTTGTAAGTACTTTTTGGTCACAAAATTACCACCGCAGGTCTTATATAGCATCTAATCCAACAAAGCTCCTTTACTCATATTGAGGCTGAATCTCAAACGGCGCCCTTTAGATGTTCTCCCCATGTCTGCGTGGGTTTCCTTCTGGGTTCCCCAGTTTCCTCCCACAGTCCAAAGACATGCAGGTAGGCCGATTGGACACGCTAAATAGCCCTTAACAGGGGAGTGCACTTTATGTCGCAGTGCAAGCTGGGGTTTGTAGTGCAGCACATTGTGAATCAGGGGTCGTATTACAGAAACTTCAAAGTTTTCAGTGTAGATAAATGTCGCGTCATTATGCCACTTATAGTGAACTATGCTGCCTGACACTACACAAAACAGTAGAAACAGACAAATAAAACAGAAGTAAAGACTCCTCTGAGGTTGTCTTAAAGTTAGGACAGAATTTAGGAAATTTTATCTAGTTAGGATGTTTCTGTAACACTGTTTTCTTATCTGGAGTTAATGGATAAGATTATGAATTGAAGAACTGTTGTTCTGTAAGCTTCTGTATTAATTTAAACCCAACTAAAGTTGTCATGATGACTAAACAGATAAGATTTCAGACTCAAGAAGTTTCTGTAATATGGCCCCAGATGTCCAAAGTGTGCCTCTAAAAGCTCTCTCACAGGCAATTATTGCATGAAATGGTTATGAATACCTGAGTAATTTTAGCGCTAGTTTTTACGCCAAAAATATTTTTTTAATCCATTCATGGTGAAGAGGTAAATGCAGGGACAAAACAGTACCCAAAGAAACCTTTTTTATGATTTACTACGGTTTACCATTATCAACATTACATACAAAGTCTTAGAAGACACATGGAGGTTTACTGGGTGTTTTGGATAGTAAATAAAGTGGCTATGTTTGCATTGTAGACATTGTGACTCCTGGTTTCCATCACCACTCTAAAGAAAACTGCATCAGTAAGGTCCTTCACAATGAGCCATTTTACATTTTTTAAACAACTTTGAAAAATCAGTGGGATTCGCCTTTAAATTTTAGTGTGTCTGGAGGCTCCATATCCACAACACCGTGTACAATGTGTGTGTTTATAGAAGAGCTAAATATATTTGCTATCTTTAAATCTATTCCAAATGCAAAGTCCAGTCATGTAAGTTAGATCCAATGAAATGCAATCAAAGACAAGTTTCCATCAGGTAGAACACAAAGAAGCAGATTCATTGCAGTCATGATAAGCCACCTTCCACTTCCCTGCATAAAAAAAGCAATGGAGTCTCATTCCAGTCTAACTTCCAGCAGTACAGTAACATAATCAGTCAACACATGCAGATATATAATGTATCACTCTGTGAGACTTACAAAACGTAGAAGTGTGAGCTTGAGGTGAGGATTTCAGCTAGCTTGTCCTGGGTTAAGGGTAGAAATGCTTGCAATCTTTTCCAGTACCTCTTCCCACAGCTTGGCGCTGGACAGCAGGCACCAGGCAGCGCTCTGAGATTTGAGTGCTTTTAATAGCACACAGCTGAAGCTGTCGTCTGTCATGTAAGTTGTATACATAGCAGCGTTTGAAGCATTATTGCAGGCGGTTAAGTGGCGGCCTATTTCTGGAGCTGTGCTTTAGGTGGGTCAGTGTTTTTTTGAATGTATGGCAGTATTCAGCAAGAACACTCACAGCCAAGACAACAATAATGAGCTACTTTATTAACATAAGACAGAAAAACTGAATTGATGATATTTTCTGTGATCTTTGAACAATACAGTTAAACATGTTTTGTACAACATGTACACAACTGAGCTCTGAGTGTGCAGAAAGGAGCAGTAAATAGGATCAGGTTACCATTTGAAAATAGACTGTTAACACTTTTGCAGACTCCCTGACTTAAACCACCATTTCCATTGCTTATAGTGTCGACATACAGCGTCTGAAGGTTATCTTTCAGGATCATTTAGCTAACCTGAATTAAAATGGCTTTGGCAAAGAGATGTTGGCCCAATTATTTATTCTACATGCATTTTCCAGTGTATTACATAGACAGAGACAGGCAGCTATTCTCTGTATGTAAAAAGTGGTTAGTCAGATCTACTTAAATAATTGACTTCATGTGGTAACATGCAGTTGAACTAGTTTTATTCAGCTTAAAAAACTACATTGATTGAAAGAATCATTCATGCAAAGTATTTATTTAGGTTGAATAAAACTAGTTAATTTATTTGTTACCACATGAAGTCACTTTTTACAGTGTAGAAACTCAGAGATTTTCTAGCCGTTCTGTATTAAAACAGTAAAATGTAAACAAAGTAATTTAGAGTGGTTTGAAGTGAAATGGTGTATTGTAGAGAAACATAATGACTCAGACTACTTGATGATAGTAGTGATAAGGAAGTGATAAAGAGGAAGCCAGGCATCACAATGTTTACATCTCAAATGCAGTACAAACCTACAAGTGTTCTCTATTTTTATATGTAATGTTAATGATGGTGAAATAGTGTATTTTAAAAATAGGTTATAGGCCCAAATATGGTCAAAGCTATTATAAAAGAATGGCTCAGACATCAGACAACGTATTTATTCATAACCACTTCACAAAAAGTCATTACATAACCGACATATATAAAGGTATAATTTGGGCTATCACACTGGCTATTTCACAGCTATGTGTTGGAGCAACTTACTTGCTCACAAACATTAAAATTTCATAGCCTGTATATGTGTGAACAAGCCTTTATCTATACAAACACAACAGCTGGGTTTAGTAGCTTTCCAAAGGTACTATTTTAATATATTGGGTCTACATACAGCCGACATAAAATGAAATGGAATGAACTGTTGTTCCATTTTGTTCTAACCGATTTAAGAATCTTATGTTGGGGTTGGAAAGCAAAAATGGAAACACTGAAATAATGTTTCTGACTGTTTCCTTATTCTGTTTCTGAGCCCTCGTATCAACTAGTTAAAAAGGCTCTGAAAAACTGCTTTGGTAGAGTAAACAGGAGAAATGCTGGACTGGCCAAATTGTAAGATTTAGTCATAAGACTAGTCTATTCACTGAGCTGTGCACAAAACTATTCTGAATTTCTGAGCATATTACAGAGAAGCTGCACTCAAAAAGTTGGAAATTTAAGTGTTAACCTTAGGCAAGTTCTACGTTACCCTAGTTTATGATCTGAGACACCATCCAGTGTATTCTCTGATACTATGTGAACACAGTTCATCTACACACTTGAAAAAGATGTCTTTTTAAGGAAAGTTCTTTAGTAAAGGCAATGGTTTTCTTTAGAATTGAGTTCTATTTAGAACAATTTCATGCTGAAATGGTTCTTTACATAGTGAAGTGGTTCTGAAGGTGTTGTATATTTTTGAAAAGACTTCTCTATAGCACCAAAAAGGTTCAGCTATTGTTACCATGTCAAGCTTGTACCGATAGAAGAACCCTTTTTTAGTGCTATTAGAACCATTTATTTAAAAAAAATGGTGTTCTAAAGAAAATCGTACCAACAGAGTGTCCTAAATAGGAGTGTCCTATTTGATCTGACTGATTTATTAAAATGACAGCAGCTAAGCTAAGAAAAGCTAATGTAAGCCCTATTGGAGTTGGATTAGTTTTACCAGATGAGGTATAGTAATATAATATGTGCGTGATTTGACTGGCCAACTCATAAGGGATATAGGAGCTGTGTAATTTCTCCAAAAGACCCCAAATAGCTCAGATTAAAACATCATTGCGCAGACGTTTACCTCAGCATTATTCAACAGGCACCACACTTCCGTCTCTAATCATACATCCCTATCCTGATCTTACTTCAAAAACAATAAAACACATTGGGTGGATAAATGGTAAAATGTTAAATAATACCAAAAAATGAGTCTTGTCTTGAACTTGAGGATTTGGGAATTTTGTCAAATCAAGCTTTATATAGCTGTTAGCCTTGTCTTCAGTGCAAAAAATGGAGGTGCTGTTTTCTGTTCCTTAGTTTTGTTGTTTTGTCATTATCAATTTGAACAGGGCTGCTATTACTGAGGGAGCTCTGAGTTCAGTGTGTTATAGAAGGTGATTCACTTCTAAATTATTATTTATCAGACTTGTAAAAACTATGGACTTGGCAGGTTAATACTGGATTAAAATCACGGATCTCACCGGTAATCACTCAAATTACAGCACCTCCCCAGGTAAAACCAATCCAGCTCGAATAGGGCTTTAGTTAGCTAACTGATCTTAACATTTTTCCGCAAGGTTATGTATCATTACCTCCATAGTTTAATCCAAAACTTTTTTTCAATCATTATTTTGGAAGTTACGTTTTTTAATTTAGAATGCGATTCTAAATTAATTTGGCGGGCTGGATAAGAACCATTAGGACAGTCTTGATTATTTAAGCGTCCAAAACGGTATACGACCATACTATAATGAATGGAAATCTAATGGTGATGTACTACTATTAACATACTATTTATTATGGTAGTATGCAATTTTTGACAGAGCCTTAGTATTTGACACCTCTGGATTATGCCTTAGTCTAGACTAAACTGCAGTGACAATGGTGTTTCATCATTTAAAAACCCTATTTTATCTAGGGTTAGGCTTAATCTGGGTCTGGGAAATCCGGTGGATTGGTACATTTACACTAGCAAAGGTTTTACTAAAAGTTTTCAGACCGCAAGTACTCCGACTGGAAAACAGCTCCTGTAAACCTTCCGAGCTGTGGAGGGCGGATACGTCGTAGGGAGTAGGCATTAGGCGTGATGCCTTCCGAATGGGACGCGCCCCTAATCCATCACCGCACCGGCTCGACCAGCACTGACAGCCGGTGCTGCTGCTGCTGCTGCCCTCAGCGGCGGCTAAAACAGAGCGGCTGGACCGGTTTATGGTAAAAAAAATGTCGGATTTTGAGGAATTCGAGAAACAGCTAAGTGAGAATAGACAAGGTAATACAGTTTAATTTGCTTCCATGTACTGTTGCTATGTTTACACTCTGCACCTCGCAGTGCCGTTTCATAAAAGGCTTGCATGTAGCTTGCTAGCCAGCTGGCGAGCTAGTTTTGCATTTGCAGCTCTGTTTAAATCGTTAATTTAGCTTTCTTGTTAGTGGGCAAGAATTCACTGAATGGTCTGTCAGCCGTTAGCTATCTGTGTTTCACGGTTCAGTCTCGGTCCAGTCAGCTGGTCAGTCAGTGACCGGTTTTTAATTCTTTAATCTGTAGCTCAGGATGCCAAAACACTCAGGACTGCGAAATCCTTACAGTTTTATTCAAGGTTTTAGCTACGCCGATTATATGAAGAAAACCTGGACGCCTGACTAAACTAGTTAGGTTAGCTAGTTTGGTCAGAACATGACTGCCGTCTGTCCAGCTGAGTTAGCTTGGCTCACACAAACATCTGTGGGCCCTATTGCGAAATAGGCCTGTGTATTTTATTTTTTAAAGGTAACCTGGAAATGGCTGTATATTAAGCAGGTGCTGCTGTGATGTACAGTAATTTCTTTTAAATGTCTTGCTCAGTTTTGACATCATAGCTGTAATATGAGAATGTCACAATGTAATTCAGTTGTAGATATTTTATGGCCCCTCCTAAATCTTCTATTAGTATCCCATTTCGAAATCAATAATTTGACAGCCTGCATTGTTGATTCCTTTACTTTTCCTATAGAGAGAGAGAAGGAGAAGCATAGGAGAAGGAGCCGCAGTGGCTCACTGAGTCGTGGTGAGAAGCATCGCAGCTGGAGCAAAGACAGAGGGAGCCGCAGCCGAGAGAAACGCAGCCGCAGTCGAGACCGCAAGAGCCGGGATCGCCGGAGCAGCTCCAGGGACCATAAGAAACACAGGTGTCCAAAAGATTCTCAACAAGCCAAGGTCTTATCTAATGTATAGGAGAAGAAATCAAAAGCTCAGGGTTGCTATCCAGACTCTTGGCATTCTGACGTCTCCTGTGCATCTCTACTGTTGGCAGTTGTAGTAGAAAAGAAGTAGGTGCAGAGATAATAGTTGTGTTATTTGGTTGGCAGTTTCAAAGTGTCGTGGAATAGACTTGTAGGCTACTTGAAGCTTGAAAAATGCCTGGTTTAGGCGTATGAGTCAGATTCTCTCCGTTTTCTGAATAAGCTGTTGGCCTACACTTTTTCTTTTTTTGTGTGTGTCCTCAGCTATTCTCCTCGACGAACAAGAAAGAAAAGGACATACAGATACTGGGATGTTCCACCCCCGGGGTTTGAACACATTACTCCAGCGCAGTACAAAGCAATGCAAGGTACAGCAATTGTCCTCCTTTACCCATAGATCTAGAGCCAATGTGCTTAGGCCGGGTTCTGTACAGTGTCGGAAATATCTACAGTATAGTGCAATATTCATACACCACCCTTTATTTATTGAATTTTTAGTCAGGTTGCCCATTAAGTACACATTATCATTTTTTCCAGAGATATTAAAAAATTTATAAACTAGAGTTCAAAATAAGGATGAAAAGATCGATCTCCCCTCTGCTTCAGATCTGAAAAAATCCACAGGTGTTTCTGTCCATCCTTCCACTGTGAAAAGACCACTCAACACTATGAGTCTGAAAGGACATGTAGCTGTCAAGAAGCCATTACTGAGAATGGGAAGGGGACGAAAAAGAAGAAAATTTACAAATCAAACAAAATAACTGCTGTTTTTCTCAGAACAATGGATTGAACACCTCCATTCAGTGTATGAATGAAAATATGTTTGGGATAAGGTAGTTCTTAAGAAGCAGAAAGCACTTCTAACCAACTTCTAAGACTGAACTTTGGACTTATAAAAAAATGTAAAAAAAAATCATGTCTGGTCATTAACTTTAGCAGAGTACTGTATATATAATAAATATAGGAGACATGCATGTTGCTCATTATATTGGTTAAGTTTTGCTGACAGTTGTGAACATGTGAACTCTATGTTAAATATACCTGTATGAAAAATATTCTTTTCAGTTTGTTGTTTTGTTTTAATACTGTAGTACTGTTCCAGCTCTGGATTAGTTCATCTATTTATGTAGTAAACATGAGTCATCATTTAAAAAGTTAATGTCTAACCTTTAACTGTCATCAGCTGCGTAACAACTGAGCCACGGCATTCTTTTAACTGACTTATATTGTGTACTTGTAAATAGATCTTTTAATTTATTCTTCTCTAATTAATCTTTGAAACTGTCGTAGCTGCTGGGCAGATCCCCACCATTGCGCTGCTGGCGACGTCTACCACAGCCGGAGTGGCTGTGACGCCAACACAAGTGCCTATTGTTGGCAGCCAAATGACCAGACAAGCTCGACGTCTTTATGTTGGCAATATACCCTTTGGAGTGACTGAGGTAAGCTTCTTAAAATAGCAGCCCATGTGTTTCATGGTAAACAATTGTCTTGATAATTTATAAGGCATCAGTATTTTTTCAATTGGATTATGATTCCTGTCAACAACTACATTTTCAGAATGCCACCATTTCCCGTCTGCTTCTCTGTGATGGCAAGCATTTGACCTATGAGTGCTCTTTGTAGCAACTGTTGGGAGCTTGGACAAGCTTATCAATGGCAAAAATAACATTCAACCTAATGAATGCAGGTTTGCTAAGTAATGTTACATTTCCAGTCTAAAATGCAGTGCTGCCATGTTGTTGTAGCTAAAACTAGGCCAGTTGAAAACAACAACAGATTTGCCACCATGCATGATTACATGCTAAAAAAATAAAAGTTGACCTATTTTTGTTTTCATTTTTATTTAATTTGCTCCCCAATTTTGTCATTGCCAATTCTACCAACTAGTTAGGCTTCCCCTTCAATCACATGATGCTGCCAAGCTGGGAGGGTGACGGCTAACACACTTCTTCCGGGTCACGTGAAACCACCTCATTTTTTCATACTGCTGCTAAGACAATGTCATTGAACGAAAACGCTTGGACGAAAACGCTAACTGCCAGTTCTATTACAGACATTCCTATTACTTAAAATCGTGCTGAGTTATGGGGAAGGGGAAATCCACCCTACTCACCCAGAGAGAGCAAGGTCTTAGGGCTTTCTTGGACTCCCAGCCATGCATGTCTGTGACACCTGATCTTTACAGTGACAAAATAAATGTAACAATGCATTTCCATATTTTGAGCTGTGTGCTCATTTCTCATTAGACTGAATGGGATTTTGAGTGTTCTGTAAGACTTTTCTAACCTCACAGCAGTGTATTGCTAAAACACATCAGTGGGCTGAACATGGATAGATGAATTACTTTAGCTAATTCCAAACAGAATAAATTACTGTTTATGATTGAAATTCCTAGTAACATCCTTTATATAATGTACTGCGTATCCTGTTTAGGAATCAATGGCAGAGTTCTTCAACACCCAGATGAGACTTGCTGGGCTTTCTCAGGCACCCAGCAACCCTGTGCTTGCTGTGCAAATTAATCAGGACAAGAACTTTGCATTCCTTGAGGTAAATAAACTTCAGTCAGTGATTTACCTTTTTGTGCCTAAAAGGGGAATTGGTTTTGATGTAAACAGAAACTGCTTAGTGTTTAACAGTGAATATACATGCTGATTTTTTTTTTCTAGTCACGTCTAAAGTCACAAGGAAAATTGCAGAGTTAGTGGTATGGTGTGGTGCTGAACAGCCGAGTGCAGCTATTTTTAATCTGTGACAATGAAACGTTCGGACCTCCTTATCCAAATGGTGTTACTATTAAAAGCAGTGGGGGGCATTGCAGTCCAAACCAAGTTTAGAATTACAGAAAAAAGTATGGGGTGCTTTTCCTGTTTGCTGTAATATTATGTTAATTTTGTGTTGTGTGTTTTAAAGTGTTTTCAGAGTGTATTTTTGCACATATAAAAAGATGTATTTTTAAGATAATTGCAGAGCTGATTTAAAGGCATTCTGTAAACTGCATTAAAAAAAAAAAAAAAAGAAATTTGGTGATTTATAATTTGCAATAGTTTTCTTCACAAAGTTCAACACTGCCCTCTAGTGGAAATGATTATTTTTGGCAGACCTAAAGCTTCAGTAAAGCATTAGAGTTTGGAAGCAAATGCGTGTGAGATCATATTTTCTGACCCCACATAACCTTGTCTGTTTAGGTTCCCTTGTAGAATGAGGTGCTGCAATGTCCTCATGACTGCAGCGTCTTATGTGTAAATCTCTCTGTTTCAGTTCAGGTCAGTAGATGAGACCACACAGGCCATGGCGTTTGATGGAATCATCTTTCAAGGGCAGTCACTGAAGATCAGACGGCCTCATGACTATCGCCCCCTGCCCGGCATTTCTGAGCAGCCGGCCTTCCACGTTCCAGGTTAAGATTAGCACAAAGTGGCAGTCAATGGGCCAGTTTCCCAGATGAAGAACAGGCTTAGGCCTGGACTAAAAAGGATTTTCATTGGTGAATTACCTTTGGCATTGGATTTAATCTGTGTATGAGAAATAATTGCATTTGTTTTGAAGTGACTGATATGATCCTTTCAGTTAGTCACTAATCAGCTAACACTTAAACAGCTACAATTTTAATGCAATATAATGGCTTCTTTGTTCCACTAGGAGTTGTGTCCACAGTTGTACCAGACTCTCCCCATAAACTCTTCATTGGAGGTCTGCCCAACTATCTAAATGATGATCAGGTATGGCTTAGCCTTTGCATAAAATGTCATTTCAGTTATTATCTTAAACTCACTCCATCCATCTAAGAGCAGCGGTAACAAGCATGCACGTTTTTCCAGTTGTCTCTAGAAAGGCTTCACTTATTTATGTTATATTGATTGAGCCCAGTCATGCTGTTAACTTTTCAGTGATTTGAACTTCACCTCCTGGGTACAGATGGCGGTGCCAACAGTTATAGCTGAATATGATTGATTTTAGGGAGAAATTTAACATGTACAGTTGCACTCCCCCACTGTTTTAAACATGGATATAAAAAGTCTCAGATGTATTATTTACATTATTTTTTCTTTAATATGTTACTTCACTCAAAAAATTTGCTTAAAAAGCTACTGGATAGTTTAAATGCCTATCTGTATTTTGATTTTCTAACTAGACCCATTGTCCCACTTATTTTAACAAGCTTAGCCTCTTTATGAGTCATCTGTGCCATTCTAGCTGGTGTTAACAGTCTTTACCCACAGTAATGAGAATGCTTTGCCATAAATGCATTATCCACTGGAATAGGATGCTAAGACAGGCTAAAATTGCTACATTTTTCTTGGATTTCCAGGGACAAATTTACAGATGTCCAAGGCTGAAAATTTAGGAAAACTATCAATTTTTAATTAAAAAATGAAAGAATGAAGCCTGCGCTCTGTACTTTATGCCATTTTCAGCTGTCCTGTCAAATCATCAATATACCCATTAATATCATAATAGATCTGGTTTGGTTAGATCTGTCCTTAAAGCCAGGCGTGCACTACACAATTTTTTGCTTGATTTTAGCCTAAATTTGCCCCTTTTATACATTTTTTACAGTCTGAAGCGAATTTCCAGAAGCCTTTTGACGGCTCTGATGGTCTGGTAGTGTGGGAGGGAAAACGAGGATTAATGGGAGGCCTTCTGATATTTTCAAATGTTTGATTTGTATAATCAACAGAGAGCGTGAGTATGCACAGCAATGGAGGGGCTGCTTATTGAAAACTGATAAATAAATGCGTGAGTGCCTCTGTTACTTTACTGTCTTTATAATAACCAGAACACGTTGCCAGTTTCATGATAAAATGCTTCTTGGGGTCTATGGAGTAAATTCTGTGCCAAATGTTTCAATTACAATAATTAAATCCACAAGCAAGTATCAAAATGTCCAACATATGTTGCAAATACAAATGACAGTTAAATCAAACCAAATTTTTCAAAAAGATTACATCTTATTTTGACTCATTTTGATATATATATATATATTGCTCATTTTGCCAGTGTTTCATTTTTTTTCCTGTTTGCTGATTTTACTGATATATTTTGTTTCTGAAATTTTTCTTTTGCTTTTGACATTTTCACAAGGGCAGGTCTTAGAATAGGGTTTTCACCCGCACTCTCTATTGGTCAACTGATTTGACAGGTCTTCTGAACGCGTAGCCAGGTATCAAGAAAACATATATATATCAGCAAATGCAAAAAAAAATGCAAGCAAAGACTGTCAAAATGAGTAATATATTTATATGAAAATGAGCGAAAGAGTAATACTCTTTTTGGAAAAAAAAAGTTGAAATAGTTCATAACTGCCATTATTTGTATTTGCAACATATTTTGGATGCTTTGGCACTTTGCTTGTGGAAACTTTTGGCACACTCCTCAAAGGTCTCACTGCAGATTAGAAAGATATCTGTGTTTCCTAACCCCATATTTATGCTTGGATAGTGATTTTATGCACACATAATATGCATAGCGAAAAAAGCAGACAAGTCTGGCCCAGTTCCAGTTTCATTTGTGTCACGTGATAACGGCAAGATTTGGAATTTAAGTGTTTATTTAGAAAAAGAAAAAAAAGAAATTCTGCAGAAGTCTGATGTTAAGTGTGAGATGTTCTGCAAAAAAGTAGCCTCAAAATTAGTCTGTTTTCAAAATCTGTTGGGAAGTTGTGTAGTGTATGCCTGGCTTTACTTTATACAACATTTAGTGGGTTAGCATACATATAGACATTTTATAAACATAGTGTTGATTTTAGACATGTCTGAAGTAGATAGACTTTCTTTTTATGGATTAGCCCCAGATTTACTACTCAAAATACATTTAGTCCTCAAAATAAATTCCTACCAACTACTACATTAACTGCATGTTGACATTTAGACTTAGTGGCTCAGTGTCTAATATCTCCTACTCGTATATGACGTGATGTTTGTAGTTGGATGGATATTATGATTTTGGAGTTAAGAGAAGGTAAGATTGTTTGACTTCATTAGAAGATTACTGATGTAACAATCCACATAAAAACTAGAAATGATTCCATTGTAGTCTCTAAAGAGAAAGGGGAGTTAACACGGCTCCTCAGAGAGAATATAGTTGTTAGCTAATTGGAATGTAACTGCCAGACCAAATTACTAGATTCAGATGGAGGTGAATGTACCCTGATATTCATTTCTTTCTTTTTTTTTTTTCTTGCAGTCACTGTTACTGCTCTGAAACTCACAGCTCTTTCATTTTTGTTCCCCCCACTTTGTCCCCAGCTAGGGGCCTGTAAGATCGTTAAGTCTGCGCTCATAATTTGTTCAGTATTACTGATCTACTGCTGCCATGCCAACATGTAATACAAGGCAAGTAAGACATTTCCGTTCCTCGCACGGATACACTTCCTGCCAGCAGGGTTCCCCCGTTGGCTGCTCTCTTTCTACCATCACTCTTTCGGAGCGCGTTAACCCGCAGAGGGTTTCTGGGTAGCGGGGAGGGGGTGGCGGGTGGCTAGCTGGGGTGGGTTAGTTTCATTAAAGGCACAATATTTAAGAATAATGATGGTGGTTTTAGTAGAAACATACAGTGGTATGTTTATTCCAACAATTTTTAGAACATGAATATTCTTGTCATTGCATAGTACTGTACTGCACTAATTTCTGTTAAAATAACAGAGTCACAGATATAAGCATTTCATTACCATCAGTGTAGACTTTGTTATAGTATATATGTTTTTTTGGGCAGAATCACTGTTTCATTTTCAAGTTAGTACTTTTTTTTTATAAACGTTTCCACCAGGACAAGGAAATGCTAGTGTCCTTTAATTATGCTTGTATGTTATTTATCTTACATAATGTTATAATACTGCAGCAGCAGTAAGTTTTAATCTAAAGGAATGTGATATCTTTGGGTTTTTTTCCTGCTGTCATCTCTTGCACCCCAATCATTCCACCACTTAATTTCTTTACCTACAAGTCTTATAATGGAAAAGAAATATGTCTTTTTGCTCATCTCATTATACTCTTTGCCGCGCTAAAGGTTTTGTCCTCCTCTTTTGTGCAGGTTAAGGAGCTCTTGACATCATTTGGACCACTCAAGGCTTTCAACCTTGTTAAAGACAGTGCTACATCACTGTCGAAAGGTTATGCTTTCTGTGAATATGTGGATATTGGTGCCACTGACCAGGTAAACAGATGTTTCTGTGAGAAAAATCTCTGTATATAGCTGTAGCTAGGATTTGCTGGCAAAAAACAAAACGGAAAAAAACAATAGGATGCTGATGCAATATTTCTACAATTTTTAGATGAGAAAAAAGCTCATGGGCCTGGCCTGTGACTCACTCACTCATTCACTTCCATTTCGGGACTTTTTTAACATGCCCTCACCTTCTTGAAGTCAGAAGTGGCTACTTGCTGAATAGGGAGGAGGTGACAGTGAGGAGTGGATTATTCAGTTATTCAAAAGGAACACTCTCACCTTCAGTCAGGTTAGCTTCAGAGTATTAATCAACAAGTCATGCAGACTTTCTAATACAAAACACTTTTTTAATGTAGCATATGCACATTTTGTGAAAAACTGTTTTGTTTGGCTACAAACTTTGGGTTAACATCATGTTATATTGCCTTTTTTGTAGAGTAGGATAAAGTTTTATCAACAGTAATTCATAAGAGATTAAGAGAGTAGTTTGCAACCTAAAGCAGAGCAAATCAAATGTGTCTCATTCAACGTTTTACGAATGTGGCTTAAACTGCTTTGTCAACTACTTTTTTCAAGGTTGAAAAGGAAATGCATCAGGTCACAATGATTACTGAGGAGGTTTTGCTGCTTAAGTTGACACTTATGTTCTCTCAGTTTCTCAGTCCTTTAAGGGCTCATCTAACACACTTCACTTGAGCTAATAAAGTAACGTAATGACCCTTAGGATGGCATCAAGGGCTTGGACGAGGGCTTGTTAAAACCAGTTTTGAAATGGGTGAATACTCACATACTTATTTAGCAGGTTGAAGATGGGGGGGGGGCACTCACTCAAGTAGCTTTCGATGCTTTATTTACGGCATTTGGCAAACTGTACATTTACGGCATTTGGCAAACGCTCTTATCCAGAGCGTCTTACAATTTTAATCATTTTTACACAGGTAGGCGAAGGTAGTGTTAAGAGTCTTGCCCAAGGACTCTTACTGGTATAGCGTAGTGTACTTACCCAGGCAGGGGATTAAACCCCAGTCTACAGTATAGAAGGCAAAGGCGGAGGTGTTACCCACTACACTATACCAACCTTCAGAAGTGGTGCCTCACATCAGTGACAGTCTGTGTCCTTGTTAAAATATTTTCATTGTAAGTCCTTTGGATTACACCCAGAATTTTTCATGATGTATTCTGTCGATGACATTCAACAAATTTCTGAATTTGTTGAATGTCAGTTTGTCAGCAAAACAAGATGCTAATGTGACCTTCATAACGAGGGAATGACCTATATACACAATCCAAGGCTAAATGAAAGTGTTTGTTGTGTTTAGGCGGTGGCAGGGCTGAATGGCATGCAGCTTGGTGATAAAAAGCTCATCGTCCAGCGGGCCAGTGTGGGCGCAAAGAACGCCAATCCAGTAAGTGCCAGTGCCAGACCCACATTGGGCTCCTTTCATTTTCGATTTGCCAAGGTCGCCAATGCAGATACAGTTACTTTCCTTCGCATCCTTATCCCACCATGCTGGTGTTTTTTAGTTGTATCAAATACATAGTACGTTCCATCCTTGCATACCAGTTTGGTTCGACATAGTCCTTGTTGTCCTTGCCAGCTGGTTTTAGGCATTCGGCAACCATTCAGTGGTCTCTGGTTGCCCCCATAGCAACTTTTTGGGGTTTTTTGAACAGTGATTTGCTGAAAAAGGGAAAAAATGAGGTAATGCATGAGCAAACTGTTAAAATTTATTGCAATTCGTGTTGTGTGTAGACTGCCATCATAGAGACACCAGTAACTCTGCAAGTTCCTGGGCTGCAGAGGCTGCAGAATTCTGGTTTGCCCACTGAGGTGTTGTGTCTCCTCAACATGGTGATGCCTGAGGAGCTGCTGGATGATGAGGACTACGAGGAGATCCTGGAGGACATCCGCGAGGAATGCTGCAAGTACGGCAACGTGCGCTCCATTGAAATCCCACGGCCCATTGATGGCGTGGAGGTACCCGGTTGTGGCAAGGTCAGTCTGTGGAAGGAATATGTTGAAAGCTATGAGCTTTCTATGGTGCTGCTTCACAAAAATAAAGTCACTGTATAATTTGACAATTGTAACTTCAATCTAAATTCAATAAATTCAAGTAATTAAAGAATTCATAAATGAAACAGGCATTCGGAAGACCCGTAGTTTTACTAGGTAAGATGAAAGAACGTGCTTCCATGCATTGATTTTTATAAGTCTGTGAGAAATATCAAGTTTTGTTTATGAAGCTTAACGCTAGCGAGTCACCAGTAGTGTGCTCTAGCAGCACAACTGAACAGAGCAAGATGATCTGCCTGCATGTCCTGCACATCATGCAAAAACAATGGTTTATGGTTGGCTTATTTTCATGTCAGTCAAATGGTTCATTCCTGTCAGAGCCACAGTGAAAACTCGGCAGGAGTCAGACGTTGAGCATTCGAGACTCTGTTGTTAACCATCTGTATTAGAGCTCTAATTGCAGGTGACTGTCATTTTCAAAACAGAAACTGCATTAATTTCCAAGAGTAAATGAGAATAAGCTGGTTAGCGAGCTGTCCTTCCGGAGATTAAAAACGTATTAAAACTGCACCAGGCGATAAGACAAACACAGTTGGGTTTTGCATGTGCTTTGATACAAAACAGTTTGTAAGTTACTTAAAATGTACATATATAAATATATCGATTCTAAATATAGTCGTTTAGATTCTGAAACATGGTCAGCCCCTTGCTCATTGAAAAGACTTTACAATTGTTTTCATTTTTTTTAAGAAAGTGTGGGTTGCCAGATTGGGCAAGTTGCACCCATTTTATGTCAGTAGCTATGACAGTAACTCATTATGAGTGATGTTTTTCCATTACCTTGTAGCATTTCAAGTTAAAAAAAATGTTTTCATTTAAAGCAACATTATGTGACAATTTTACCTTACAAGAGCTTCAAAATAGCTTCAAAAACTTATAATAGGGGGGAATGATGTTTCTGTCATTTCCACTCAGGGCACAGAACGCCTGCTATAGCACTATGTAATTTTGGAGCAGCGAGCACAAAACCTTGCGAGAGATGTGTAACACATGGCACCACATTACACATCAACAACTATGGCTCTTCAGCAGAGACTGCCAAAAGACAGAAACAGTTTACAACAGAGTGTCAGTAAGGTCAAACCCCTGTAAATCAGTTCTTGGTCCTCTATACTTCAGAAAAACATTCTGTTGAAAGGACTGGCTTTTCAATAATACATTTTTGAATCATTTAAACTGAATTCAAAAGCATATATAAAAACCAAAAGAAATGAATGAAATGTATGCAATAGTATTATTATAAAGGCGAATTTCTAATATAAACTTGTTTTTGGTTTTCTGCCCAGCTTTAATTTTGGTGCCTCTCTAATAATTATTGAAGAATTCATGCTCAAAGACAGTAATGATCATGAATTTTGTGCACATACTGAAGAAGAATGCTCTCTGCACACATAAATGATTTTTGGCTTTGTTGACAAAGACTGCTTTTGTTTCAGATCTTTGTGGAGTATGGGTCAGCGGCCGACTGTCAGAAGGCCATGCAGGCCCTGACCGGACGCAAGTTTGCGAACCGCGTGGTGGTCACCAAGTACTACGATCCAGACATGTACCACAGACACGAATTCTGAAGGTTGAGACTAGACTGACTCACCAAAATGAAGATTGCAGCATAAGGAAGGAAGGAAGTCAAGATCGGTCCTGTTTCCTTTCGCTGTTACACAGTTGCTTTTTTGCTATTTATATAGTTTTAAAAGAGATGATGTGAGTAGGCCAGCTTCTAGATTTCTGACCAACATTAGGGCATAAAAAACTAGTACTCATCTGTGAAGTGAAGTATTTTAACAAACTGTGACAAAAACCTTTAGCTTTTAGCTTTTAGTATTAGCAGAGATGATCAAACTTTATATTAACCCAAAACCAAAAGATCCAGCCAGCATTTATCTCTTTCTTTACAATCAAATATAGCATTTATCTTCAACGGCAAAAGAATGAAACGCTGTGAAATTACATTTTAGCTGTGCGCTCAAGCTTACCTGTTACCTGTTCTTTACGATGGCCTTGGTTTTGTTCTAGATGAAAAATTAAATTAGATTTTATTGTAGTTTGGTTAGGGTAACAGTGCTTCATACCAGCAAAATGTAATTGATGCTATTCTAAATTGTTGTATCTTGTTGTAAGATAAAATGAAAGTGTTCATATATGTTGATTTAAAAGCTGCTAATAGAGTGTAAATACTGTACCTATAAAAACATCCATAGGTCTACACTGTGTGTGAATAGAAATAAGCAAGGGAGAATGAGAGAGAGAGCAATTGTGCACAAATCTGCCTGTTCATCCAGATATTTGTACGTATTATAAGAATTCATGGCCCAAGTTCTGTTTATAATGAGAGCATTACATCTTACATTTTACCCTCAAGAAATCCAGAGACACTCAGTAGGAAAAATACTGAAGTGGTTTGGTTGATGGTCAGAATATGCATTTGAAGTAACGTTATATTGTTTACAGCAGTTTTAAATTTGAGGAGTTTATAGAACTGCCACTAAGAAGACACTACAGTTCCCCTAAATCACAGTTTTTTGTCACATTTCAAGCATATCCTTCATGACGCCACATCTTAAGGGTGAAAAAAAATCAAGTAATCAATGAAAAATATCATCTATGAACAATCATAATTTTACAAAGAATGTGAAACGTTTTAGCGATTGGTTTTGTAAATTCAAACCTGCCACTGCCTTGCCTGCAATAAACAATGCCTATTGCAATACTTCAACCTCCAGTTTGTCAGCTGTACTTTAATTCAGAAGTATTGAGTATTATTAGCTACATTTAATCCCTTCTCATTTTTACAGACCTGAACTGACTCCATTGTGTCATGACTTTAAATTTTTAAAATGTTGTCTGAGTTACATGGTACTCAATGTCGCCCTCTGCTGGTCACTTTGAGGAAATAAGCCTTTTTCAGCCACAATGGTAGTACAGCTCAAGCACTGTTTTACACTGCATCATTTTTAGCTCAGTTGTAACTTCGATTTGGCACTTCTGACAAATTTTCACAATCTGGAATGATTGACAGCACAGCTGATCTGACCATGTGAAGGGAAAGCAAGTCAATCTTTAGCCCTCCTCCCAGCTCAGGAGGCCCTCTGATATTTTCAGGCATGTTTGATTTTTACAACTTTCACAAGTTCTGTAGTGTGAGATGGTCAGCGACTTAACTTTCAGGTAACAGCCAATGACAGAGAAAAAAGATTTGCATGCACTCCGTCACGTGAGCAGCAGACAGCAGGGACAGAGGAGCTGCTTGTTGAATTCAGAGTAAATAATCACTCTCTTAATGATTTCAAGGCAGCAGTCAGTTCTTAGTAAAATATTTCACTAATTTATTTTAATTTCATTCAATTTATTCTTTCAATTTATTGTACTTATTTTTTGTATTATTTTGTCATTTTATCATTACTATTATTGTTTTACTATAGTTTTCTACTTTATCTGTTTTTAGATAATGCTTTTTAGCTTATTCAGTGGTTTTATTCATTTACTTTTAATGTTGATTTTTTATCTATTCTTTTTTACTAATCTGCTTAACAGGTTTAATTTATTATCTTGATTTGTCTTATTTGTCTTAATGTTTCCTCATTTTTATTTACTTTTAATAATTTTAATTAATTACGTTTAATAATTTTAATTACGTTTTAATAATAATTTTGGTCATATTTTATTTCCTTTGTTATACTTTTACTATCACAAATGTATATTTACTCTTTTCAGTCCTTTCTTTTTTGTGTAATGCTCGGTTACATTGTAAGTGAAGATCAGCCTCAATGTGCTCCGAGTTTAAATAAAGGTGGATTGACTGACTGATTTGTTGATAAAGGTCCCAACAGGTTCGGTCCAGTTCAGCTTTTTTGTGTCACGTGATAACGCGGGGCGAGCTGGGAATTTGAGTGCTTTTCGTAGCCGAAACGTGTGTTCTACTCTCTTTATGTCTCAGTTTGGGGGTCCTCACGACAAAATAACAGGACTTGCTGTTAAAGACAGACGTTAATTGTGTGATTCTCTCCGTTTTTCAGTCAGTTAGGATTTTAAAAGTCGTGTGGTGTAGCTTTACTGTTCTGATGCGGAGACAGTTTGAGACCTCTGTCCTTAACGAAAAAGACCACTGCTTTTTGGTGAAAGGACCCGTCAATATCAAAGCACATTTTACACAGTGTCGAGGCTCATTTGGCTTTACTGTTTTACTACTTCGGGGCTCATTTGGCTCTACTGTTTGTTTTCTTCATTTTGTAGAACCGTTGAATAAAAGCAACTGAACACTTGAGGTCGTGTTGAGAATAACATCACGGTTGTGATGATCTGTCTGTGATTAAATCACAGTCCTGGTGTTGTTAGCGATGAGACAGTGACGTGGTACCGTGGGTGATAAGGACAGTTCAGTAACAATGTGGAAGATATTCAGATATTTCTGAATATACATATATCTGAATATATATATATATATATATATGTATATATATGTATATATATATATATATATATATATATATATTATATATATATGTATATGTGTGTATATATATATATATATATATATATATATATATGTATGTATATGTGTATATATATATATATTATATATATATGTATATGTATATGTGTATATATATATATATATATATATATATGTATATATAGGATTACGTAGGATTATCTACCTATCAATCTCTCTCATATATATATTGATAGGTAGATAATCCTACGTTAGGCTGTATGCAAATTTTTCAGCGGGTCTCTAGAAGACTATTGGCCAATCAGAGCTCAGGGGGCGGAGCTTTCGGGAATGCGGGCGTGCAAAACAAAATAGCGCGGCCGACCGGCCTCGGAGACTAACAGCAGTTCAGCTTGAAGGAGAGTCGGTGAAACATGTCGTCTGTGAAAACGGATCAGTCCTGCAGCAAATTTCAGGCGAACATATTCAACAAAAGCAGATGCCAGAACTGCTTCAAATCCCGTGAGCTGCACCTGATGACCAGTGAGGAGTTTGACCAGGTGAGGCTAAAGGCTCGCGCTGACAAGATGATACTTGACGCAACGTAGCATAACGTTAACTGTTAGCTGCCTGAACGTGAGAGCTGTAGCAGCGCTGATCAGTGATTTCAGGTTGACTAGAGTTTATCGAAGACTTAGGCTGTCAAAATGGTGCAGTTAGAGTTTCAGACAACTTAATTCAGTCACCTGTCGGTTTACGTACATTTCAGTTGACATTTTAAGTAGTTTATGTTTTTTGAAGCTCTGGTGTTTAGATAAATCGATTTCCTTTATGTTAAAGTTTTCTGTAGAGGTTCTGTGAAGTCTGTATGTTAGCCCTGTGATGAAGTGTTACTCACTCCTAGTCTGTCAAGAGAGGAGAGGCGAACGAAACTGTCTCTGCCAACACAGGTTAGAGATGTAGATTAAAGATGAACTTGAACTACGCTTGTTTGTATTGTTTTATTGCAGTATTACAAATAATTCAGTACACTTTTAAAAATATTTTACTACAAAGAAGTTATTTTCTAAGTAGGCAAGACATTTCCAGAAGCATGTGCAATCTTTAGTTACCCAGACAGTGTTAAAGGGGAATTCCACCAATTGTTTCTCCGTCATTTAGAGTGGTTTGATATGAAAAGGTTCATTGCAGCTAAACTCACTGACTGAGATTCATTTACAGTGGTGCCGATAGGAACCAGGTATCATGATGTCTACATTTTATTTACAATCCAAAACGACTAATGAATCTACACATACTTGCTGTGTTTTATATGTAATGTTGGTAAGTGTAAAATAGTGGTAAATGTTGTTGGAACCTGTCCCTGCGGACGGTTTATATTGTAGAATTCTGAACAAATGCATATTGGCTTTTGCACCATGTAGGCCATTTTGTTGACCTGGGATTTTATTCATTTTACTGCATTTGTAACCAAACACACACACTCACACACATATGATCCAAGCCGCTTATCCTTCCGGGTCACGGGGGGAGCTGGAGCCTATTCCAGTGGTCATCAGGCGGAAGGTGGGAAGCACCCAGGACAGGTCACCAGTCCATCACAGGGCAGACACACAGACATATACATGCACACGCTTACTCACACCTAGGGGTAGTTTAGCGTGTCCATTTGGCCTGACTGCATGCCTTTGGACTGTGAGAGGAGACCAATGCAGACACAAGAAGAACATTCAAACTCCACCCAGAAAGGACACGGCCAGGAGTCGGACCCAGGCCGTTCCTGCTGTGAGGTGTCAGCACATTTGTAACCCTTTAGAAATAAACATTATGTTTCTCCAAATGCTAATCAGGAAATGTAGTCCTGATTTCTACATTTTAATGTCACAAAGGTTTATGTATCAGCATATGTACATGAAAAATTCCTATATCAGTGCATTTCTACCTGTGATATGAATACTAGCCCACCAACAATTGGTCACAAAAATTCTAAAACGAGTTTAGTTGTTGAATTTAGCCAGCTGTGTTTCCTCCACATTATTTCTTTGCACTTAAATAGCCTAATTAAAGCTGTTATATTAGCAGTATGTTTGATTGATTTTTAAAAAATATCCTGTTATTTGTAAATTCTTTCATTCTTTTTACAGGCAAAGCCGATCTATGCGAGCTGGCTGTGCCTCGCACCCGAAGGGACTGACTTTGATAATCCGATGCAGCGATCCAGGGTACAAACAGTGTCAAGGGAGAGGAATTTGTTGCTTTGAAAGTATCTTGCTGAGGTCTGGGAAACATGACGTTTGTTTGTTTGTTTTCAGAAATGGCAGCGCCGCTTTTTCATCCTCTATGAACATGGCAGTCTGCAGTTTGCTTTGGATGAGTCGGTAAGAGAGGAGACTAGTAGGCCATCATGCATGCACACATACGCTCACAAACAAACAAACCAGGAGAACAGGAATAGGTCTGGGTGGCTCAGTTGCTTCATGGATTTATGAGGGTTCTGTGCATGTTGTAGCCAGATGTGCTGCTGCTGGTTAGACACAGCGGCAGGCCTCTCCAACAATGTAGAACAGAACTCACCTCATGGGATGAAATGTAGGCCATGCTTTTAGTCTCCACAACAAATTTCACGCAGATTTGTGTAAACAGTCATCAAACACAGGTGGTGGAATATCTTACACTTTGGGTTGGGATACTTTCTTGGACCGAGAATGTCATGGAATGATTTTGAGAATGATTTCATCCATTTTGTATGAAGTAAACAACCATCGCAATTAATGTGAATGTGGCTATTGCATCATGTAGCTGTCTAGACCTCTTCTGACTGAATACCGTCTGCTGTGTGTTGTTTGTTTAGCCCAGTACTATTCCACAAGGCACCGTGGACCTGAATCTGTGCACTGAGGTGATTGACGGTGAGGCCAGGACGGGGCAGAAGAATGCTCTTTGCATCATCACCCCGGAGCAGGAGCTCTACATCCGAGGAGACAGTAAAGAAATCATTAGCGGGTCAGTCACAGGTCTCATTAGTTAAAGACAGAGGTGTGTGTAGTGCCATAAGTCAGTTCCGAGTAAGAATGGCACTATGAAATATGCGCTATATGTCCAAAAGTGAATTCATCTACTTTAAGGTGCAACAATTACTGAATCAGTTGCGCAGTAGGTAACACTCAGGTAACACTCACCTTTAGAGAAGGCATTTCTGTGAAATTGAAAATAAAATCTATATTTTTAATTTAATGCAATAATGTTGTTTTATTTAAACTCTCTCAAAAGTATTGTAAAAAAATCATTGTTATGGTTTGGTTGGAAACAAAGGGAAATGCCTAAAAGGAAATTATTAAATCAGGATCTAGGTAGGTACAGCCAAGTGAGCGTCCTAACCTAACTGAGTCCCATTGATTAGGACTTCAGGAGCTGAACTGAAGGCCTAATGTGTCAGATTCACCACTAACAAAATTAGGAACTGACAGTGGAATCAACCAATCACGGTTAGATTTTCAATGGGTAGAACCAATTTTGTGTGAAAAAGCACCACCCTAGGCCTTCTGGGAGTCCCAGATACTTCACTGGCTGCGAGCATGAGCCGTAGTCTAACCAGGTTTTAGTCGGATGTTAGAAATGGAAAACAGCTGCAGTAGCTCTATAGCAGGGCTCTTTACTGAAGGAGTCACTGTAAACTGCTACAACAAGGTAATGTCTGTCACGTGCTTCAAACAACATCTGCTGTTCATGTGAATTGCTATTGGCTTAATGCATACTGGAGTCCCATAGGGTCGCTAGTACAAATCAGCATTATTATAGAGGGTTTTTTTACATTTAGGGTGATTTTTGACATTTATGACCTGAACTGAAGGCCTTGACCTCATTAATGCTCTTGTGGCCGCAGTCAGGTCCTCACAGCAGTATTCCAACATCTAGTCTAAAGCCTTTTCAGAAGAATAGAATCAAACTCTGTATTACTAACCTTGGTTTCAGAAGAACAGTTGGATGATCAGATGTCTACAAACTTTTGGACATACAATGTATTAGTAATTAAGTAGTTTGTGGATTATTTTGATGATTACTTATATATATATACTTATATACATTACTTATTGAAATGGCCAAGCAAAATAAGTGGACGTCATGGAACGATAACAAGTAATGCAGAACTTCAAATATTCTGTAATACTTAGATGTTGGATAAAGATTACTTAAACTTCATTAAAAATGTTAAAACACTATTTTGAAAATGCATCAGAATCAGTTTTTTACTCTCATTGAGATCAGATATCATTATAATCAGTATGTTTTTGAATCAAATAATCAGATTCACTCAAGTAATTGTGATGGCCCTAGTTCTGTGAAATGTGGATGTACTGTGGTTATAATTATGAAAATTCTTGTTTTTTTTTTTTTTGGAATCTCTTTGTGGTTACAATTGTGTCTTTTTATGTGTCCAGTTGGAACGAGCAGCTCACAGTTTTTCTTCAGACCAATCAACAGAACCGAAGAAAGAAGAGGAAGGCGTCTTCTGTTCAATCCCAGGTGATCCTCTCAGTCTAATTAAAGTGATCAGCTTCAGCAAGACACTAAAACCTTCAGCATACTTTGTTCATGTTCATATGTTCACTTTGTTATTTTGTCTTACCAGTGTGGTCCCTTTAGACAGAAGTGGGAACTCTAAACCTATTTATCTGCCTCTCAGGAGCAAACTTGTGAGAAAGCAGTGTGTAATATTGGAGCCTCAGAAACAGGAGCAGCAGAAAGCAATGAACCCTGCAGTCCAGAGCAAGATGATGGACTGAGTACAAAGACTTGGGCAAATAGGAGAGACCAAGATGGGACAAATGCTCTTGCTACTGAATACCTGGGCCCAGGTAAGTGTCAAAAAAAGAGGAGGAGTTGGTGAGAAAAAAAGTCTATTCTAAAAGTCTTATTTGTGTAGACTTTGTAGTAACTTAAAAAAGAACAGTCTGTCGAGGAGCCAAGAGAAGGTGTTCGAAATTTGCTTCTTTAATTTTGCACTAAAACTATAAGGCTAGTGTAGCTAAAAAGTGGAGGAAGCTTATACCCCAACCAATTAACACTGTACAAAATACAAACAATATGTCAATAGACCTGCCTATGTGGTTTCTGACACTGTATGACATACTGTTATCTATAAAAATGGACAAAGGTACATAGCATAGCTAAAAAACAGTAGCAGCTTCAAACCTGGATTGTGACATATTTTAGTTCATTATCTTGTTAAAGGATTTAAATGAAACCGCAGCATTGGCTTCTTGCCTGCATGGCTGTGACTATTCTGTGTTCTCTTAAAAAAAGATGGTTCTTCAAGGGTTCTTTAGTAAAGACAATGATTCTATATAGAACTATGAACACTTAAAGAACCATTTGCATGCCTAAGGGTTCTTTGCATGGTGAAATCATTCTTCAGATTGATGGAGAATGTGTTGTATATGGTTCTATATATGAACCTTTTTGAAAAGGGCTCTTCTATTATTGCAGTGTCTTGTAACAATAGAAGATCCCTTTTCAAAAAGGTTCTATATAAGACAATATACAACACATTCTCCATCAATCTGAAGAACCATTTTCTTTAAGCATTTTATTTAAGTGTGCAAATGGTTCTATATATTGTCTTTACTACGTTTGAAGAGCCATCTTTTTTTAAAAGTGTAGAAGATTACATATCTTGTTTTTATCTCCTTTTTGCTCATATGACCAACAAGCAACATATCAGGAAACCGAATAGTGCATGCAGGTTACCTTGAATTACTGTTACATTGTTTCATTTTGCTTCCCTCAGCTGTTCCTGACATTACCAGATTCGTGGTGGATTCCATTTTCGACTTTAAGCTAGTCTCATTGAAAGGCAGACCATGTGATTAAGACTAAAAGAAAGTCTTCCTGTGGAGACTCTTCCTGCAGGGCTTCTCATTAGAGAAATTGAGCAACAGCATTTGAGGGACCTCAATGATTATAGAGTACAGTGCATAGAACACTCCAACAGGCTATACTCAGTACTGTGCAAAAGTCAGAGACCACCCTTCAGTTATTTAATTTACAGGCAAAAAAAAGCCATTGAGTTCAAGTTATTCTTTTTTTCAGGAGATATTTCTGGGATGATTAGATATAAAATAATACTCCTCCATAAGGAAGAGGAAAGTCAAAGGGGAACAATTGGAGAAAAAAACAGAAATTTTCGAAATTGGAATTAAAAATGATTAAAAGATAAAATGAGACTCTTAACAAGTGTGCAAGCTGGTTGACCATCAAAACTTTGACCATCAGATAAACAGTACTTAAAGCTTTCATAGTTGAGAGATGAGACTCCACTCTTGCTTCAGATCTGAAGCAGTTGTTTCTGTCTATCCTTCTACTGTGAGGAGACAACTTAACGCTGTGAGTCTGAAAGGATGTGGAGCTGACAAGTATCTGTTACTGAGAAAAGGAATCAGACAAAAGAGAAGAAATTTTGCAAATCAAACAAAGAAGTCAGGTGTTCTTGGGACTCATGGACTCACCACCCCAGAGTCCAGACCTCAGCATCACTGAATGTTTCTGGGATTGCTTGGAGCACGAGAAACAGAAAATGATCATTGCACATTTCTTTGAAAAACTGAAAAATAAATAACTTGTACTTAACAGCCATTTTGACTGGAAATTAAATAAATGAAGGGTGCAAAGTATTCTGTGTGTATACACTTTAGAAATCTGATATTTATTATTCATTTAAACCTGGAAATGAACAACAAAATAAAAAAAAGAAGAAATGTCTTATTCCTTACATTAAAACCAGGTGGTTCTCATCTACTGATCAGAGGCTTCTGCTCGGACTTATAGAGTCCATTTATTCAAACGCAGGCTGGTGTTAAAGCAAAAGGAAGTATTGAATACTAAGAAATCCTGAAATTCATGTAAACATTCAAAGACTTTTCACCAAATCTTTATGCTGATAATGGCATTTTTAATGAAAAACCTTGAATGAAATTAGAATCATTTTTACCAGTGGTCTCAGTTTTTTTTTTATATGTTATTTGGGATCTGACATTCACTTCTTTAGTGCAGGCTAATGATCACACTTAATGATGATCACATTGAATTGTTATGTAATCTCAAATAGGCTTGCTTTGCGTTTTTAGACACTGTACAATGTAGTTATTGACACATACAGACCAAGGCAGTTTGCACAGTGCTAATTGCTGGGGTATTAGCTTCCATTACTTGTAGCTACACCAGTCTCATAGCTCTAGTGCCAAACAAAAAATTTAAACTTCAGACACCAAACTTGCAAATTATTATTATTTTTTTAACCATATTACTGTTTGACGTAAGGAGCTTATCAACTAACTTTGTCATTTAAGTCATTTTTCTGAGGTTTGATAAGTTGGATCAGAGAAGTAAAAGAACCAGTGGTGCCACATTTATAAAATGTTTTCTGAAACTAGGAATACAGTGTTTTTTTTTGCAGAGTGTCACACGCTGCACTGCACTAAATCCAATTAAACAGGACTCATTATGCCCCTTTTTTAAAGAAAGCTGTAGTTGTTCTGTGTTCTTTAAGTACTGATGACATCCATGATATGCTTAGAAAAGTAATGTGTTGTAATTTATCACAATTACGATAAATATTGTCATATTGCTCGCCCCTAGCCCCTATATTGATGATTTTTACTACCGGCTGTATGAAGAAGTTCTGCTAAAGTCATGTCTCCATATCTCTATAGGAAAAGTAGAGCAACTTGATGTTTTCCATGAGATGTGCAGGGTGGACACTGTTGAGAGCTCCCATTTGCCCCCACGGCTCCATTTGTCCTGCCCCAGTCCTGAGCCATGGGCCACAGAGTGTGACCCATTCCCTTTGGACTGCAGCCTGCCACCCTCTAACTCCACTCTCAGCAGCTCCTCCAGCTCAGTGGACTGGGAGCTGGATGAGGACGCAGACAGCAGTGCTAGTAGTCACGATGGGAGCTTTTCGTTAACACAGGCCATAGAGAGAGACCAAACTGATCAGCACCGTGAAGAATGTGACAGCGAGGATTCTTGCTTCACCAACAGCAGGTAACAATCAGTCATGATTGCAAAACTTCTGCAAATCCAGCTAGGAATCTCAAAAAGCTTCATTCTTTCGCAGTGTTTGTGAGTATGGGCATCTGTTCTCTTCCTGCGTGTGTGTATGTGTGTGTGTTTGGTCAAGGATAGTCCCAATGTGCAAACAATTTGCAGTGAGGGACGGCAGATGGCTTCAATGTAGTTAAAAGTTTTACTCGCGCCACAGCCTATGCAGAGCGTGAGATCAAAGGCCTTTACCCCACCATTAGCAGGCAAGCTGCCTTTAAATTTAGCTTATAGAATCCCTCCCAGTCCAGTTCCCAACAGCCTGTAAAGTGTGAGATCTGCGTCACTAAAAAGCCTCATGCGTGATCAGATTTTGAACTTTTCAGGGAAAAGCAAAGGCTAGAATCTGAATCAGATTCAGAATTGCTTTTATTGGCCAAGTGAGTAGTAATAAATAAATAAATACAGGGGTTTCACTCAAAAGAGGCCCCGAATAGTCTGTAATAACTCGCGCTAGGACGAAGCAATCTGAACGAAACAATGTGCAATGTGCTCCTCAGTATATGGAGCTTTGAACAAGCCGGGATGCTCCTGCGTTGGAGTGATGAGGTAGGTGCCGGACAGCCATTGCGACGTTTAACCTCCGTTTGCAACTGCTGGGTGCATACCCCCGTACCCCTTCATGTGTCTGGCAGAAAACGGAGATTACTTCCAGCATCACATAATGCAATCGATTACATATACGTCAAGGTATGTAGCGGATTTTTTTGGTTCAGATTGCTTCATCCTAGTGGGAGTTACAACAGAATATTCAGGGTCTCCCTGTAGATTAAGAGAATAAATATTACTATTACTACTACTACTCCTCCTCCTCCCACTACTACTTCTACTTCTACTTATGATAGTATTATTATATTAATAATAATAAAATAGTGAATGTAATGAAGATTTAGAAGGTCTAGTGATTTTTGCTTTATGTACAAAATGCACCATATACAGACTGAACAGTATGTGTAGAACAGTATAATACAGTATTGTAAATATGGTCAACCTTTGATTATATACACATTTAAAGGGCCCTATATTATGTTTTTTTTTTTCTGAAATAAAATGAAAGAGTTTCATGTAGAAACAATCTCAATTCATTTTTACATTAACATGTTTCAGCCTCTTTTTATCCATTAGAATTCACCCAGATGTATTTATTATTGTGTCTTTAAGTCTGAAATGTGTAAATGAGCTCTGCTGTAAACTGACTGCTCTGTATTGTGCCACATTCAAAGAGCAGCCCACTGAAACGCTCCTTATAGTTTTTGTATGAATGGGTGAAGCTAAACTGCTGTAGTTTGGGGCAGATATATGTGAATGTGTTGGTTTTTGTGACATCACAAAAACAATACATTCGAAACCAGCTGTTTTTTCATCTTGGTTTCCATATGGAATGGGGAGCTAATAGTGCATTTTGAAACTTTAACAGTGTTTACGTACCACATTGAACCCTTTTATGGCAAAAGAATGAGGGAAAATTAGGTTTTCATGATATGAGCCCTCTAAAGAGTGCAGAGTTTACTCCCCAAAATGTAAAATCTAGAATCTAAGGGCTTTACTAGATACTAGATACAGAATCTAATCATTGTTAAAACATAGAGTTCATGCAGTCCTTATATGAAAGCTAAGCTAAACAGTCTGTTTTGAATTCATTCAAAATCCAGCACATCTGTCGATTCGACCTACAGCAGGTTAGCCTCAGTCATTCATGTGGAAGAAATGAGGAGTTTCAGCTGGGACTGCTTTTTGAACGAGGAACAGCATCAGGGTGGCCAATCAGAACAGAGGTCATTTACATATGTCAGTCTTAAAGGCACAGGAATGAAGACAGGTGTTTTATTTTTATTTATTTATTTATTTATTTTTGGAAAATAGTCTTGTAAAAATGAAGTATAGATAGAGCCACACAGATGCCAATTGTGGGCCTCGGGGGAAAAAGTACAACAAAGATTTCTGACTCTTTAACAGTATATACAGAACACACTACCTACAGCAACTTATAGGTCTAATAGTAACGGAACTTGACTGTGAGATCTTAACTGCATAGGTCTGTACGTCCATCAGTAGCAGTAGTTAATGAAAGTGCTGAAAACATCTAACACTGTTGAGCTGAGTTACAGTTTTGGCTCTGTCTGTTGGAAGTTTTTGTTTTTTGATAGTATGTTTCTGTCTGGCTGGAGTGAGGGATCAGTGACCATCTTCCATTCTCTCTTTTTGAATATACCCCATATTAATCTAAATTGCTCAGAAACGAGTGTACTGTAATTGCATTTTGCATACTTGACCTTTTTTTATACACATTCCAGGAATTTAATCCTATGTGTGTTTTTACCTGTATAGTGACATGTTTTAACACTCAGTGTCATCATTCCTTCAGAAGGCATACTAAGAAAAGTGGGTCGTCCGTCTATGACATCCACTTTCAACACGTCCTGTTTCATGTTTGCATATGGAGGAGCTTTAACAAGTGAATCCTGAATGACGGACATGTTTTCTGTGTATACGTTTACTTCTCGAATCGGCACGTGCTTTGATAGAGTGTGGAAGGACACTGTTTCGTACATCCCACTGCTAACAGCTTTTAGCAGGGGCTTAATTAGACCTGGGTGATATTACAAAAATGTGGTATCATAATACTTCACTACATTTTTACGATACACAATATGCCACAATATTTATTTTTTTCTGACCTCTGATTAGTAGGAACAGACATATGTGCCACATTTAATAAATACTATAAGTAAAACTATGAATTCAGTGATCTGTGTTTAACATTTCACACATTGCACTGCACTAAATCCAGTTAAACAGAGCTAATTATGCTGTCTATGTAATTAAATTACGTTTTTTTTTTAAGTACTGACGATATCCGTGATATGCTCAGAAAAGCATAATATGACATATTGTCATGGAATTTAATTCGGTTTAAGATAAATAAGGAAAACTGGACGGAGGCACATTCAGGTCACATGTGAACAGTCGTTTATAAAGTGCTTAGCCAACGTCTGCCACCAGGATTGTTTTATGAAAGGCATGGTATCTGAGTGACTTTGGACCTGAATCTCAAGCTGTTGTTTGTCTGTCTCTCTCTCTCTCTCTCTCTCTCTCTCTCTCTCAGCAGGGTTCAGGATGACTACTCGACTGATGAAAGAAAGGGTAAAATGTGTCAGCGCTGCAGGAGGCAGGGCAGAAGTAGAAGCCAGACTCACATAATCCAGAAGGTACTGTCCCACTGTTCTCCTCCCTTGTTGACACACAGTTAGGGCTGCGCAATTCGTGCAAAACACTAGTACTGCAATTGGAGACTAACTGATATGGGAATTCTGCTCTTGCCAATATCTGGTATTTTTCATATACATGCGTTGATGCTAGTGTCGATATACACTATATGGCCAAAAGTATGTGGACACCTGACCATCACACCTATATGAGCTGATTGGACATCCCATTCCAAAACCATCTGCATTAAAATGGAGTTGCTCCCCCTTTGCAACTCTAACCACCTCCACTTTTCTAGAAAGTGTTTCCACAAGAGTTTGGAGTGTGTCTGTGTGAGTTTGTGCCCATTCTGTCAAAAGAGCATTTGTGAGGTCAGGCAATGATGTTGGATAAGAAGTTCTGGCTGGCAATTGACATTCCAGTTCATCCCAAAGGTTTTCAGTGGGGTTGAGGTCAGGGCTCTGTGCGGGCCACTGGAGTTCATAGTCTCTGTTCAGACTGCTTTTTGATCCACAATACAGGGCAGCAAATCAGAACAGAGGTAGTTTACATATATCAGTATCACAGGCACAAAAAACATCCAAACTTAACAATTAGCATGAAATTACATACAAACTTACATACTTTTTAAAAAAGAGAATTAATGAAAAGTAAGAAAAAAGGAGATGATAAACAAAAATCGAAAGCACATAATATTCTGGCTAGCTCCACCCCCAATGATACATTATGTTGTTTTGTAGTTCTATTGTATCAAGTTTAAGAAGTGTGGTGACTGACAACTGACAATCATATCTGTCATTAGATCACAGCTTAACTAAAATTATTTGATACTAAAATTAAAATATAAAATGACATAGGCTGATATTATTGGCTATTGTAATTGTTAGTCCTTTAAAATCGGTATTGGCCACAAAATTGTCATATAGGTATTGACCAAGTGCACACTATATAGCTTTTTATTGCTAGCTGTTTTTTAGTTTATTGCTTGTTATTTTTATTTTATTGCTAGCTGTACATTTAAGTCAAGTCTAGGCTTTAATGCCTTATTCACCTTAGAAATTTGCTGCTAGCCCAGATTGAACAAGGAAGAAGTGACAGAGACTCTCTTTTAAGTCTGTTATATTTACCTGGCAATTATTTCATCAGATCATCACCTTTTCAGTCAAGCTGCTCTATCATTTTTGTTTCCAGTGCTAAGGGCACTGCACAGCTGGTTGTGGCAGTTTTGCCTGGGGGCTTGTTTGGCCGTGACTCACGAGACCAGGTGTTAGTAGGGAGGAAATGTCAGCTCTTCACTAGACATGTAAGCTGATAGCAGGGAGCTGGTGTCTGATCTGTGAGCATATGTGTAATACTGCTGATTCACAGTGTCAGATGTACAGAAAGACCCACAGTTATACAAGCATGTATGTAATAGACTTGGAATGAGTGAATGAACCAGTCACCTGTCCTCAGGGTATCCCGGCATGTGTATGTGTGTGGGTGTGTTTGTTTGTTGTGTAGGAGTAGGATGTAATTCACTCAACAGTTGTGCTCTGCGCTGAGACTGCTCTGCGTGTGAACGCTCAGCATGTTTCCTGTTTCTTTCTGGTCATTAAATCTGTGGCAATTCCTTACTGGCTGTATTACTCATGAGTAGCCTGCACTTTATTTTTCCCAGATGTGCAATTCTATTGCAAATTTTAAAGATTAATGATGTATTGCATTCTGTCATATTGTAGTATACTGAGATCTATAACTTTTGGCCTTCTTTGTTTCTACTCTTTATCGAATTATGTAATTAAAGTTTACTCTTACGCTTATCTTATTTGAATTTTGTTTATTAGAAAAACAGAATCAAGAAGTAGACAACGCAACACTGAGTTTCTTTCCAAAATGCTGTATATCCATTTGTAACAACTTGAGTCTAACCCTAAACTTTAAACCTAACCCTAACCTTAACTTAAACAACACAAAACCTAATCCTACTCTTAAACCTTACCCTAACCATAATGTTGTTGATAATCAACTATTACCCGAAAGTATATTAATAATTTAAGTATTTGTTGAACATTTATATGGGCCCAACAAAATAAAGTGTGACCCAGCTGTGGATATGAGTTCGGAAAAGAATGGCAGCTGACATGTAATGGAAAACACATTTTTATTTCTCTAATAAAAGTGGTATTAATCATAACATAGAACTCCTAACAACATATATCATGGAAAATGTAAAAAGTAGTCTGTGTTGCATTTTGGAATTAAATTCTTCATATTTACAATGATAAGTGAATGTTATATTAGGAGTCTTGCCAACAGATTCTTATTGGTATTAGTCATGAGTCAGAATTTTCAACTAGTAATGAAATTGTAAAAAATGTAATAGTAAAAATAGCTTAAAAAAATAGCAAATGAGTTACTCTTTAACGTTATATGTTCTTATATTTGAGAGAAGTCTGAAATGTCTGAGCTCTATACTCCACCAGAGGGCAAACAGAGAAAGAATTTGTTTTCCAGCTAGAAGTTAAAGGTTAAAGTAACTTGAATGATTCAAGCTGTGGGTCACCTGTTATGGTTTTTGTGGTTTGGTTCTGGATTTAATTTAACTCGAGAGATTCATTTTTTGTTTTGTTTTTTTTTTCATTTCAGTTCCCCAATTTTCTCTCCAATTTTCTCCCCACATAACTATAACATCACCAGAGACTGAACTAGTCATGAAATTGTTAAAAAATTGAATGGTAAATTAGAATTTTCGAAGGCACATGAGTGATTCAATAATGATAAGGCCAGTCTCCTGATGATGGGGCCAATAATAACACTTGTGCCACTCGGGACCCCGAGAGACGAAGTGTAACTGAGATGCCCATCCCTGTTTAGTAAAGCAGTCTTTGCTGCCTGGATAGCAAATCAAACCCTCAAGCTTCCATGTGTATGTGTGACTGCGGTGTTCTACACTGTGCTATCTAACCACTCCTGCCAAAGGCACCATGGACAGAAGCTTTCCTCTCACCAGAAAGAGAAAAAAAAATCTGGTTTTGTACTATTGGATTAATAAAATCAAGACCAAAGGCATCATGTATCTCCATATACCTTGGAAAAAAAGGAGGCTGAGCTGATTTTCAGCATCTGATACATGTTATGATGTAGTCTAGTCTAAATACTCTTCACTAATACTCTTTATTTACTGTTTACTAGCACAAATACACTCGCTTTATTAAGCTATCATGTTACTGTCATCTGTACACTGTCTGTGTTCCATAGCCTTGAAACAATTTGGACATTGTTCCTGCTGTTGTTGCTAAGAAGACAAGGTGTCTGCACTTTACAATGCACAATGCTGGCAAAACATGATATCAGCACCTTAAATGACAGATTTAAGACTTGCAAGTCTAATTGTATCACCTCACATAACAAGTGGTTGCAGTTGAGAACACATGGAACAAAAAGACCTCCAATAATGGTATATACTGTTGCATTACTGAGTCTCTTTCTCACTGTTTATAGCCAGTTCTCACATTCTTGGCATCTGTTTTAGCAGCATATTACAGCAGTACATACGTAGCAACTCACATATCCAAAACAAATGCCCCTCAAAGTGAATCAAAGCCTTTTTGCCTGATGGTCAAAGTTAAGAATGGTTTGACTTAAAGTGTTGTGCATTCTTAGAGTTGCTTTCTGTAGATTAGTCTATATAGAGTGTTTGCATATGTGTATCTTGATTTTGTTTGGAGGAGGGAGGTTAAAGGTCTCTCAGTCTGCTATGTTGAGTCTTGTGGAGCTGGACCCCCTGGATAGTTCAACTTCCTGTTTCCCATCCTGCTTTTACTTGAGGGGAAGAGTTCCTTGCAACGTAAAATGGCTAAAATTAGCTTTGCTTGAGAAGTTTTACACTGTTGTCATACTGGTGCTTACTAGCTTGTGCAATGCTACACTATGAGGAACTGTATGTTTTCAATGGAAAATGACATAATGCCAATGTCAGCGATGGATTACTTGTTTTCTGAAGCAGTCGAGAACAGTTTAAAAGTGTTTTTGGTCCGCAAGAATGAAAGACCTGGAATAGGAATAGGAATATCAGATATCCGTTTGTGAATCAGCCGAATCCATGTGGACAAACTAGAGTTGTATATGTTTTTTAATAGGCAAACACCTCCATCCCCAAAAAAACATAAGCTCATCAGGTTCCACAATATCACTATCACAGTAGCAGCTATCGTGAATTATTTGTAATTACTCATTTTATTTTATTTTTATTTTAAATCATAAATATCTTGTGTTTGATGGCTGATGAACTGACCTCAATACTGCACAAAATAAGTGCATTTACGCTATTGGTCAGAAGTTTGGAATCACTGTTTTGAATAATATGAAACCAGTTTTGTTGCAGATACAGTGCTATGCAAAAGTCATTTATTTAATTTCCAGTCAAAACGGCCATTTATTTTTATGAGATATTTCTGTGGACTTTAGATATAAGATAATCCACACGAGGAAGAGGAAAGTCAAAGAAAAGTAAGTGGGGGAAAAAAAACTGAGGTTTCCAGTACTGGAGTTCAAGCTTCACTCTTGCTTTGGGATCAGAAAAATCCTCCGGTGTTTCTGACCATTTTTCCACTGTGAGAAGACTCAACACTATGGGTCTGAAAGGATGTGTAGCTGAGAAAGTGAAATAGACAAAAAATTACAAATCAAACAAAGAAGCTGCTGGTGGTTTCAGAACACAGACCAATGGACTGTCTAGAACTCAGCTTCACTGAATATGTTGGGGATTACTTGAATTTCGAGAAGCAGGAAATGCAACCAACTTCTGAGACTGAACTTTGGAGGTGTGGAAAAATGTCCTTGCAGATTTCTTTGAAATTTTGAATTAATTGAATGGATGCTGAAAGAAAGACAAAAAGAGGTAAACCCACTAAATTCTGAAATTTGTTATATATTTAGTTGTTGAGACTTTTTTTTCATGATGCTGAAACAGGAATAACTTCTACGTAATAGCCATTTTGACTGGAAATTAAACAAATGAAGGATGGTCTCTGACTTCTACGCAGTACTGTTACTACTTACAATAAAATCAATATCCAGAACGCCTAAGATTTGAAAAGTGGTGACCAAGTACCAAATCTCACCGATCAACTAGCTATTCATAGTTATTTTATGCCAAGAGATTACTGTAAATAGATCATTACAGTCATTTATTAACATTTACTACTTTTGCCATGTCATAAATTCTTGTTCCCAAAACACTTTTAATTGTAAATAAACCTTTCAAGCTTTTAAACAGCATTGTATGTATTGTTCTTCTTTTTTGGTTTAGGAGAAATCCGAAGGATTTCTAGAAGTTCCGCAGAACAGCCTCTGTCCGCTGAGGAGAGCAAGGTCACTGGATGGCAGGGCCTCAGATTCTACCATGAGGGTGAGTTAGTGTGTCCACCACATCATCAAACAACCGATTATTCAGTGTGGAGTTGAAGTGTTGAAGTGACATGATGAAAGATCAAAGTTTTGTTTATGCAATGATAAAATGACAAAGCCCATGTTAAATGGACTATTCATTATCCTCACAGCCAGACCTTTTGAACTTCAAAAAAGGATGGCTGCTCAGCCTGAATGACCATGAACAGGTGAGTACATGTAAACTGGACTATTGTGTGCTGTGCCCGTCGGGATGATTTTACAGCCCTAACAGCTATTTGAGAATGTTCCTTACTCTAACCGGAAATGAAGCTCATTCTAGTAGATGTTTTGGATCTGATAGGGAAGCTCTAATGTAGTCCCATCTAGATACAAGGTTGAACACCTTTGACTACAGAATGACATGTAATTATGGCCTTTGCGCTCCCATTAGGGGTGGGCGATACAGCAAAAATATCACAATTGATGATGTGTGTCACAATATTTTAGAGACACAATGCACTAGTAGTGCATTTAAAAGCTCTGAGTACTTTACTTTTGAGTACTTTTTTTTTTTCTAAATTTAACTTTTCATACTGAGCTGCACTAAATCCGACCAAGCTATCTAGCTCCCACATGGGATTTCTCAGACATCTCTGCTTTGTTAGTTTCAATGGCCGTGGGAAAACAGTGCCGTTTGTTGTGCTCCAAGACAAGCTGACGTGGAAACCTGGAAACAATTTATGATGTGTTCAACTGAACCAGCTATAATTCATTTATTTTTAGCATTTAACCTTTATTAACCATAACTGCTCTTTCTAAAACTTCTGCTGATGAAATCTATTCAATGCTATAATTTGTGTGGTTTAAAAAAGACGACACTTCTAAATACTAAATAGAGAACTAAATACTAATGTAATAAACTAATGCTTGAGTATTCAGATTATTTGGGTCAGGCTTACATATAATTATTTTAGCTTTCCTCTGGATTTTGTGTGAGGAACAATTCCCTGCAGGTTTCTTGACCTGCCAGTGACCAGTGTAGTCTGTGCCTAATTAGGAAAGTTCGTGTAGACTGACAGTGTTTGGCTCAGATTTTGTTTGTCTGTGCTAGTGTACTCAATGAGATGCAGCAGGGCAAAGTAAGATGCCTTACTGTGGGAAACATTTATGGGGGAATCCCCGTGGGATCAGATTGCTGAATGTCTAGGCCATACTGCTCACTATGTTCTGTTTTTCCTCTGACAAATTGTGGTACATACTTTATTTGTAAGAGGGACAATAGTGATATTCCACTTTCTTGAAGTGATGACAGAAATGTTTACAGTCTTGGCAGCCTTTAAAGCCCCAGGAACCTAAGTTCATGTTTTCATTCTAAGTAGGTTTATCTTGCTTTTGTAGGCACACAATATACATATACAATGTATGTCCCATAAAAAACCTTCCAGTAACCAATGAATGGACGATGCATTTCGCCACATTTCTCCTCATTCAGTGTAAAATAGGCAGTTTTAATCATGGGTAGCACTTATGTAAGAGTAAGTGCTACCCAGCTTATGCTTAAACAGTTGCAACACAGCTTTAACAAAATTGTGATCTTCAACTTTCTTTGTTTTGAGCCAGAAAAACGTACGACTAAGCAATAGCTAATCTAGCAAGCCTAGAGTTGTATGCAAAAGTTTGAGCACCCCTGGCCAAACAATAAATCTACAAATGTTAATGTACACTTACGTTATATTTGTTTTCTATATGAAATATGTTTTTTAATTTAAAGAAACAGAAAAAAATTAATGTTTCCATTAGCGCCTCTATGCAAATTCCAGTCTTATTTAGCATGAAGCTAATGGTGTTTTACATCCCTCTTTCCACACTGGGGCTGAATCTCAAAAGGCTCACTATTCCCTACGTAGTACACTACATAGGAATTGAAATGCTGGCTCCTGCACTCAAACAGTGCATAATATAGCTAACAAATAGTCATTTGGGATGCAGCCACATCCACCCTGGACACATAAGTGCATTATTTAGGTGTAGAAGCTAGAATTTCAAAACTTGCATAGCACACTGTTTAGTGAATAGCAAACCATTTGAGTTGGTTGATGCTACTTAAGGCAGATCTGACTAAAACATGGTCATTTAAAGTATATTAGACATTGAAGTGGCATGATTTGTAGTCTTTTATGTTGCATTGTTACAGTGAATAATGCAGTAAGTACTTTAATTCAAAGCCTGTGATATTAATGGAGGAGTTGTTTAATTTGTTGGCTAACTGATCAGCCTTGTTCTAGGTAGGAAAATAAACTGTCAGCCTCTCACTATGAACATAACCAGGTTATTACTTTATCTGTACTCTCTGTGGTTCATGCAAGCAGCATTACAGTCAAAGATAATTTCATTTCTAGCACAAGTATTTTTCCTGATTTGGTGCAGTTATACAGAATTCAGTTGTTGTAAAGCAGTCATAGGTGTGTGTATATATTTTACAACAGCTTTGAATGCCTGTCAGCTTTTAAGACGGGACTTATCCATTTTAAAATAAGTAGGTGATGTACTAACTGGTGCTGATATACTGATGTCACTGATGATGATTTATCTATAAGCACAGACATGTTTTCAGCACTGTGTGTGTCTCAAACTTCTTTTGTCTTTTGCCAGTGGAGGAAGTACTGGTTTGTGCTGTCTGCTCACAGCCTGCATTACTACTTAGACTCTGGAGCCGAGGAGGCAGGTTCACTGACCTTATTTTCCATCATGTCACGTTCATGAATGATCAGAATGATCTTAATGACTTTCTGTTTTTTTGTTTAAGTCCTCAGAACTGGTGGGAGAAATTGACCTGACTACCTGTTACCAAGTGACTGAGAACCAAGTTCAGAGGAATTATGGCTTTCAACTACATGTAAGGCAAACATAAGGCAAACGTTTATACATGCGCCATTCTACTCAATTAGTTCAAACTGCAACCTAATAGTAAAATAAAACAAAAAAAAAATTAAGTAAACGTTCATTCAATACTTTAATTTTTTACATTTTTAAGATTTTTTGAGTTCTTTTTTTAAGTGAAGTTGAAAGATTTAGATTTCACATTTAAATTTTAAGTAAAACTTTTAAAATATTGTCCCGTGTTTTCATGTCACTACCGAAACACAGAGTTTTAGTCCATAGGCAGAGCCTTATTTTAGCCACACCCCTGCATTTTAGGGTATGGCGTGAGACTGCAGGCCTTTTCTTTACGGCCACAAGATGAGCATTTATAGTTTTGAAGTAAATTGTCATTACTGAAACAATGAATTATTTTTTTGTGATTTAATGAAAAATATTATAATTTTATGTACAACTGTTCAAAGCTGTGTTTGCAAGTCATATATGAGTTATGCTTAAAATCAGCTAAAATTGTCACTACTGAAACATTTGGTAACGTTTCAGTAGTGTTATGATTGTTTTGGTAGTGACAAAATTTTCAGTCATTTGTTTTAATAAAATGGAAATGGAATGTAATTAAGACATGGGGTCACTCAAAGCAAAACGATATTAGTCTAAAGTTTAAGTCAGTTAATGAGTTTAAACTAGATGATTAGATCAAAATAATATGTTTGATCTGTCTAGACTCATAAACAGGTTTACAAATTGGCAGCTATGACTGCTGGGATACGGCAAAACTGGATCCAGGCTCTTATGAAGAATATACAGAACCGTAATGCACCAGATGTAGCCAGGTGAGTAAAAAAGGTCGGTTGATTTGCGGACAAATGAAATGAAAGAACTGGTGGTGAATCTCAGCTTGGTTCACTAACTGTGAACTTTACCAGCCTTGCAGAGAACCACTTTCTCCAAGTGGAGGCCCTGTGCGGGCCAGATGTGACTCAGGACTCCCGCTCTACCCAGCGCTGTCCCGAACAACAGTCCAGCCACAATAGGAGACATGAACATGGCGCTAAAACCTTTGGCTGGGATGAGGTTGGACATAGCCACATGATGGAACCAGAAACTAGCAGAGAACAGAAGTGGGTGGATCTCCAGACTGAGAAGGAGCAAGAGAGCAGGAGCAGGAGGAGAGGAAGAGAAGAGCGCAGGCAGAGGTATGCAATTGTAATGGGTTCTTCAGCCTGTCCTACGGATGAGAGTAGCAGCCTTGGCTCTTCAGAGCAGCAGCAGCAGCAGCAGCAGAGGATGAGGGAGATTGAGGAACGTTGGCTGCAGGTGGAAAGGACAGCTATCCGAGAGGGAAAGAAGGTGCCACTGTATCCGAACTGCGAGAGTAAGAGCCCTGTGGAGCTGGAGAAACTTCTGGAACATTACCAGAGGAGGGTAAGAGGGGCTAGTGCTGCTTATTGAACATACTTTTTGAACATAAAGATGCTTAGACAGTAGTTAAAAGCTTGAAAATTGAATAAACATAATATTCACTGAGATACTTGGTATTGAAATTCAAATATTCTTTGGGTTTAGGTTTGGTAACTGTGTGTGTGTGCGTGTCTGTTCTGAATGATGTCAGGTGGAACAACTGACTCTCCGGTTAACAGAGTCCGCAGACGAGAACCAATCACTAGAGCAAGAGCACAATGCTGACTGGAGCTGCCAGGCAAGTTTGTACTGTATTCATACTCACATTATTGTTCTGTGTTAGGTTAAAAGAATAGTTTGGCAAATGTGCACAATTTTCTGCTTACCCCAGATGTAGCTGATCAGCTAAGACGTGTTAATTGTCCCAATTTTTCTTCTTTAGTTTAGTGCTGGAGCTATGAGGCTAATATTGTTAACAAACACTAGAGGTCAATGGTCAACTAAATCTTTACCGTAAATACATCCTCAAAACGTCTCACGGCCTGCTTAAACTGCTTCCTGGTCTTCATTAAGCTCACTCAGACTCGTCAGGGTTTAGAACACAGTATGATTTCCTGTCAACTACAAAAATGGACTAAACTGCGTAGCCAAACGCAGTGGGCAGCAATTACAGAAAAAAGGTGTACATTTGTGCATCATACATGTCTTGGCCGATTGACTACATTTGGAGAATGTATATATGTATATATACTTACTATCTCACACACACGCGCGCACACACACACACACACACACACACACACACATGCATGTAAATTTCAAATTTAGACAGCCCAAATGCATAGACCAGTGATTTATCATTGTTTCTGCTTATTTAAAAAAAAACTGATTTTTAAATCTGATCATATATGACCAAAATTTTCATTCCTCTTCCAAGCAGGAGCTGACACATGATCTTGGAGTACAACATAAGCCACAGAAGATGGGCTCAAATAAACAAAATCCTGTGCTGACTCTTACTGACAAATACCAAGAGACCAAACAGCTTCTTCAGCTGGAGAATCTGAGAAGACAGCAGATAAGGAACCAGCTGGGCCTCTGTGCTTCAGCACAGTTTATAAAAGAGCCTGAAATAAAGAATGAATGCAATGTGGATTGTGAAATGACTTTCAACAAATCCAGCCTCACATCACACACTTGGTGTGAGGCAAGCAGAGACTGGGAGGATGAGCATAGCAGGGCTGAGGTTGATTGGTTCAGTGAAAGAGCTGTGGTAGTGGTGAAGGAAAACATTGGTTCAGATCCAACTGTGGTAAAGCGATTCTCTCAGGAAGCCGAGTTTCTAGCCAGGCAAAATGAGGCACTGAAGCAACATAATCAAGAACTACTGAACCAGCTTGCTGAGGCAAACAGAGAGATTGACAGGCTTAAGGCAGAACTGCGACACCAACCAAATAGCTGCCAGCCAGAACTGGAGTCTGTTGTGGAGCCTCTTGAGATGGAATTATCCCTGAACCGTGAAAAGCTTCAGGAGGCACAGAACAAGCTGGCAGAGATGGAAGAGAATCTGAAGGACACGCAGAGAGATCTTCAGTTGAGGGAAGCCACATTAAGAGGCCTGGGTTTCCTGACCAAGGACAGTGAAAAGATAAGCAAAATATCATCCCAAGGGGAAACTGACAGAAGTTGTCAGAGTGAGATCAAGCTTTCTGAGCTAGAGAGCCAATTAGCTCTCTCAGAGCAGACCTGTAGGGAACTCCAGACCCAGAATGTGCTGGTCAGGGAATCACAGCTTCTAAATGGCCACGTGATAATAGAGGCTGAAGAGACAGTTAAGACGTTGCAAGGAGAGCTAGAACCTGATACATCATCTCAATGGGAAGGACTGGTGTGTCTACAACAGCAGGTTCAGGATGGAAGGAAATCAAGAGAAGGAATTCAACGTGTGGTTGAGGAAAGGGTTAGGATGAGGTCCAGCGTGCTCAGCAAGTTACTAGAGGTCATCATACATATAGCTGGGAATGAGAAACAGGGATCTACCTCAGAACTTGAGAATATACAGCTGAATCCTACAATGATTAGGAGGCTACTGTTAGAGAAGAAAGTTTGGGAAAGCTTTGTGAATGCCTTGAAAGACGATCCATTTCAGGGTGTGGAAAAAATGCTGTGGTATGGCAAGATAAAACTGGAAGAGATTAGGATGTACCTCTCGGCCCTTAGCATTTCCACAGACAGCAGTACACTGTTTTCCCTGAGCAAAGATTCAGACCCACGTCTTTCAACTAACATGTCTTTGAGCAGTCTTGACATAACTGAAACTCATGACGGCACAATGAAGGATGAAAAGGAAAGGACAATACTGTTGAATGAGCAACTTGATTTAATATGGAGAAGTTTGAAACAGCATGTGAAAAATAGACTGACCCTGCTAAACCATGTAGCATCTAAATTGGAGTCATCAGTTAATGAAAGACAGTGTGAAATCTGCATGCAGACAACTGACTTCCCATCATCGATGCAGGATCCTGTTGTCAGTGCAGGCCTGGACATCTTTACTGCCTATTTGGTTGGGACTCTTGATGTTCAGAAGGAGAGGACATTGCCCATCTTTGAGCCATTAGGGAGCAATGTAACATCTGTAGAAGTACAAACTGAAAACCAGTTTGTGCTGGAGCAGAACAACAATTGTGAGAAAACGGAGACGAATGAGGTGACAGAAACTTCTGTTTCCTTGAAAAGTCGTATAAAGGAACTTGAACACCTATTATCCGACGGTGCAAAGAGACTTGCTTCTCTACAGCAGCAACATGAGGAGGAGAAGGACAGACTCAAGATGGACATAGTGGTTGTGCTAATCATTTTTATCCTTCACTTTAAAATTAGACAATAATCTTTCTTAATGCAAGCAGCTAACTAACCTTACTAGCTCCATTTCAAGACCTGTTTCCTTGTTTCCGTACATTCATTCTATTAAAAGGGGAATTCTAACGATCTGCATAATTCAGTCACTAAGATGTAAACTCATTCAGAGTGGTTTAGTGTGAAATGCTCCATTCTAAAGGGGCAGAATTTGTTGACAGTGGTGGTGATAGGAAGCAGACATCTGAAGCGTTTAATGCCTCTAAAAGCTACATCACAGAACGATATTACTTGAAATGGTTACACATACACTGCCTGTTGTCTGACACCATTGTTATAGTAGTTTTAAGATAAAGTTTTGTTTTAAAACGTATTTTTAAAAGCCATTTATGGCAGAGAGGTACATGCAAGCAAAATAGTACCCAAAGAACGTGTGTGTGTGTGTGTGTGTGTGTGTGTGTGTGTGTGTGTTCACTAATCATTTTGTATAGTAAGTTAAAAAGCTATATATACTGTAGTCATTGTGACCCGGGGTTCATATCACCACAGTGTTTCTGAGTAATCTGGTAAGTTTTCATACAATGCAACAGTTAATATCAGAGCACTCTGAATGACTTGGTTTACATCTCAGCAATTGAAGTATGTAGAAAATTCAACTTAGCTGCTTCGATCTTAAATGACCAGTTTTCTAGGGGTATAATGATACACACCCACTTCCTGTTTTCTTATTCTGAGAATAAGACTCAATTCAGTTTTCGATGTTGTATATCGTTGCTATGAAGACAAAACCTTTTATCTGCAAAATGGCAACTTTACAGGTGAAAGAAAAAAAACATTTTTAACTGGTAATGGAATTTAAAGTAAAACGATTTTGCACCAATTATTTTGGACCATTTCTGTTGGTCCATTCCTCATGAAAATTTTAACACGATGTAAAAGGTAACTGGAGCTTCCAAATTATGCGAAAAGTAAAAAACAGCAAAAACAGAAACACAAGGTTTTTTGCATGACAGCGACAATATGTTAATGTCTTGATTCTACAAAGCTGTAATTACATACTACAGAGATTAGCACAGATAAATATTTATATTTCCCAGATGGTTTGCAAAGTTCTCACTGGCATCTAACAAAAGAAGACCAAAAAATCACAACCCCTTAAGTGAAATCAGTCATTTGAGTGTGGGAGCATACATAGCGTAAGCCCGTCCCTCTCCCCACCCACTTAACTGTGCTAGGATGCGCTCAGAAGTTTTCATCATTGATGGTGATGTCCACCAAAGATGACAAGAGACCGAGTGGCGTATCAGCAGTGCAGTTTCAGATTTCAGTACCCTGTTTTGAAAGCTTGTTTTTTCTGAAATTTCAGTACTTTATTGAAATCATTACACCCTTACAAATCACTAACATCATAATCCTTCAGTTCTTTGTGTGTTCTTTGAATGCATCACTGTTTTAGTACAAGCATGACCATGACTCAGATCTGATTATAGTTCTCATTATCTCTAATCCTGTTGTCACTTTTAAAGTAGACTTTTGGGCACGGCAAATTGGCCTAACTCTAACACGGTCTGCTGTTTTTCTTTAGGCTGCCTATGAACAGGGCTTTACCTTGTTGAAGGAGTCTCATCAGAAGCTCACAGAAGACCTTCTCATCAAACACCAGCAAGAACAGGAGCTCCTACAGGAGGAGAAGGAAAGGCTTCTAGCCGAAGAAGCAGCCGCCACTCTCACTGGTATGTCTCCTTATTTGTACAGTAGTGGTGTTTATTCTCAGTGTTTTTTGTGGGTTTAACTGATAATGTGAACCTCCATAGTGATTGAAGCCATGAAGAGAGCTCATTGCTCAGAGCTGGAGCGAGTGCTGCAGAAGGCAAATCAGGAGAAGAGCAGTGGTGACACAAGCATTTCTGAGATATTGAAAAATCACAGGTAAGGGAATATAAAGGTCAGAGGGCAAAGATGGACCTAAATCATGTATTCTATGTTACTGTTTATATAACCAATTACTTTATATTACCATGTTTACAATATTTCACACGTTGCAGTTACGAACTTCTAGCAATATGCTGTTTCTGCATAAAATGTTGGTACGATATAACTTGTTATATGTAGTATACAGTGTTTAAAAACCCTACAAACTCTAGCAGTGCTTCATACACTTGTACCAGCATAACACCCACTAACATGCCACTACCACTATCACTGCTGGCTGAGAATGGTACACCAACAATATAATCTCTGGTCAGCAGTCATCCTGGTGGTTCTTTTCCATGGTTGTTTGAGCTAGCAGGTGGCTTACAAATTGTGCAGCAGCAAATGGGCTATAACCAGTAATTGTATACCTGCAAGGTGTGCTTTGACAGGTGTACCTGATAAAGTGGCCAATGAGTAAAGGTACAGTACTGAGCAAAAATCAGAGACCACCTTTAATTTATTTCATTTGCATTTAAAACAGCCATCAACTACTTTTCAAGAGATACTTCAGAGGAGATTCGATATAAGACAATCCACTTGCATAAAGAAAGGGAAAGTCAAAAGAAAATCAGTGGAAAATAAAGAGTTTCCTAAAATGAAGTTAAATAAATAAAAGGTATAGAGAAAATGGGACTCCTAACAATCATGCAAGACCTGTGAGACCACCAAAACTCAAAATCGGATAAACAGTACTTAAAGCCTTCATCTTTGAGAGAGAGGAGAGAATCAAGCTCCACTCTTGCCTCAGATCTGAAAAAAAAAATCCACAGGTGTTTCTGTCCGTCCTTCTACTGTGAGAACACAGCTCAACACTCTTGAGTCTGAAAGGATGTGTCAAGAAGGTGTAACTGACAAAAGGAAATACACTAAAAGGAAATTTACAAATAAACTATTAATAAAGCTGTTCTTGGGACAATGAATTGACCACCCCAGAGTCCAGGCCACAACATCATTGAATGTGTTTGTGATTACTTGGATTATGAGAAGCAGAAAATGCAAGACTGAACTTTGGAAGTGTGGAAAAATATCTGTGCAGATTTTTTTATTTTGATAAAATGAAAGCCAGATTCCCAAAAAGAGTGGAAGCTTAATAAAGGCAAAGAGTGGACTGAAAAAAGTTATTATATTTGGTTGAGACTTCTGTGAAATTTTATGTTGACTATATGTTTTCTGCTTTTTTTCCCTCTCCTGAAAAATGAATAACTTGTACTGGATGGTCTTTTTAAACTGGAAAAGTAAATAAACAAAGGATGGTCTCTGCTATTTGCACAGTAAAAGTAATAAACTTGCAACTCTGTGTATTGCTTGTGTGTGTGTGTGTGTGTGTGTGTGTGTGTGTGTGTGTGTGTGTGTGTGTGTGTGTGTGTGTGTACATTAGTGAGGAGTTGGCATCAGTTGAGAGGGAACTGGATATACTGTCTGAGCTGTACTCACAGAAATGTCTGGAGTGTGTCCACCTGGCCCAAGCTCTGGAGGCAGAGAGGAAGGCTCTACAGCATTGCCAGCACCAGAATCTAGCACTCAGTACACGCAACCAGGTAACTGGCCTATCATTGCTCCACCCACAAATGCATTGTATTATTCCTACTGTCACAAGATTGGACAAGTTTTATGGAACATTGGCAAAAATCCCATTCTAATGAGACATTCTAGAACACAACTCTGTTTTGTAAAAATATGTGCATTTAAAATGTTTTGTTGGTTTTAAACTATATTTATTCATATATGTATGTGTCACACTGTTAGCATAGTAGGTTAGTATATTGTCGCTGTTGGAGCAAAATCTCATGTCTCAAAAATAGTAACCTTAATGGAGAGGGAAAAAAACATTCATTGTAATAGAAGTTAATGAAATGTGATTTTTTTCCCCAAGTAATTTTAACCATTTGTTTTAGTTCATTGATCATGAAATTTTAACACATTTCAAAGGGTAACTGTAGTTTTCAAACTATGCCAAAAAGGAAAAACGACAAAATGGAGATTTTTTGAGGTTTTTTTTTGCGACAGTGCCGATATGTAACTGCTTAAAACAACAGTGCCTTACAACTACAGCCACTATATATGACCAAATCATTTAAATTTATAGAGACTTTATGGTATCTGCCTCTGTTTCTTCTTTCTATCCGAGATGCACTGTGGTTTTTAAATGAATGGTTTGCCTCAAAATACTAATGTTTGTATGGATATCTTTATAAAGCTATGCTTATGAATAAGTGGTTTCTTTCATTTACTGCCACGGTTGCACATTTATTCCTATAACTAGCTGAGGTCCATGCTGGACCAGTAAGATCTAGCTACTCTGTGTCTGAACATTGTATGTGCCCGTTGTACAGGAGTTAAACAACCACCTTGCTGAGGAAGTCATCAGATTGTCAACAGTGGCGATGGATGGTACCAGTCAGCTGATTGACGATAGGCAACAGTATGAACTGGAGGTTAGTGTGCTGTTTGAGAAACACCAATTTTGAGGGTTTCTGTTTTTCTAGAAGCCCAATCAGCAAAACTGACACCAGTCCATCTGGATTAGTTTGTAGAGTAGATACTTAGGAGGATAAATATGAGCTTTGTGCCTATATTGAGTTTTGAATGTCCCAGCACTGATACAATAGTGAAAACTACAAAGCCATCCTTTTCCATGCATGTTTCATTCATTTGTCTCTCATTTCAGATTATGCTGCGAGTAAAAGAAACTGAGGTCATTTATCTACAACAGGAAATCAGCACTTTGAAGAATGAACTTGAGAGTGCCCAAACGGTGAGCATGATAAGCTAGTATCCATGCTATTGTACAATGATGTGATAATCACAACAGCAAATCACCAGCATAATGATTAGTGACTTTTATTGCATTAAATGAGTTGAAAACATCATGTTCAGTTGCATTTTGCATGTGCGTCATTCTGCGTATTCAATTTCTTGCAGGATCAAAGGCTTGCTATAGAAAGATACCAAGAAATACAGATGGATCACTGCATGGTGAAAGAGAAGGCAGAACAGCAGATCGAGCAGCTCAGGGAGCATCTGAGACTTGCTTACGAGGCCTTAGCAGAGTCTATGGAGAAGAAGACTTCTGCCACTGCTCTTAATGCGGGTCATCACGCCTTACTAAAAAGCTGACATTAAAGCTACAGCACTTCTCTAACATAATGGATTTTGACCAGGATACCCATAATGTAGCCTCATGACAGTTACCCACCTTCGCTGATAAAGAGGAGTGCTACAATGAAAAGATATCTAGACTGACTTGATTGAACTATTTATTTTGTTTCTTTTGTGTTTCTGTACAAAGATTTAAAGATATCAAAGTATAAACAAAGAACATCACTGTGTAAGCTAGAAATAATAAGGTATTTTTATAGCCTATATCAATAAGCATTACAATAAAACAAGCATCAGAAATTTGACTTGTGAAAATTTCAGTGGTTCTGCTCTTCTTTTTCTACAGATTTCCAACATGCTAGGTCTGGTATGCATTGCAGTAGTGTTTGTGAATCAAGAGTACAAATCATGCAATGTGCATGTATGTCCAAAAGTTTGTAGACACTGTTTTTTCTGAAATCAGGGGTATCAGTAGGGCATTTGTCCTGCTTTTCTGCAGTAACAGCCTAAGCTCTTCTGTAGCTGTTGAAACATTGCTATGAGAATGTGATGCAGTGAGCCACAAGAGAATTAGTGAGATCAACTACTGCTAAATGGTTAGTTCTGAATAATAAATGCCACTTCAGCACATTCCAAAGGTGCTCCATCACTTGAGAACACAGTTCTGCCACTCCGCAGCCGAATGCTAATGGGCTTTATATCCCTCTAGCTAATGCTTGGCATTGTGCATAGAGACCTTAGGCTCATGTGCCTCTGCCCCAGCGTGTCCCATTATATTGGCAATGCTTTTGTATGGAGATTATACAAGCTGTCACTGCATAATTAAACACCTGTTTTAGCAATGGGTGCAGCTTAATAACACTGAATAAAGTAATTAGAGTGTCTTAATTCTTTTGGATGTATAGTGTGGGTGGATTTAGTGACTGTGGGGCTCCCTGGATACACATTTTTAAATTATTCGGCTTTGGGCTCTTGACGCAACTGCAAATAATATGTCTTGACAAGTGAAACCATTTTAAATTTGGTCAATCTAATATTTCTCATCTTGAGACTGTTGTAAGAATATTATATGATTATTTATCTAATTTCTAGACGTAACAGAAGTAATTTTGTTAAGTAAAATTATCTCACTATTGGCAGATCATTTGCGAAACCTAATGCTTAAAACAAGAAAGATTATCTGCCAATATAGTGAGATAGTTTGGTAGTCACATATTGTAAAGTAATGAGATTACTTTTTCCAGGAAGTACAACCATATTTCCAAAAAAGTTGGGATGCTGTGCAAATTGTAAATAAAAGCAAAATGATGTGCAGATTATTTAAACCCTATATTTATTTGAAAATAGTAAAAACATATCAAATGTTGAAACTGAGAAATTTTATCATTTTTTTTTTAAATATATGCCCATTTTGATATGCCAATTTGATGCCAACAACATGTTCCAAAAAAGTTGGGATGGGGGGGCAACAAAAGACTGGTAAAATTGTGTAATGCTAAAAAAACACTTGGTGGTTAATTGGCAACAGGTCAGTAATATGTTTGGGTATAAAAAGAGCATCAGGCTGAGTCTTTCAAAAGTAAAGATGAGGAGGAGTTCACCACTGAAAGACTACATGATCAAATAGTGCAACAATTCAAAAATAACGTTTCTCAACTTAAAATAGCAAAGAACTTTTGCTTTTCATCATCTACGATACATAATAACATTAAAAGATTCAGAAAATCTGGAGAAATCTCTGTATGCAAGGGACAAGGCCAAAAACCAGTATATGCTGGCCGTGATCTTTGGGCCCTCAGGCGGCACTGGATTAAAAACAGACATGATTCTGTAGTGGAAATCACTGCATGGGCTCAGGATCACTTTGGAAAAACACTGTCTATGAACGCAGTTCTTCACTGCATCCTTAAATGCAAGTTAAAACAAGAAGGAACCATAAATATTATAAATAAACATGATCCAGAAATGCTGCCACCTTCTCTGGGCCTGAGCTCATTTAAAATGGACTGAAGGGAAGTGGAAAAGTGTCCCGTGGTCCGACAAATCAACATTTGAAATGTTTTTTGGAAATCATGGACACTGTGTCCTCTGGGCTAAAGACCACTCAGCTTGTTATCAGTGCACAGCTCAAAAGCCAGTATTTATGATGGTATAGGGGTGCATTAGTGCACATGGCATGAGTGATGTGCACATCTGTGAAGGCACCATTAATGCTGAACGATATATACATGTTTTGGCAACCAATCTTTTTCAGGGAAGGCCTTGCTTATTTCAGCAAGACAATGCCAAACCACATTCTGCACGTATTACAACAGCATGGCTCTATTAAAAGAGTCTGGGTGCTAAACTGGCCTCTCTGCAGTCCAGATCTGTCACCACTGAAAACATTTGGCACATTATTAAATGAAAAATATGACAAATGAGCCCCTGAACTGTTGAGCACCTGAAATCCTATATCAAACAAAAACGGGAAAACATTTCACTTTCAAAACTACAGCGGTGTCTCCTCAAACGCTTACAGAGTGTTGTTAAAAGAAGAGGTGATGTAACACAGTGGTAAACATGACCGGCCCAACTTTTTTGGACCGTGTTGTGGGCATTAAATTCGAAATGGGCACGTTTTTCAAAAAACAAAATTTCTCAGTTTTAACATCTGATATGTTGTCTTTGTAGGATTTTCCTGTAAAAAAATGGTCTACATAGTGTAGGGGTTGTAGAAATCAAAGTAATCCCATTACATTTTGAGAGAAGTAATTAGTAAATTGTAATTATTACTTTTTTTGAGCAATTACCCCCACAATGGAGCTCTCACACTAACGGCACTAACGTTAGCATTATGTCCAAACTGCTGAGCCTGTGCAGCGCTCTGTTCTAAAGGAAAAAACGAAGTCAGTTTTGTGAGTGTAGTGATGAACGTTTTGCCTTCCTCCCTTGTTTTGTGTTTCTCCTGCACTTTATTGGATTTTTTTCTTCTACACCTTGTAATAAAGTACAGTAACTGCGTTTCTTCGCTCTCCGGATCCACACCAGGTGGGCGCGCTAGAGGAGCTCATGGCGGTTATGGGCCGCTCGGGACGGAGAGTGAGAGAGCGGTTGTTTGGCAACAAACTCCTCAGCGTCTAACGCTCCTGCGTGTGTTAGTTAGTTAACCTAGCGTTCACCGTTTTAATGACAGGAGTTGGTAATTTAGACGTTTCGTCGCGTTTGAAGGTCTCTTGGTAAAAAAAGACAAAAACGTAACTGGTCAGCAGGAAAAGAGTCCCGCTCTCAGTTTATTCGTATTGTTAAGTGTTAGCACGACATAGCTAACAAACTTTGAGAATGAACGTCCCGAAAAGCGGTTATCGCGTCTTCTCAGCCAACTCTACGCCTGCATGTACCGAGCTTGCTAAGAAGATTACCGAGTATGTATTCTGTCAGTAACACTTTTGCTTTTGCTTTGTTGGCATTGTAGTGAACTGCAGTTAACGTTACTTTCTGTAGCTTGCTAGCGCAACGGCACCTTTTCCACGTACAGCCAACTAGCTAAGCTAGCTAGCTAGCTAGCTAATTTCCCAAACTTCGTTATTAGCCACACATGTAGCTACGTTAATATTGTTAGGTAAATCCTTGGTGGTATTTCCGCCAGTGTTTTTAATTCGTCACTGTTCTCAAATATTGATATTTCATTAACGTTGTGTTTTTAAAAACAGCTCTCAGTATTGTGAAACGTCCAGAGCAAACGTTCCTGAGCGAGTTTCGGTCAATGAGAGATATCGTGTAATGTCGGATAATAGTATTATTCCCATTATTATATCGAATATTTAGTGTGGAGGATGAATTAGCCGTTGGTTTCTAACCTAACCATCCTGAACTGACTTAGCTAGCGTATCTCTGTCTAAATGATTATAGGTAGTAAACAACCTCCAGATACAGTAAGCTAATCAAACAAACAGGCGGTGGGACCCCGGCTAAGAGGACAGTGTTGTTGGCAGGGTCATCATTTTAGTTCAGCAAGTCATCAGTTCTTAAGTGCTTGTTTATGTAATAAACAAGGAAAGCGTAAGACGTTAAGTAGCTAGCTTACTAGTCGTATTAACAATAGCTACTTCACGTTGTTAGATTCACGAGGCCTAAATCTTATCTGGTTCAGCCTCCAACTGCAAATGTTGAATAAGGTTTTTATAGTAAGTTAGATAGGTTGGATTAGCTAAGGTAGCTAATTTTGCCGTGCAGTGAGCAAACATTTGAGCTAGCTAATAGTTACGTATCATTTAGTTACTAGCAGGCCAACGATGTGTAAGGACATGTTAGATGTGTTATCTTGTTAGCTTCGTAGTAGATGATTTTGCCAAGTTTGACCCTTTTCGTAGTTGGGGGAAAAAAGTGAAGGCAGAATGTCAGTCGTTAGCTAGGTTAGCTAGGTCACACGAGGCTGAATTTGGCGTTGTATTCATCAGCTTCTTGTTAGAATGTTCCTGTTCCACCTTAAATGGTGCAGCAGTTACATTCTGGAATGTAACTGCTGCACCATTTAAGGTGAAACGGGAAAATCCAAACAATAGCTGGCTTCAGTTCTTTGGCCTCACTGTAGCATTTTTCATAAGGATGGGATGTTTGCTGACAAAAGCCATCCTGTTTGACGTTGAAGTATGCCGTAAAATGCATGGTCAAATTTGCACGTAAGATCTAAAACCTACGAAAACAAAAGGGGGGTGAAGTCTGCAGCTACTGTGATTGGTCTGCCTACAAAATGTGAACTCGTCCTTCATTGATTTGACCTGATTTTGGGAAGGTCATAGAGTGATTAAGCAAAACTGCCTTGCTGAATAGTACTTTAATTGTGTTTTTATGTTTTTGTCAGTAAACAAAACTCTGATTCAGACTGTTTTTTCTTTTTCACTCTTTAGGCGCCTTGGAGTGGAGTTGGGGAAGTCTGTGGTTTACCAGGAGGCTAACAGAGGTGAAAAGAACCCCACAACTTAAAGAGGAATTCCACTGATTTTTCAAAAGTTCTCCATAACTCTGCCACTGAGATGTAAACAAAGTAATTCAGAGTATCGTAATGTGAAATGTGCCATTCTGTAGAAACACGCAGACTCAGATTTTTTTTACACTGATAATGATGAGAACCAGGAGTTGTAATGTCAGTAATGCAAATATGACTGTTTTATGTACTATCCAAAACCACTAGTAAAACTACATGTCTTCTGAGTGTTAATGTGCAATGTTGACAATAATATATAAATATATAAATGGCAATTGTTATGATAAAATGGTGAAAAATGTGAAAGAAAATGTTTTGTTTTGGGGACTATTTTGCCTCACAGTGCCCTGCATGTACCTCTCAACCATGAATGTCTCAGACATCAGGCAACACGTTCATAACCATTTCATGTAGTTTTGTGTGAGGTAGCTTTTAAATTCAGTTCTGCATTCTTGGAGTGTCTGGTTCCTGTCACAACTGCTATAAACATTTCTGACTCACTAAGTTTTAGAATGGAGCATCGCACCTCAAAACACCCTGAATGAAACTGTTTACATTTACTTACCTACTTAATTATGTAAAAAATTTAGGAAAATTGTTTTTTTGTGTCTAGGGCTTTATGATTAGTTTTTATTTCAAATTGAAGTAATCCAAATTAGGTGTTATTTTCATTATTAAACATGTGTATAGCCCAGCATTGTCCAATCTTATCTGCAAGGGGCAGTTGTGGTTGCAGGTTTTTATTCCAACAACGCAGGAGCGATTATGATCATGATCATGTGCTGCTGCATGTTTGGGATGAAAACCTGCAATACACCAGCTCTTTGCAGATAGGAATGGTTATCCTTGGCATAAGCATTTGCCTAAGATGATTGAGCTTGATTTCACTGTGACCCCTTCTGCCTAACGTAACAGAGACCAGAGTTGATGTTAAAGAGTCTGTTAGAGGCCAGACGATCTTCATCATCCAGACAATTCCCAGGTAATGTAAATTCCTGAATGAACTCTAAAGCTGTGTACTACAAGCAGAAGTGTAGCTTGTTTGTGATCTTGTTGCCATTATTTTGCTGTTTTTTTACATTGTAGACTGCACAGTGGTGTTCAGTTAAATTTCATGTATGTACATTTTTGTGGTTGTTCGTTTATCAGAGATGTTAACACTGCTATCATGGAGCTGCTGGTCATGGCGTATGCCCTCAAGACCTCTTGTGCCAAAAACATAATTGGAGTCATCCCATACTTTCCCTACAGTAAGCAGTGTAAGATGAGGAAGAGGGGATCCATAGTGTGTAAACTGTTGGCATCCATGCTGGCCAAAGCAGGTATTTTCATTTGTTGATTTTTATGGTGGTATTAATGTGTTTTTTTTATTATTACAAGGAGAACTGGTTAATACTGCACCCACAGTTATGTCCTTTTAGTCTTTAGCTAAAAACATACAGGTGAAATGTGGAATGCCGATTTAATATATTAATGTTGTGCATGTTTAAGAACTATATGTATAAACATACATATAGTTGCATGTTGCTTACAGAGCTAATAGATTTTTTTCGCTCACAAGCTTTTAATTAAATAGCCTTAATTGCTCTTGTGACTCAGGTTTGAGTCACATCATCACCATGGACCTCCATCAGAAAGAGATCCAGGGTTTCTTCAGTTTCCCTGTGGACAACCTCCGTGCCTCTCCGTTTCTTCTACAGTACATTCAAGAAGAGGTCAGTAACTACATTACCTTTTACCATCAGTGGCAGTGCAGAATGTTCTAGTATTATGAAATTTCATATACTGTGTACTGTTGTTTGTTTCAGGTCCCTGATTACAGAAATGCCATCATTGTTGCAAAGTCCCCCTCTGCTGCAAAAAGGTATTGGGTCTGAAAATGTACATATCTACAAAATTTTGTCACCACTTCTGGCTTTTAAGGAACAGTTTGGCCAAGATATGTTTGACATCTAAACTTCTTTAGTTCACAAAGTGAGATGCTAGGCTTATGTTGCTAACAAACATCGGAACACTGAACACCAGAATGTCACCGGTGTCCTCTTAGTAAATACATGCCAAAATCTTCATTTTGTGTTTAGGAATTTCCCATAACCCCACCTTTGGCTGTCTTGCACAGAATGATGCAACTTATTGTGCTGAGGCAAAAATGGTTTTGCTCTGCCATTCACTTATGCGGAGAAGTCTATTGTTTTTATGGACTAAATTAAGTCATAATGTGTTCTAAACCACGTTGGTGTGTCTGTGAAGACAAATGAAGATCTGGATGAGTTTTGAGCAGGTTAATAGACATTTTTAGGCTTGTATTTACAGAGATGAGCTTGGTGACAGTCTGGTTAGCAACATTAATCTAGCATAAGTGGCACTTGGAGCTAAGTGACATTGTGTAATTTGATCTATTGCCAGACTATTTTTTAAGGCTGTTTTCTGACTGACTTCACAGAGATTTTGGTGCCTTGATGTAATATTGTAATGATCATAAATGCAAGCTTCTGACCTAAAATTTTTCCATGAACATAGTCATAATTACAAAAGCAGTTTTGATACCCACATTTCCAGCTTACTTACCTTTAGCATATCATCATCATGGCAAAGGTTTTAGTGGCCAATAGTAAATAATTCTTTCCTTTTTCTTTATTTTCTAAACTCAGGTTAGTTTTTCTCAGCTGATAGGCCATAGACATTGCTTACATCTGTAATTGTTAGTTGTATTATGCACATTTTTACAATGGAGGAAAATGGAAGAAAAATGGCTGTTTGATTTTGCACTCTCTTAAAGAACTCCTAAGAGGTGAAGCTTTACTGCCAGTTTGAGTGGTTAATTGTTCCAAAACAACACTAGTTAATGCCATAGTTCCAGTAGCCATTAATGAATCCAAAAGCTATGTGCATGGAGAGAAGTGAAGTGAGAAGCAAAGCAGTAAAAAAAAAAGACAATTCCTTCAAGTTTAACCCTCATTTCACCGCATTTTCTTGTTTAGTTTTATTACGTGGTGGCATAAAATCTCAGGGAAACGCCCCTTCTCTTAAACTTATTGTAAAGTTCTGGTTACTCACTTTGAGGATTTCCATACAAAAACATAACACATTAAAGCATAACCATGCAATAATACCCATTAAAGCAATAAGCATGATCTGTACATATTTGAAATGTTTATATATATATATATATATATATATATAATATGGCATCATATGGCTACAACATTCAAAGCTTCAAAGCACTTTAATGTATGGTAGGCATGATACAGAACTCTGCTCTAGATATCAGTAGCAAGCGTAGTATCATAATGATTCTGAGAATTTTTAAAATTGATTTTAGATTAACACCTTTGATTTTTGACTTCAGTCTTTATGACCTGTTATAATTTTTAGTTTTGAAAGTTAGAATTATTGAATTGTTTACAATGTTGCAGTATTGGAAAAATGTTGAACTTTCAATGCATTGTGCAAAAACTTCATAGTTACAACTTCTCAAGTCTGGATTAGGACCATGTCTTTCTCTGTGTGCTGACCACAGGGCTCAGTCCTACGCGGAGAGGCTACGTCTAGGCCTGGCCGTCATTCACGGGGAGGCCCAGTGCTCTGAATCGGACATGGCCGATGGACGGCACTCTCCTCCCTGCGTCCGCAACACCTTCGGCCATCCCGGCCTGGAGCTGCCATGTAAGACCAATTTCTGCTTCTGACTGTAAACCTCATAAGGTCACAGTTATGCTTAGTAAGGTCTTAGCGTAGATTGTTTGTCCAAAAAAGACAATTTGCACAGCCACTGGTTGGCAGGTAAAATTTAGAATGAATATACACTCAAGTTATTTGTTAGTTCAACACACATACCTTTTCTTAATTACTTGAGGGATGTTATAAGAGGGTCGGGATGAGGTCAAACTCTCAATAGAAATCACTGCATCTAAATACTAACAGCCTACTTGAGGCCTTCTCTGCAGAACACTGTTTTGTTCTCACTGCATTGCCTTGCATGTCATAAATGATGAGGTACAGTCACTCATTTTCCTATGTGCTTATCCTCTTCGATTCAAGCTGATACTTAAGATAAATTGGCATCTTTCCTTTGTGTTTTGATGACAAATCTGATATTAACACCAAATCGCAAGCAGGTCTTTTGGGGTAACTTGTGCATCACTTTTGAGTAATAAATATAGCTTGACAGATATTTACTCCAGTTAATTGTGTTTTCATTTGTGCTTTTTGAATGTCTCCTGTGGACTTTGACAATCCTCAGCCCTTACAGTGTTAAAGGCCTTTGAGCAACTTTGATGAGTTTTGCAGTGCTCTCTCAAAATTAAGCAATCCAGAATTTGAATTGAGTAGAGAAGCTGTATGTTCTGTCTTTGTTACATGTATCAAATATGTTACATCTGACTTCTTACAGTACTAGCTGCAATAGTTAAACACTTTCTTTTATGTTGCAGTATTACTGAACGCAATACTACGTCAGCATGCTCAGCATACTGTTTATAAGAAATCATTGTTTAAATCTAAATTCCAGAAATGTTGAGACATATTTAAAAGTTTCAGTGCATAATATCATCAACCTGACCATCGATTCCTCAGATAGCCCTGCATTAAAAACTGACATGGATATAATGGATATCATCACATGAAATGCTTTCACAAAACCAGTGTCACAAACAATCTCCATAAATCCAAGTTAAGACTATACTATGCACAGCAGAAGCCATATTTCAACAATGCCTAGACAGGCAGCGAACTCCTCTGGGCTCTAGCTCATCTGAAATGGACCAATGCACAGTCTGATCCACTTGTACCAGCGCAACACACACTAACACATCACCGCCACATCAGTGTTACTGCAGTGCTGAGAATGATCCACCACCAAAATAGTACCTGCTCTGTGAGGGTCCATGGGGGTCCTGACCACTGAAGAACAGGGTGAAAGGGGCCTAGAAAATCCCCTCTCTCCTTCATTACTACCAGACGGAAAATCCCACACATTAAATACTAAAACACAAGACCTGGCTGTAAATAAACTTATAACGTTCAGTTAGTTTAATACTGAGATGTAGCTTTACAGTCCACACTTTTAAATTTACTTTCATTATTATGAGCAGTGATAACCGTGACACCTTGACACGTGTTTGCCAAGGTGCTTTGTATTATCAATAAATAAATGAATGCAGAAGTTATGCTAGCGTTCTTTTCTAATTCTTTATTGAAAGCGTAATGTATCAAGAAGCAAAAATGGCAATATGTATTGTATTTGTGTTGCACCCCTACAGGAAAGGTAGAACCAGTTTTGCTGTTTGGAAACACTTTGGTTTGAACGAGTCCAGTGAGGAACAACAGCAAATACTGTACAAGATTTGATACATGGTGATCTCTGCACCACAAGGCAATACGACCGATTTGTTTAATCATCTAAAATTTAGTCTGTTAAAGGCTTTTTTTTTTAATTCAGTATATGATGCTTCCAAAGTCAGTGAGTGATCGTGTTAAATAATTGTGATCGCAATATTGACCAAAATAAACATGATTATGATTTTGCCATAATCAAGCAGCCCTTGTGGAAACATGTATTGTGATCTGACAAGTCAACAAAGTTCAATCTATGAAGTTGTAGATCAGTAACATCATATAATCATTTTTTACATGTGTCTGCAAGATTGATGATTTTATATTATTGAAAAGTGACTTTTGAACCTCGGATGCTTTGGGTGTATTTGAAAAAAGAAAATCTGACATCACTGAAACTACTGAAAGATAACACAGCTGACCTCATATCTTAGTGGGTGTTGAGGATTGTGAAAGTTCTACTATCATCTTTGTGTCTAATATTTATTTATGTTTTTGAGCTGTATGTATGTGGACGTTATTTAACTTGATGTTTATTTGTTGGTAATAGGCAAGCAACAAGCTCCGTTCCCAGGCATAGAGCTCCCAAGTACGATGGTTAACTGTCTTTGCTTCCGATCACAGCAGTGACCGCACTGAAATGGTTCCTCTATGCGTGCATGCAGTGATCGAGGCCTCTCAATACCTGCAGCCAAAAGCATTCTGAGGACTGTAGACATGAAGCTGTACTAATTCATGCTGATACCTACGTCACATACCATTGCACCATTGTAGCTGGAAGTTCTTTATTTCAGAAGAGCTAACATCTCTGTCTGTATCTTTCTAACATACCCTTATTTTTAATAAATTAATTTAATATAGTAACTAATTTAATTTAAACACTGCAAGTAGAGATGTGGACTGTGTAGACTTAAGAGTGCTTCTGAACAGGATTGAGAAACCTCAAATGAAGTGCTTTTTTTTTGTTTTGTTTTTTGTTTTTTTTTTTTTTACTCCGTAATCACCATCCTTCTGAACAAATGGAACCATTGAATATCTGTCCAAGATATGTACATGCGTCCAGTTTCGATCAGGGCCCATCCTGCCAGTCAACACACCCATGCCTGCTTGTGGAGAATTCTGTAGATTAGACCTTTAGAACAGTTGTCTTGTAGCTGCTTGTGGCCAAGGCCTCTGTAAGGTCTTGGAAACACATGACCTTGTGGAAAGCTGTAGAAAAAATACAGCGAGAACGCTATTGAACGATAAGAATAAAGGCTGAGAATGTGCCAAACATCTCTAGAAACATTTGGAACTGGCCCAGATATTTTAGTACAGTTTTTGTTTTGATGTTCCAAATTAGGCAAAAATTGCATTTCATATTGGTTAACCTGCACATGTTGCATGCATTCTCTTCTCTGTACAACAGGACAGGAAGCCTCTGTATCAAATAGGTTTCTCTAGGTTTGCTTCACACATTTTAACAAACCTAAACTGATGGTCCTTTGCCAGTCCTTTGATTACTTTGTCATGGACTCTTCAATGTTTCAAATGAAGTTACTGCATTAAAATGAAAGCTGTTCAACAGCTCAAAACCTGGCTTGTCTGCAAGGTGTTGCAGTGGTTCAGTTTCATTCAGGACTGGCAATGCATCATAAGACATGGCCAGTTAGAGCAAAGCATTCTAACTCATCAAACCTTCTAGTAAGTCACTGTAGTGTATTTTGTTCTTTAAATAAAAGGCATGTGTTGAAGGCATGTTTAACTTGATTAACCCTCTCAGAACCTGCAGTCTGCTCCCTATGTGTTAAACCGTATGCAGGCGTGCGATTGTGTGAGTGTGTTTGCTGGTTGTGTGCTCTCGTGCCTCTCCTCTGGCTGAAGGCTTAATGTTGAACGAGTACGGGCCTGCAATCTTGACCACCCCTCAATTTGAGTACTTCCCCAGACTGAGTCAGGCTTGTTGGCTTTCAGGACAAGATTGGTTTGTGTGTATTCAGAGCAGTTTATCTGCACAGACTTCTGTGTGGAAGTCTCCTAGATATTCTTCTCTGTGATTGGGTATGTTGGGCAAAAAGAGGTTTCTGCATGGCATGTGCTACATTGAGATTGCCATTCCAAATTGAAACTGGATTGTAGGTGGGGTAAAATGGGAAACATAGAATCTTAAAAAAATAAAATAAAAAAAAAAAAGTTCAAGGAAACAAAAATAAAGCTACTGCAAACCAGCTATGGTTTGTGTGACTCCTCACCTGATTTGTTTGTCATTTAGAGATCATTTTGACAGGATGGTTTAGAGTTAGAACGGGTTAGGTTATTAAATGCACTCAAACCCATCTTACCCAATCTACACTGACAACGGAGCCTGATTTGTTTAATGGTGTCCCTCTTCAGAACGTTCTGTAATACGTTTGTGACTGACTTGCTGGTATTTCTCTTTGTAGTAATGATGGCCAAGGAGAAACCGCCCATCACGGTGGTGGGAGATGTTGGAGGGCGCATCGCCATCATTGTTGTAAGTAAAGGTGCATGACATATGCAAAGCTGATGAGAGAAAACGTATTTATTAATATTTATCTGATGTTGGAATTACAGACGATGCTTGTATGATGTAATATCCTTTTTGTAGGTTGCACATGCACTAATGCGCGTGTGGTCACCAGTGGTGTGAATTTCTGTTATTTTACACTCACGCAAATGAGTTAGATGGTGGTCTGAGGGTCTTTTCCTGCTTTATCACACCTACTTCAACTCAGGAAGGGGTTGTTGATTAAAGGAATGGCCTAGTCTAGATTCTGAGATCTAACAAGACGATGGCTTCTTAGAGTTGTTTGGTCTTGGGTGAAAGTTGGCTGGCAAGACAGCCTTTTAAAAAGTTCCACCACTCTAGATGACCTGATGGATGCAGACTTTTTGCACTCTGTTCTATAATATCCTCTACTTTTTAGGTGTATTCAGTATACCTTTCAAAACAAAGGTAGGGCTGGAAAGCTTATAGCACCTGGAAATCCCAAGGAGTTTCTCATCCAGGCCCTAACTAGGCTGATCCCTTCTTAGTGTCTGAGATCCGGGGCCTCTTAGAGCTGTTCGGTCATTGGCGAAAACCAGCCGACAACAGCCTCTTAAAGTATTCTGTATTCCATATAACGTAATTAGATGCCTAATGAAGTGCATTTCAAACTGTGGACCGTGACGTACTGGTGGGTTGTGAAGAAGCTGCATCAATGCATATCCTTATTTTTTTCCCTTTGAGAGCAGAGCTAAATAAAGCAAGTTTTAGATCAGAAGTGCTAACCATGCAGTTTCTGCACCACGTAGCACTGCCAGCGCTATGAAAGTGCTTCTGTGTTATCAGCGTGTCCTTGAACTGGATGCACGCAGCACTGAAGGCCATGCACATTTGAAGTACAGTTGGACGAGAGTCATGCAAATGACAACGATGGAGATGTCACACTCAAAGCTTGGAGTGTGGTAGCAGCGAGCTACCTGCTATGAGAAAAATGTACAAACTACAATCTGCTTTGCTGCTATGCTGGATTTAAAACAACATTGCTTAAATCTAATTAATTAAGTTGTCAGAATACAGAGCTGACTAGCCTTCTAGACTCATTGACAACATAAATCAGAACGAAAGATGATGTAATTTCTAGGTGAATATTACTGAATTTTTTTGTTCATAGTGAAGGTAACAGCTAAATGAATTGCGTCTAAATGCAAAACAAATAAGTGTTCTTTTATTATTGTTAAATCCCACAATCTCACCAGTGTAGGCCTATGCATGTTTAATTTTTTATCATGGAATGCTGTTGCCTTTGTTGATTTACTCAACATTCTGTTCTTTCAAAGTGGCCTGGAAGCTGAAAACTTTTTTTTTTCACTGGAGGCGCAAGTGAAAGTCTATACCCACAAGTTTTTTTTGGTGACATAGACATCCATTGCTTGTTAGGTACATGTTAGAGCAGTGAAAACCAGGAGACCACAGTTTATCCTCTTAAATTGTGAGGGTTGTTACATTCTAAGGCGTATTATTCACTTACTGCATCATAAAAGAATACAGACTGGCATGGGAAATAGAAGCCCGATCTCCCCCGGATTTAAGGGGTAAATTCTTTGTTTAGGCAAGCACACCACTGCTGTACCAATCAGAGTGCTGTTGAGGGTAGAGAGCAAACTTACAGCGAGTAAACAGAATATTTCTGCGACTTTGATAACAGAATAAAGACCAAAAGGAGTCACGCTTGTAATATCGATTTTTAGACTGTAACATAATGTGGAGAAGTGTGGCAAAACATGAATGTGTTTTGATGTGTACTGAGCTACAACAAAACCTTTGAATGCATTTAAACTAGTATATAATGTTTTTTTTTAATCTGCTATTAGGATGACATCATAGATGATGTAGAGGATTTTGTGGCAGCAGCAGAGATTCTGAAGGAAAGAGGAGCCTATAAGATCTACATCATGGCCACTCATGGCCTGCTGTCCGCTGACGCTCCGCGTCTCATCGAGGAGTCTGCCATAGACGAGGTGAGTCACTTTGGTCTTGGTCTTTGGTCTTTGGCCCTTTTAATTGTATAGGACAAGGCAGGCTCCAGGACCAGCATTGGGAAATATTGATCTAAATCAGAGGTTCCCAATTCCAGTCCTGGTGACCCTCTGCAATCTCATTTAGCATGCCTGATTCAGCTCATTAACTAGTTAACAAGCCGCTCTTAGGCTGGGTCAGGTATGTAGAGCTGAGAGAACACAAAAATGTGCAGAGCATGGGGTCATCAGGACTGAGATTGGGAACCCCTGATTTAAGTTATACTGATGTTGAATCTATAAACCTGAAACCTAATTCACATTCACATTATGTGAATTATTACTGCAATTTGTAAGAATTTGCATGGTGACAATTTCTGTTCTTTTTTTGACCTTATACAATAAAATTGTCATGTTTAATACTTGCGATTCCTTTGTAGTTAATGACTGACTGATGGACATTGCTAGATGTCTGTAATGCATATTTATTTTTAATGCATATTTGTCCCATCTGTGAGAGAGAGAAATATTTACAGCTTAGTATACGAAAACCTTTGACAACAAAAACTTCAAGTCAAGAAAAAACAGTGCCACTTTAATATGCCTGCCACTTACATTGGTGCTAAAATAAAATGCATAGCGTTAATGTAATTTAACAAGATATAACTATAGCAAGATGTGGCACAATTATGTTTCCTAAAAAAGGTACTAAACTATCTCACATCACGTGAGACATTTCAGTACCTTTTTTCTGAGAGCATGTAGAAGTTAGATGTATGTTTTCTAACTGTAGCCCACCTGTCACTAAGCACAATTTGGGAGCCAACTTCCACCCCATCCATCACTGGAAACCACACAGGAACAGCCCTGACGAGATATCATGTGGGTGGGGGACCTTTCTCAGCAGAGCAATTACACCAACATACTAGTTGCATGGTAGTGTGTCAGATGACATGTTTTGTTGATTTTTCCTGATTTACCCTGATCAAATGATGTTGATTTTCCTGCTGAAAATAAGCTAACACATCCTCTACAGAGAACACACATCTACATATTTTAATACACAATTACTTTTCATTTACAGAGTTTAAATTATTTTGGAAAATAATTTTGTGGTCTATGCAAAAGTTATGGAACATTTTATGTTTTATTTTTTCCAGTATAACTGGAAAGTATACACTTGTACAAATTCCATATTTATAGACAAATGCTTGCTTCTTGTACGATGTATTATTGTCGTTTAGAAATACAACGTAATTTGACTGGGGTATTCAAAATTTGACTGCAGAAGTATATCAGACACAGCAATATTGCTGGGATTTTTATAACACTGTGTACACTGTCCCAGCAAAAGACTGTGTGATGAATGACTTGATCCAATATGACATCTTGTATGAATGTGTTCTGTTACAGGTGGTAGTGACCAACACCGTCCCGCATGAAGTGCAGAAGCTGCAGTGCCCGAAGATCAAGACGGTGGACGTCAGCATGATTCTGGCCGAAGCCATCCGCCGCATCCATAACGGAGAATCAATGGCTTACCTGTTCCGCAACATCACTGTAGACGATTAGGCGTCAAGCAGCTTTGCGCTTGCATTGGAGGTGAGGTCTTTCCAAAGAGCTGAGGATGCTCTCTCTCTCTCCTCTCCTAAACATGCTAGGAGTGCCAAGTATTACAAAACACAACTATTTAAACAATAAAACAAACTTATTTTATTTAAAAATCTGTCTGAATAGAAGTGCTTAAGGGAGAAATAGAGCTTTGAGTTAAATTTTAGGAACCTTACCATTGTGTCTGAATGCAAGTATCCCTTCTTTACTCTTATACAATCAGTTAATCTGTGCAGCAGTCATTGACTGCGGCAATACCTCTTATATGCAAAAGTGTTGAATATTATTCCATTCATTTGCACTCATTCATTTGTATTCCCTCCATTAATTGTATGTTGTATTCGCTCCTCAATATTTGCTTGCTTAAATAGTCTGCCAAGTGAAGGCATTTGTTTAAACATTATGTCCAGTACTTGAAGGACCCTAAATGTGTTGTGTGCAAGAGTAGCTGCTTGCTTGCTGTTTATTTTATACAGCTTTCTTAATATTAAGTCTAGTATCTGCACTTGAGCCAAAATGCCCTAAAACTATTAGAGTATTGGGTGAGCTGATTCATTTTTGAGAGTGCTTTGCTGATTCATTCCTTAAGAGTGCTGTGCACGTAATCCCAAAGTTAAGGGAACAAAACTTTGTGTCTGAAATGTGTTGTGTCTGTCCTGTCATCTCAGTTGATGTGTGCTAGGGTACACCTGGTTTTCAAAGTTTTAAAGGGATACCCAAGAAATGCAGTTTATGGCACGAAGCGTGGCGTTATTGAAGCTGATGTCTGTAGCATGTGAATGAAACTGACCCATGCACTAGTGAATGTTTACGTTTGCCTTTAGATTGAGACACAGTATCGTCATAGCTCAGGTTGTTTGATTGTTAACCATAAAGCAAAGTGACATGGGATGTATAGATAGTCTTAAGACCGTAAAATCACATGGCATGGGCCAACCTGTGTTCCATGCCTGGCAGCTGATTCACAACAATAACTATGCCGACACACCAGACCACAGTAATAAAGGGAAAACTGTTTAAGAAAAGCTTGCTTTAGTTGTTCACAAGACAGGTTTATATAATTAATGATAGCATACCCAGTTTATGTATGCTAACAGAGCCATTAAGTTCATGGAGGTTTTAGTGTGCAGTTTCATTCCATCCAAGGCCAAAACGTGCATGACCGCAGTGTTCTTACATCCTGACACTGAGGCCTCTTATTGCTCTGCCATCACGCCGTTCCTTGTGAGTGAAAAGTCTTTCTGTGCGCACGTGGTCTACGCGGTGTTCCTCACCATACCTTCCCTTTCACATCCACTTCCAGTTCTGATGGTGGATGACATTCAGCCAGGCGGGTGCATGCTTGGCATGTGAGTTGCTTGGGCGTCTTTGAGAGCAATAGTGGTTGCTATGGCAACCGTGCTCAAAGCTGGATTAATTTGTTTTTTATTATTATTATTATTATTATTATTATTATTATTGTTATTATTATTATTTTCCCATGCAGCGCATTTTTGCTCTGCATTCCAACACTTCTAATCAAAGTTTTTGTTTGTGATGTTACGTATGTCACTGCTGTTGATTTGTAAACCATATTTTTGTAAATAAAGACTGTTGAACGCTTTATTGTGTTCTGTTGTCTCTTTATTGAGCTGAATATAAATCAGGTGAACATCTTTACTGTGGCATGGACTACTTGGATCTGAAACAAATGACTTCCAAGTAAATGAGCTTATTGATTTGACTGTACTTGAATCTCACAAATTTGAATTAGTCACAGACCCTTTACTTGCTCAGAACTCCTCAGGGGAACTCAGAGGACACTGAGGAGCTTAGACCAAGTCCAGGGGCAAGGACAGCAGTTCATACACCCTGCAGACCACTCATTACAGTTTCTAAAACAGTGGTTATTGATTCCACACTTGGAGGGTTATAGCGCTTCTTCAAGAATTAATGCATGGTTCAACTCATCAGCTAACTATCAAAGAAATAAATGTAGTAGAGTAGGGAGATTCCTAAACTTTACATTACTGGTCCTCCAGGGTTAAAATTTAGCATCCTATAGTGCAGTAAACTATTGAAGCAGTACTAATTTTTCCTTTTAAAAGAGAATTCCATCAGTTTTTCATGCTTTGCACAGTTAATTGTTTAAGATGTAAGCAAAGGCATTCAGAGTAGTTTGATGTAAAATTGTTTACAGTGGGGATGAAGAAGTGATGCTTCTAAAAGCTTCCTCAGAGTACAGTAGTAAATAAAATGTAATGAATACTCTGCCTGAAGCATGAGACATTGTTTGATGATAGTTTTGATATTAGGTTTTGGCATGAAATGTAATTTTTTAAAGATCCATTTATGGTGAAGACGTACAGTCCAATTGTTGCAAAATAGTTCCAAAAAACTTAGAGGTTTATCAAATTTTTGGAAGTTTTTGTCCTTGTCAGAATTACATATAAAACTCAGAAGGCTCATAGAGGTTCACTGGTCATGAAGAAAAGTAAATCTGGGCTGCTTGGTTTCTCTGCAATGCACGATTTCACATCAGTGGATGGAATTCCCTTTTAACTTTACAAAAAATTACAAAGGTTTCAAGAGTTGAAAAATATCAACTGCACTTTTTCAGCTGCTGTTACTCATTTGAATACATTCTATCTATGTTTAACACCTCTACTCACCTCAGGTTGTGGAAGGGTCAAGCAGTCCTGGTGTCTTGGAGTGTGTTTAACATCTAGGCAGACAGGACAGGCAGCTGTGTGTTTTAACTGAACTTTTAAGAGGAACTAGAGCACCGGCACTTTGGTCACTTCCCTCTTTCAGCTCAGGGGAACAATACACCTTGTCTCGAAAGGGGAAATTCTTTCTGTGTTGGTGTGTGTGCGTGGCTGTGCTCAATAAGATTGTGTGTGTCTATATGATAAGTAGAGCATGTCAGCAAAGTTTCGCATATGATGCTATCGACAAACTCAAATACGTTATGTATAGATGTTGGTGGAAAGCAGACTGAAAATAGCTCTGTATTTTGCTGTTACTAGGGGAACTGGTTTCAGCAGGTATGTTTGCATAACAAATAAAGGGATACTGTAAATTTGAAGTGTTTGTCTAATAATATGGTGTAACTGAATTGACCTACATATGTGGGTGAATATATTTAATATTATTAAGTGATTTACTGACCTCTTTCTTTCGCCCGGAATATCAGTTTCAATAGAAAATCCCCTGGCAGATATTCACATTCAAAAGGCCATTCACTGAAAGGGGCATTGGGAACTAGCTGACATCCCGTAAGAGGAGGAGAAGAGAAAGTAGGCATTTGATTAACAAAGCGTGAGCTTCCCTATCACTGTATTTCTGCTTTGACTTGCTTGTAACAATTGCACTCTTGTTTGGGTAGTGTAAGATGAGGAGATGCAAGCAGCGTTAGTTACCACTAGAGGGCAGTAGGCTGCTGGATGATCCTTTCACACCATTGATTTTATGCAGATACAACTTAAGAATAGAGATTTTCTCTGATTGAAATGGATAGCAGGAATGTCTTGGTAGGATTGATTTATGCATATTTTTGTATAATGCATTACAAGTCTTTAAATGTGATTTGTTATGTGGAAACTTGCCCTGAGCTCACAGAGTGTGACTGTTAAGGGTTCACCTTAGGGAAGGGCAATGTGACAGTGTTTACTGTTATTTTGAAAAATTGTCGTATTACATCACGATATGCTTTACTGAGCATATTGTTAATATGAGTCTTAAAGAACAGTGTGGTCATTACAAAAAGAACATATATCCCATTGAATTGGATTTCTTACAGTGCAGCAAGTGAAACTTATAAAAATAAAGTCATTGTACCCACATTTTCTTTTTTACACTAATGTGCTTTTATTGTTTTTCCCCATATGAGCCACCCCTGTTTCATCTACCTGTTTTCATTTGGTGACATCAGTGAGCATGAATAGATTTTATTGAGGTAATAAATAACAATAAACATGCCTGTTTGTTTAGAATAGTAATGTTGGTCACTTTGTTTTTTTCTACAGGAAAGTTCCATTGATTCCACAATCAGTTTGAGCATTTTAAATATTTATTTGTTGATAGAGTAACAAAACATAAAAAATGTGCAACATAAGATGTCTATAGAATATCGAAAGTGCATGTGTATGGTGACAAGCATGGTACTGAGAAATGAGATAAAACTTAAAAACACCATGGCTCAGAGCTTTGTTGCAATTACTTGTAAACCAATGCAAACTTCATACAGTTGACTATTAGGAGAATTGTACATTTAGGCTAGTTTATGCTACAGCCTACATAACTTACATAATCAGAATACTTTTTTGAAAGACTTGTACACCATTCAGACTTGGCACAACTGCATCAGCTTGACACTTTACATTGATCTTGCATCAGAGCTTCACAAGCTTAATGCAACTTGAAAACTGTCACAACATTCAGCATGTCCAGCAAGTGTCTTCAAAAGTTCCTGCATTTTCTCACAGAGTAAAAGCTAATCATTGTCTTTTCCTCCTTTTTCCTCCCCTTATCAGCAGTCAGTGTCTTTAAAACCTTTGCTGTTGTCAATACTGGGATGATGACAGTGATGCTGAGTTTGGAAGGTTCCACAGATTGTGAGGAGTGTGCAGTTTAACAAGCTTATTATTATTATTATTTTTTTTTTTAGCTTAATTGCCTTTTCTCTCCGCTGCCATAGGGCTTTGTACAGACTCTCCTCCTCCCCTCTCGCCCCCCTGTCCCCACACAGCTTCTTCCCTGCCTGTTTTAGGAGACAGTGCAGCTGTTGGTCTTGTTCATTGGCGGTCGTGCTCCGATATTCTTGGGGAACGTCTCTCTACGACGGCAGAGGGCGGGGCTCAGACGACTGGGCAGGTTGGCTTGCTGGAGAAGCTCGCGGAACACCTGCAGCACGTTGTCGTTCTCTTTGGCCGAGGCTTCCAGAAAGCAGTGGTTCCAGTCCAGCTCGACCGTGGCAAGCACGTCTTCAGCTGACACCCGGCGCTCGCCCTGCCGGTCTGTCTTGTTGCCCACCACCACAATGGGCGTAAACTTGTCCTCCTTGATCTCCAGGATCTCCTCCCGCAGGCTCTTGACGGCGTCCAGCGACTCTGGGTCGTCCACTGAATACACAAGGGCGAAAGCATCCCCGTTCTGGATAGAGAGCTTGCGCATGGCTGGGAAGGAGTAGCTGCCGCTGGTGTCCATGATGTGAATGGTCACCTTGATGCCACCCACCTCATACTCCTTGCTGTGAAGCTCCTCCACTGTACGCCGGTGCTTGGGCTCGAAGCTGTCCTGTAGGAAGCGCTGGATCAGAGCCGTTTTCCCCACGCCTGCTGCTCCCATGAACACCAGGCGTACCTCTGTCTTCTCCTTCACGTCCAGGGACATGTTCTCCTCTGACTTGTTTCTTATCCCAATGAACCTGATGAAACTTTTTTTTTTAAATCACAACCTCAACAAAGTTTGCAGAAATTGACATTGGCAAGCGTTCAGCCACAAGCCTCTGGAGCTCCTCAGAAAATGGTTAGGTATTTTTGCAGAGAATGCTAGATAAACACTTGCCTCAGAGCATGTGAACAGGCATTGAGAAGCTGTAGTAGTGCATGCTGCACAGCTGACAGGTGCTTCTGTTTCGTGAGCGCCTGCATGTCCTATTTATAGATTTTCTCAATCACAGAGGTTGCAGGCCCCCCCTCCGAGCTCTCAGCCAATCGTATTGAAGCAGCATCCCTTATTGTTAACTCTGTGACCAATGGAAAAGGAACATGCAGATGAGAAATGTTATGATATCCTCAGATAAGAGGTTGCATAGCTGTGGATGTGTTTTGTGCTTTGGATTCTGTATATTCCGAGTAAAGATCTGTCACTGTACTGAGCGAAGCAGTGTACCGTTTTATTATTGATGGGCTTTTCTGTTCATTTTACAATTATAGATTTAGAGATATAAAATAGTTTTCTTCTATATTTAGTTTTTATGTCTGGCTTTCTAGATAGTCTATAATGACAGTAATGACTCTTTCTTGTGCCTTAAAGCACTGTTTAAATGGTAAATGGCTCACTGTTGCATATTGTTAAGATCTTAAAAAGATCATCTAAATGGAATTGTTCTCTCTACACAAATTAGTGTGGTTAGAAACCTTAAAAAAAGAGGTTAGACACTGACAATTCACTAACACATATTTTATTCAGCTCATTTAAATGCATGAAATCCTTACCGAGCTGTTGAGGATTAGATGCCGCTTACAAATGAGAGCTGTTGCTGTGAGAGCAGAATAGATTATATTTAGCCATGACACTACATGTGTGGCATACTATATGCATACATGCGAGATTACTGCACAGATCTTTACTGTGTCATGTAATTTCAATGAGCCCTATGGAAACCTATGTAGTGCTCATCGCATTACCATTCTGTCAGTTTTCGGTCAGTATTTAGAAAGAAGTTTCTGCTGCATTTTAAGTGAGGTATGTGAAGATTATGCATTTGAGAGTATAAAACATTGAAAGCCTTTTTCATTCTTGCAGTTCCTGTCTTTGCCTTTAATCAGCATCACTGTGTGAAAGAGACTAGTAGTATTGTTCTTCCTATTGCTTTTGCATGTGCATATCTATTTTTCCTGTTTCTTCTGTATCTGAATACGGCTCACAAACCTTGGTTCTCTCTGTAGAGCACTGGTTATATGTCAGAAACATAGGCCAGAAGGTCTTATACAAAGTTTTTATACAAACTTTTTCACAGTTTTAGTTCTTGAGAGTTAAAACTCTTTAAAGCACTTGCTCCAGGAACTCCAGGTGCTTTGTAGGAAATACACAGATCCATACAAAGACAAAATAATGTACAAACTGATACACTATACACTCATTAATACCCTTGAACTTAAGTGTATATACATTTAAAATATGCTAATAGCAGGGGTGCAGTCATAAAGGTGATCTAGTAGCCATCTGTTGTTCACTTTTGTATGGATTTCTGTCATACCTTTTAGCATGGTTGCTGCATCTGAAATCCTCTATGCTTTTAAATGTATGAAATGTAAAATTTCTTTTGGTCCCTGTGTTCTCTGGACTAGCCACAAAACAGAAGAAAATGTTCTTTCTTGATAAAATCAAATGTCCAAAAAGTCAAATTTTATCAGGTTTCATATTAAAATCAGCCTTTTGGTTACATGATTCTTCTCCGGATGTTGAATGTTCCCCCAAGGGCTACTACCCAAAATATACATCACTTTAGACCAATCAGAACAAGCTCTGTGACATATTTCCTTATCATCCTAAATTTAGTTGTCTGACTTTAATGAGCTAATCTACTTCATTTTATCATGACAAAGCCATTATTGCCCAGTTCTCTCTATTTAGATCACATATTCATAAATTTCACTAAGCCTTTGTCTTCCTTCCCTGTCACTCTTTTAGTGTCATTCTGGGATTCCCCTTCTCATTCCAGGAGCTTTAATCATGCTCTGAGTTCATCAGGGACTGTGCCGTGAGTTGCCATCCATCCGCTTGGCTCACGTATAAGGCCATGCTGCTTCGTATGAGAGCCACTTGGCCCCTCTCATCTTCTGCTGACGTGGCCCCTCTAGCTCCAAAGCTTCCACTGTGTGGGAGACCGTAATCAGTCCCCTCTCTCTGGCTCTATTCACATCACTGCAATGTGCTGGCACTAGTGTAGACTTAGTAAGATGAAGAGGCTAGAGAACAGTGGCATTATTTCAATGTCCAGCCTGTTCTTTTTAATGGGTTTCAAGTATTTCTAACATGCTCCTTGCTGGGACTCTTTAAATGGATACGACTCTTTAGAAAGGTCATATAGATATGAACTGTAGTGACATTATACCCATGATTTAGTACATTATAGAACCCTAGCATAATATAAAGATTCTGGACTAACCAAAGTTTTTTTCTTAAAATCATCCAAGCCAAGAACTGTTTTAGGAACCTTTATTTTCAAGAGTGTACTTCACTGTGCTCCACTAAAATTGTAGTCCACTGCACTTTATAACACAATGCTATCCATCCACCCACACATTCATTTTGTCAAGTTTTTAATTTTGCACCCAAGGCTTTTTTTCTGTCACAATATTCTGCCGTTGCTAATGAGCGCTTGCTGCAGTGCTGTCAGTTATATGCCAAAACACAGCTGCTTTTACTGCTGTCAAATTACTGTTCTGGAAATGAAACCATGATAGCATCGTAACTGTTGCTCTCTGTAGTATTGTAATCATTTTAATTGTTGCATTTATCACATTACTAAAAGAACACATTTGCAGTGGTGTGCTTTTATGATCCTGATGTAAGAAACCTTATTTCATTTGGGCATCTCTGCAAGCACCCCTTCTTGCGTGGGTAATTGAAACAGCGATACTTCACCATGATGTCTCACCATGAATCACCAGCTCTGTAAAAGTATGTAAATGGGAATTAAAATGCGTAGATTACTGCCATCGTGACACAGGTTGTGCGTGCCAGATAAGAACAGCATGGCTGATTCACAGTATCCCATGTGACTGACGGGACCGTGTGCTTGAACATAATATTCTGATATTGAGCCATTCAGTTTTCATCAGCTTTCTCCAAACCCAGAGATTCAGTGTCACAAGCACCTAGACAGTGGCAGGAAGAACATCCTGTTCTGGCAGTTAAAATAATTTCCTGGGAGAGGGCCACATTCAGCTGATATATTTTGTTACTATATATTTTAAAATACTGAAAAGCTGAGATTCAGGTCAGCAGAGTATATGAAAGTTTGATACATACAGTCGATTCAAAAGTTTGAGTACACATCTGCTACAAAGAGCACACTTCTGCACACTAATATACAATTACTGTTTATTTGCTGAATTTACCGTATTAGGAACGTGGCATTTTAGATTTTTAGATTTAGATTTTCTTTTTTCCCCACTATGTTAAACTAAAATAAAGTAAGCAGAAATTGTACACTATTGTAGAAACTGTGTATAGAAATTGTGTAATTTGCAGAAAAATGCTTTTACTTTGTTCCCCTCGGGCGATCACATGAATCACAAATCTTTTCCAGTTGCAACCATTTTCATATACCAACAGTGCTATTGTGGCAAATATATATAATATGCTCATCATATTTCTGTCAGGAGTCAATTTTGATTGCATTTTGAAATTTAAACACTGCATAAAAGTGTCTGTCAAAATTCCTTTGGATTAATTGGTTTTATTTGCAGATCAACGTGTGAGGTGTGGTTAATTTAAATGATTGTATTGTATGGCCGATGTATACAATGAGTGCATATTTTTCCAGTGTTTACTCATTCATATTAGGTAGTAATCAGAACACTCATCATGTTTTGTGTCTGAAAAGGAAAATCCTTTTTTATTTCAGTTCTATGTTCAGTGACACCAAATAATCAATGATCACCAAAATGAAGAAATATCAGTAATTCATCTCAGACCTCATTCCCAGTCTTCTTTTTTTTTTATATATACAGTTTTCTTAGCATTTAGTATGAGCTAACAGCCCACTATCTTCTACATTTATCAACAGCTCTGGGTGCCATCCTCTGTCACCATGTACTATAAATAAGCGGCTGTCACAGCCAACCTGGATTCATCATCAGTGACTCAACCTACTAAAAATCTATAATGCAACTCAGTTTATATCCACCCTGTTAAAACTGTATGCTATATATTTGCAAAGGCTATGTTGAATTTTTGGTAAATATGAGTAAAAACAAAAACTCATTATAAAAAAATTATCTAAAGAAAGAAATCCAAATGGGAAATATTCCCATCCATCTTTTACTGTGAGTTGGATGGTTTGAGACTTTCTGAGTCACATTTGGAAATCTGCAGGACTTTGTTGGTCCAAGTTTCCAAAACTACAATTAGACATCATCTCCATGCCAACAAACTATTTGGAAACCTCAGTAGAAGAAAGCATTTTATAAACCACTAGCTAGTAGTGTAAATGGCCTTTGGGGAATGAATTTTTACAACCCATGTGTGCTAATTTGCAAGGAGGAGGGCTGCTACAGATAGGAATAAAACATTAAACAAAAACAAGGCCGATCTTTTCTCAGTTTGTTAATAAAAAATACACAGCTGTCAGAAACCCAAGTACCTTGAGTTCACTTAATGAACTTGGTTGAGCTTTCTTCGTTGCTAGAACTTTGATTTGAACTGTTCTGTGGTCAGATGAAATAAAAATAAAGCTTTTTGGCAACAAAAAACACCAGTGGTGAGTTTGATTTAAAGTGTCAAAATAACTTATTCCTCACTGTGTAGAGTTGATGGGTTTAATGTTAAATATCCAATTTTGTGGAGCTGTTTTTCCCCCAAAGGCCCTGAGAATCTTTTAGGTTAGCCATCACAGACTCCCCCAAACACCAGGAGAATATGGATCAAAAATGGCCAGCCTGTTCCCTGACCTAATCCAATGAAAACCTGTGGGCTGACCTGAAGATGGAAGTCCACAAGCAAGGATGAAGAAATCTGAGGCATCTAGAGGGATGTTTTCTATGGAAGTACAGCTGCACATTCCTTTTTTTCAAATCCTGTCTTTTATAATGCTGGACAACGTGGGATATGATGGTAAGCCATGACCTTATGACCAGGACCCACTGGCAGGTCCAAGGTTTTAAC